CCCCCCTCTCCCTCCCTTAAACTTCTCCCCCCCAACCCCTCCATTTGTATAATATAACACATACACGTACAGATACATACACTAACACACATACACACAGAATGACAAACATTCAGACACACAGAATGACACTGCTACAGATACAAACACTGACACACATAGAGATACACAGACACACATGCGAATACACAGACACACATATAAAGAGATACACATATAGACAAATGCAGATACACATACACAGAATGACACACATACAGATATAAACAGTGACACACATACATAGACATAGAGGCACACACTGACACACATGCAGACGGATACACATACAAACGTGCAGAAAAACAGATACACATACAGACACAGATACACATACAGACACACATATGAAGATACACATACAGACACATATGCAGACAAACAGATACAGATACACATACAGACACATATGCAGATACACATACAGACGCACAGACACACATATAGACATGCATGCAGATACACCACAGACACACTTAATGGCAAACATTCAGGGACACAGAATGATAAGCATACAGATATAACCAGTGACACACATACAGACAAACAGATACACATACAGACACAGATATACATACAAACAGATACACATACAAACACAGATATACATACAAACAGATACACATACAGACACAGAACACACAGACACACATGTAGATACACAAACACACATATAAACAGATACACATATAGACATATATGCAGATACACAGACAGACTTAATGACAAACATTCGGATACACAAATTGACACACATACAGATATAAACTGTAGCACACACTGACAAACATGCAAACAGATACACATACAGACATACAGATACCCATACAAACAGATACACATACAGACTCACATGCAGACAGATACAGACACAGATACACATACAGAAACACATGCAGACAAGGAGATACACATACAAAGAGATAAACATACAGACAAAGAGATACACGTACACACACAGACATACATGCATACACACATATACAGACATTCTCACACACACACACACACACACATACAGACACACACAGACATTCACACACAGACATTCACACACACACAGACATTCACACACACACACACACACACACAAACTTAGACATTTTAGTCACCTCCTGTCTCCTACCTTTAGGTGCAGGAGGGTGACTTTCCTGGGGTCCAGTGGCTGCCTAATGCTGATGGCTGCTCATTTCCTTAAACTTAACCTGTCCAAAACAGAAATTCTGGTCTTCCCTCCCTAAAGTGTTGCTACTCCCTTGTCTGTGTCCCTCCAAGTCAATGGTGCTACCATCCGCTCTACCTCTAAGGCTCGCTGCCTAGGTGTTCTCTTTGACTCCAACCTCTCTATGTAACTTGTTGGCGCTTTATAGATAATAATGATAAGAAGAAGAAGAAACAGAGCTCCCACTCTGACGCCCTCCTCTGCTTCCCATGCATTCTCCTCCCTCGCGGCTCTGTGCATGCTGGGAAGAAAAGACGTCTTCCTCCCAGCAGGCACTCTGACGTCATCAATGGGGCCTAGTCGTGCTCTTAAAGCGCCATAGCGCAGACCAGGCCTGTCTTAAGATCACCGCTAAACCGTAAAGTGTATTAAGTGTACTTGCCTATGTTCACCATGGATTTGTGATTACTTGTGTTTTACCTGCTCCCCGTTTGGGAGACAGCGTACAAACAAAGCCCGTTCATCTCCCGACCGGGGACCACCCCAATGCCCCATTTAGAATGTTTAGTCAGAACCCTTACACCTCGTTAACAAGGTGTGAAAACCACAAAGGGAAGCCTCGATGCATGCCGACCCTGGGTGGTGGCCCATTCGTTAGACAAATTCCATCCAGGGGGAGCTTTTGCGGATTGCTTCCCACCTCGTTTGGCTCCAGAACGAGGACCTCCCCAGTGCCCCTTGGAATGTTCACACCAATCAATTAGAACGTTGACAACTTGCAACAGAAGTGTGAAACCGCAAGGGAAGTAATTAATGAGGGCTTCCCTGGGTGGCCGCTGTTTGTATAGACTAGCGCCGGCCAGGGGGAGCACTTGTGTTCCGAATGGAGACGCTTCCCTTGCCTGGTTTCACCCAGGGACCCCGGGAACAGAGGCTGTTCGTGTCGATTACCGTTCTGGGGGTCCCTGAGATTGATGGGGAAACTCTTTGGGGACAATGGTGGTTTGGCGGGCTTTCTGTGCCTGGGAGCCCAGGAGGCCGGGGTCTTTCCCGCGTTGGGACTCCCAGGTGCAGAGAATCCTGGGAAGAAGACACCCTTGCCACGGGAAGTGGTAAACCCTGTATTTGGGTGGCAGGAACTGGGGATAAACGGAACTGGGAACTATAAGTGTGCCTGGGAGGTGGAGGACCTTGGGAGGGGACATTGTATGTTACCTGTGTTACACCCCCTTGCATGGGGAGAGTATAAAGCCAAGTGTGGTCAATAAAGCTGTTGTACTCCTGGAACTGTCTGTCGTCCAGTTACTCGGGGGTGGGAGGGAAATGGGTCTGGTACTTTATTAATAGTGGAGGTAACCAGCCGGGTTACCCAGGTCCCATTACAATGCCCCAGGAAATCCATTGCAATCGGGTGGCCCCAAGAGCATGGGCCACCCGATAGGTCCCTTCATTGCGGCCACTGTGGTTGCTCCGTGCAGCCTGGGTCGCACCACAAGGCACCCGTGTCACCGGGCCCCCTGCAGTGATGGGCCAAGTCGCAGCTGCGACCCCTGCGACTGAGGTAGTTCCGCCACTGATTATAGCCATTTGTGACACATTGAAAACGTATACCGCAGACAAAAATACAATTCAAATGTATGGTTTGTTTAGAAACAAGGGCTCTTGTAATATACTATCATTTTAAGCCAAGTGCTCTCATATTATGCACCTGTGACTTAATTTGAAACGATTAATCCTTGTATGTGTCCCACTCAATTTAATAATACTCAGTATGAATGGCTAGCGGAATATATTTAAATAGTCTGATCTTGGTTACAGTATGCTGGAAGAGTAATTAAATAGATAATGAGAAACCCACAAGAAATATCTCCCACTCAACCACCAACAAGGCTTCCTGGAAAATGTTCTATATAATTCGATCTCAGTCTCTTTTGCTGATCCCATAAGGTTTATCCATTCACGGAAACAGGGATGTTCCATGATGCAGCACTCAGCACTCAACATTAAAACCTGTCACTCTATTCATCCCATCTTTCATTTTAATTCATTCCATATTCATCCCATTTTACAAATAAATGGAGACTCTGTTAAGCTAAGAGAACCTGTTATCTTATTACCTGCAAAACTGTGAAAATGTAATTGACCAATTAAATCTAAACCCCTTTTAAAACCTCAGTTGAGTTAACAAGGAGGAACCTGGCAGTGAAATAACCCATGTTTTCTCACACCAAATGGACATCACTCATGCATACCTCCCAAGTGTCCCTATTTAGGAGGAACAGTCCCCATATTGTGCCCTAATTCCTCTGTTCCACTTTTTCTAAGTAAAAGTCCCTCTTTTCCAGTTGCTCCTTATTGTTGGTGTGTCTGTGCAAATAAGATACATTGTTCTTCGTAATTATTAGTAAGTCACCTAAACTTCTCCCGCATGAGCATCTCCAGCGTCAGATGTATCCTCATTGGAAAGCATTGATTCAATGCTTATTTATGGGGAGGACTAACGCGCGCACAACATTTACTAAGCATTACGCATTAGACCCCGCTTGTCGCGGGACGGAGGAGGGGTTGGAGCCAGGACACAGAGCCGAGGGACATTGGTGCTGGGAAAATGTAAGTAAATAAAGGGTTCGGTAGTGTCAGGAATACAGCTTTGTCTTCCTGGCACTACAGTATCCCTTTAACTCATAAATCAAAGAGAGTTTAGCAGTAAGGCTGCAGGGGCATGATCTATATACAAAAACGGCTTCATTAGGCTTAAGTTGTTTTGGTTTTTGTTTTGTCCCTTTAACCAGTAAGGAAACCCTAGCTAAAAGGTTCCTTCAGACATGGAAATCTTACATCCCTACCCTGGGCAGCTCCTTCCTTCTAAGATTAGGGCACACAGCACGGTTTTCAGTAGAGGTCATAGTGGGTTGTAAGCATTTGCAAGGTTTTTATTTTTTAGGTGGTGGGTGGGCTGGCAAATTTCACAGTTTACAATTTCAATTCATTTTTAGGTTTTGCTATTTTTGTCATATTCACACGAGACCAGACTGGTTTTGGTTTGTGTCCAATGCCCCCATTTCTTGATCCAAGTGGCCAATACAGCTTTCAGGATTGAGAAAGTCTTATCATATGAAAGATCATCACTCCTCCAAATTCTTCTATCCATAATGGCAAATTATTTCTCTTCCTTGAGATGGGAGAGCACAAGGGATGGTATGAGGAGGTTGATTGGATTGGGAGTTTTCTCATTGATTAAAGGTTATAATTTACTTTAATTTTAAGAATTTTATATTCAATAAATGTTTGGAGTGTTGATTAATATATTACATTGCATACTACGATCTTTCTTAACCTCTCCTAATGCTTAATATTCTGTGTATGTTATCAGTGTATTTGACAATATCTGAAATTCCTAATAAGACATTTTTGTTTCCTTTAAATCCTTATTATGACAGGTTATGCAGCATTACAACCAGAGCTAGAGCTGTGATGTCATAAGGCAGTTTATTGTGACATCACTAGTTACGGGAATGAAAGTTCCGTACACAGACCTTACCTCATCACACTGGTTGGCTTTGGTTCTAGGTTAGGAGCTATACCTCAGTGTAAAATATTACTCTTTGGCTACTGAGATATTGTCAGTACCATTTTACCAACGGTCTGTGATACTACACGTAGCATAGCGCTACAGTCACTGACTGTATATTTCGTACATTTTGGATCACCTGCCGTTTTAGAATCTCCACGTGACAGATAACTCTCAGCAAGCGTATAGACTGATACTATATAGACAGCTGATACTCTGCATATTAGGATGGAGCGTGGGAGAAGGCATTGGGCGTCAAGTGAACCAAGGGGCACAGATTCTTCAAATTCAGGTAAGTAAAAGCACAGCATAAAATCCCATATCCAGCTGATCATAGCCTAATTTTTTTACCTCATTAATTAGTGCGTTCTTTGGACTACTGCTAACTATTTACATTAATCAGATGAATTTACCATTTGAATATTTTTCTGCAGGATACGGGGATGATGATGTCATCGACTTAACTGGTAACGACGAGACAGAAAGTGTGCAGGATTCGATAATTGATTTAACTGGTGAAGAGGACATGGAAAATGTTCAGAGTGAGAGAATTGGATTGACGGGACAGAATTTTGGGGGAGGCCATCAGCCTGTGGTGATTGACCTAACAGGTGAGGAGAATGAAAATACACCTGACGATGGCAGGGAGGAGATAGGTATAAACAGAATCCACCATCGCAGAAGAGAACGTGACCAGAGGGGGAGGTCACGGAGCCGCTCCCCTCTCCGTTCCCCCATTAGTCCATCCAGGGAGGAGATGGCTGGGCTACGTCAACCCAATTCCGGGTATTTCAGGCCCAGCTTAAGACAATTAAGACATGCAAGGGCTGTAGAAACACGCAGAATGAGGGAACAGGACCCTCCAGGTAACTGCCCCATCTGCCTGGAGGAGTATGAAAATGGGCAGCACTTACTAACATTACCATGCAGGCACCATTTTCATACTGATTGTATTCTAACTTGGCTGCAGCAGAACGTCAGCTGCCCAATTTGCAGGGATCGTGTTTTTTTTGCCAATGCAGGCCAGGTTTGCTTGATGAGAGTATCATATGTTATTGACTTCAACCCAGATGGCAGTGCACATGCGTCATTACTTGCCAGATACTACAAGTGAAGTGGGATTGTCCTCCTCGCAAACAGTTCACTGTGTTGTAACCCGCCTTTCCAAGATCACCTTCGGGTTGTGTTGTATATATTTATTAGAACCATTTAAGCTAAAAATAATAAACGTTATGTCTTTGTTGAACGCTGGCTTTGTGACCTTGCCTTTGTTTACTGGCTGCTTTGTGTTCACCTTTTCTAAACTTATCTCGATGTGCCAATATTACACCTTGTTTTAAATAAAGATAAAAAACATTAATAATATTAATACAGCTGTAATCAAAATTATTCAACCCCCATTGAAAATCAGGTTTATTGTGAAAAATTTACAGACTTTCAGCTGTTTGCAATGAAGAAATTAAACAAAAGCAATTGAAATAGCTCAACGAATGCTATAAGTGAAAATGCATTAAAAGTTGCTTTTTGGGTTGAATTTGGGGAATTCTACTTGAAAGCACTTGTTGTGCTGAGCAATTTTAATTACTTTTGCTTGATTTGTTAATTGTTAACTGTTAATTAACAGTCGAAAGTCTGTAGATTTTGACAATAAACTTGATTTTCAATGGGGGGTTGAATAATTTTGATTACAGTTGTATATGTGTGTAACGTGTTTATTATGAGAACTACAGGACTGTACTAACAAACTACTAGAAATCTTTACAACTTTTATGACTTGGCTTAGTTACGCACAGAATTAAGGGTTTATGCAATGAGATCAGACTTCGTACATCAGAATGAGAGGCTGATTGGTGGAGCCCCCTCCTGGAGAGAAAGGTGTATATCAGTTACTCACACTCGCTGTTTTAAATGCAGTAGCTTTAGTGACCTTAAATAGTTTTGTGGGATTTTTTTAAAGTAATTTTGTTCTTTTGTATTTCCAGTTGTCTTACCATTATGGGAACCGAGTGTTTAGAGGCAGAAGCCATATTGATATTTCTGTTGGGAACTCAGGGTGTATAATCTATCTATCTATCTATCTATCTATCTATCTATCTATCTCTCTATCCTGCCAGAAGTTGAAGAAACAAGCTTAGGTTAACAAAACCTGAAAAATTATGAACATCTCAGAGTAATTAACCCCTTGCTGTAGATGTGCTATGTAGTTCTAAAAAAGGTGAGCTTTAAAGACGTTAGGGCGGCATAGCACATCCTAAAGATCTTCTCCTCCCTCTCCCCCCCCAGATATACCCAAGGTGTCAATCACGATCAGGGCATCTGTCTGGCAATGCAGCCAATCGCCACGATCTGTGTCATGTGATCATGGTGACGGCCTGTCACCGCAATCACTGAGACAATGTCTCCGTAATGACTACAATTTCTTCAAATTATGCAAATCCACTACTGGTTACATCTCGGCATTTGTCATTTATCAAGGAAAAGATAGCCAGCCTGACCCACCAGGATGCAGTGGCGTACACACGACCCATGGGGCCCCAGTGCGAAAATTGATCCGTGGCCCCCCCCACGCGCTTACTCTGCACACACACTTAAAGGACCACTACAGACACCCAGATCACATCAGCTCAATGAAGTGGTCTGGGTGCCAGGTCCCTTTAGCTTTAACCCTGCAGCTGAAAACATAGCAGTTTCAGAGAAACTGCTATGTTTCACTGAGGGTTAATCCAGCCTCTAGTGGCTGTCTCATTGACAGCCGCTAGAGGAGCTTCCCCGATTCTCACTGTGAAAATCACAGTGAGAAGACACTGAACATCCATAGGAAAGCATTGAGTAGGCGGAGGGATCCCCAGCACCAAGGGAATCCGGCGCTGGAGAAAGGTAAGTGCTGAAGACACACACATACACTCTCACGAACAGATGCATACACACTAGCTAACAGACACACACATTTACTGACAGAGACACACTCAGCGACAGACATACATACACACTCACTTACAAAACATACACTCTCACTGACAAACACATACTCACTAACAGACACACACAAACACATTCAGTAACAGACACACACACTGACACTCACTAGCAGACACACTCTCAATAACAGACACACTCACTGACACTCACTAGCAGACACACACTCAATAACAGACACACTCACTGACACTCACTAGCAGACACACACGCAGACACACTAACACCCACACACACCCACACACACTAACACACACACTAACACACACACACTAACACACACATCCACACACATTTTTTAAAAAAAAATGTAATCCCCCAGCCTCTTTACCTTTGGGAGTGCTGGGGGATTCCCTGGGGTCTAGTGGTGTCACCCAGCGGACGGGCTGGCGGGCGCGCGAGGGAGCACTCTCCCCTGAGTGCTTCCTGTTCAGCTCCCTTGCGCGCCGCGTACTGATGCCGGAGCCGGACGATAATGTCATCTTCCAGCTCCGGTATCAGTGCGGTGCGTGAGGGAGCTGAAGAGGGAGCACACAGGGAGCAGTGCTCCCTCGCGGGCCTGCCAGCCTGCCCGCCGGGTGATACCAGGGCCAGCCTCGGGGGGCCCTGAGGTGGCCGGCTCCTGGGCCCCCCAGGATGAGAGGCTGGCCACACTGGGTACATACCGGGTCCCGGTATGTACGCCACTGCCAGGATGCCCTAATTCTGTGGGCAGAAATGGCAAGGTTGTGTTGGATCTCCTTCGTGCCATGATAAAAAAAGGTTATCATCTATGGGTTGATATTGATGTTTTGAAACTATAGCAAGTAGCACAGGACAAGGTGCTGGCCCTTTGGTACACTGATCAAAACATGTGTACATGCTGTCTACAATGCACAACAAAAGTACAGTCCAGGTGTCTGTCAAAGGTAAAAATGAAGAGATAGAAAAAACAAAGTGCATTGGAGAGTACATCACACATAGAGGGAGAGTAGAGTTGGCCGATCAGTATATACAACGATATCTAGTTACCCGAAAGACTAACTCCTGGTAGAAAATTGCCATCTACCTAGCCCCGATTGCAATTTACAATGCCTATGTACTGTGCAAAAGAACAACAACAGGTAAGCCTTACCCTTTCCTTGATTTTAAAATAAAACTTTTATCCGATATTTTATTTACCCAGTCCTAATTCTTCTACTTTTGAAGCAGAGGATGTCCAGAGACTTTGTGGCAAACACTCTCCTTCCAGGATCCCCCCACAGCATGCAAACAATCACCCCAAAGAAAGTAACTCGTTTGCGACAAAAAAATAAATAGTTCACAGCAATGACTCTAGCTATTACTGCACTCCCTGCCCATCTCTACCTGGCCTTTGTATAACAGGCTGTTTCAGAGTCTACTATACAGGGCTTAACTATTGAGTTGAACGACTCAGTATGTGACACAGCATGCACATGGTTGTGGTTATGGTATTTGGAGTGTTCCTTTAAGGAGTTCATTAACTTCTCCAATTGTATAAGTTATTAAGTAATTATAAAATTAATTTATTATCTTAGTTTTTTTTTCTAAAGAACAGCACCTGCTGAAAGTGGTCTTTCTAAAATGTATAATTTTGGTACAGCAACCATTTCTATTTGTCCTGATTTTTATTATTTTATTTTCATTCGTCCAATACTTTTTTTTTTTTTTCAAACACTGTTAAAATATAAACAACAAACATGTTTTGTTGTGGTAGAAACTTATGGTATTTAAGAAAAGCCATTTGTCACGAATGTCACACAGTCTGGTGGCTAGATTCGTTTTGGAGAAACGTATTGTACAACATTATGAAACCTGTCTGAAACCACTTACGCTGTGTTATGTCAGAAGGATGTTTTGATTGAAATAAAAGTTGATCTGTTAAATGGTGTGTGGAGTTATGCTAAGACCCTGTTTTCAACATATACTGATGGCCAAGAATAAGATTCACCAACTCTTAAAATATGAACTTTGTAGAACCTCACAAGAGTCAGCGCCATACTATCGAATGGTACATTTTACTTTATTTCTTTAGAAAGCCCATTGCACTGATAAACGGCAGCTTCTTTATATTTAATAACCACAAACACAGATAAAAGATTCATTGATAAGAAAAAGAAAATCGAATGAAGATTTAATTATTTAAAATTTGAAAGTGTGGGGTGGGGCCTGACAGACAAGATGGCTGGACATGTAACATGATAGCTCCGACCCGTTCAAGCATAAACTAAGCCTTAATAGCTCATAACCAAGCTGAAAGTAACCACTCATTAGCTATACTCTGACCTCTGCCAACAGGGAACATAGAGATACCAGATTTGTGCCGTTACACCGAGAAATCCAGACGCCCGACCATGCGGCCTAACTGGCGACCTGGTGTCTGGAGGAGATGATCGATCCCCCAATACTGGAATAGCCTTTCACAACGATCAAATGATTGCCCCTCAGCCCCCCTCTTTGGATTGGTGGGGGATATCCCGGTCCCCACTGGGGAAACTTACCTGTCTGCAACAGCAGAATCTCCTGCCGAATCAAGCACCACATGGGGTGGCCAAGATGGCATCTCCACATCCTCGACATTTGAATAGATATGGTTCTACCCTTTTCAAGAAATAGATTATATTAGAATAGAATTACAAGCTCACTGACATAAACATGCTTACTATAGACATGCTCACTGACACACACATACATACATGCTTACTACAGACACACACATACATGCTTACTACAGACACACACATACATGCTTACTACAGACATGCTCACTGGCACACATACATGCTTACTGCAGACGTGCTCACTGACACACATACATGCTTACTACAGACATGCTCACTGACACACATACATGCTTACTGCAGATGTGCTCACTGACACACATACATGCTTACTACAGACATGCTCACTGACACACAAACATGCTTACTACAGACGTGCTCACTGGCACACATACATGCTTACTGCAGACATGCTCACTGACACACATACATGCTTACTGCAGACGTGCTCACTGACACACATACATGCTTACTACAGACGTGCTCACTGACACACATACATGCTTACTGCAGACGTGCTCACTGACACACATACATGCTTACTGCAGACGTGCTCACTGACACACATACATGCTTACTGCAGACGTGCTCACTGACACACATACATGCTTACTGCAGACGTGCTCACTGACACACATACATGCTTACTGCAGACATGCTCACTGACACACATACATGCTTACTGCAGACGTGCTCACTGACACACACATACATGCTTACTACAGATATGCTCACTGACACACACATACATGCTTACTGCAGACATGCTCACTGACACACATACATGCTTACTGCAGACGTGCTCACTGACACACATACATGCTTACTACAGACATGCTCACTGACACACACATACATGCTTACTACAGTTGTGCTCACTGACACACATATATGCCCTGGGCACCTCCCCCCATGTGTCTCATTCCCTCCTCAACCCCCATGTGTCTCATTGCCTCCACAAGCCTCTTCATGTGTCTCATTCCCCCCCTATCCCCTGAATGTGTCTTATTGTCCCTCTGCCCCTCCATTTGTCTCTTATTCCCCCCCATCTCCTCCATGTGTCTCATTCCCCCCAGCCCCTCCATGTGTTATTCTGTCCCCACATGTGTTTCTCCCACCCCCCAGACCCTCTATGTGTCTCATTCCCTCCCCCAAATCCCTGATTGATTCACATAGATATGTGAAGATCACCAATGCGCCCCCCTTGAAACACACCATTGCTTGGTTACTGGGGAAGAATTTGTTTTGACTTCTGTATCAGATCGCGTTCCCAGTCTATGAGTACCATCCCATCATAGATTTAATAGATATTTCTAAAGCACAAGTGGAAATTCCACATAAGTGATAAAGGGGACAGGCCATGGGTGCTTTATTTTAGAATGGCTTCACACAGAAGTGGGGGACAGAATCCGAAACCTTCTAGCACCATAACCTCTTCAACAGACTACAGTGGTTATGGTGCTTAGAGTGCACCTTTAAAGTAAAATATTATATAAAAGTCCAAATTGGCTCAACTTCCTGCTGGGAAAAAAAGTTTTAACCTCCAGCACTTGACAGGTTAAACAGAAAGCTTTCCTAATAGAAAATAAAGGACAAAGGAATTTAGGTCCTAAATAGATAATATTTTTATACCTTCTCTGCTTATAGTGCATTTTGCAAAGGATGTGAACGTACAGAGCTTTTACACTTCATATTAATAACCTTGATGCTTTTCCTCTCCCCACCCTTTGCCGGCGCTGAGCCTCTGATAGACTTCTCCGAGATCTAGCCGCTCAGTACACTGCCGCCATGATCATCTACAGGGATATCATCTCCGGAGACGAGATGTTCTCAGACATCTACAAAATCAAAGAAAGCAGTTGTGGACTTTGCTATGAATTTGAAGGCAAGATGGTCTCTAGAACAGAAGGTCCAATTGATGATGCTCTGATTGGTGGAAATGCATCTGCTGAGTGCCCAAACGAAGGGTCAGATTTAACAACAGTCACAGGAGTTGATATTAAAACACAAGATTCGGGTAACTGGCTTCACAAAAGAATCTTACAAATCTTATATTAAGGGTTACATGAAACTAATCAAAGGAAAGCTTGAGGAAACGAATCCAACTCGTGTTAAACCTTTCATGACTGGTGCTGCGGAGAAAATCAAAGACATCCTTGGCAACTTTAAAAACTACCAGTTCCTTACAGGAGAAGGCATGAACACAGAGGCCATGGTGGCTCTGCTGGATTTCCGTGAAGATGGTATTACTCCTTTCATGATCTTCTTCAAGGATGGCCTGGAGCTAGAGAAATGTTAACAATCACATCTTGGATCGGAACTGGCTACTGCTTCTCATCTATAAATCACCTAGATAACGCAAAGTCTTAAGACTCAAACTGGACTGATAACATTGAGCTTCATGATTTACTTTGCTTGTAAATTATTCCGGTGGAGGCACATTTTTACATGTTCACATTTTCATTTATAGTTGAAATAAAGTCCATCGTTCTCCACTGTAGGTAATGGCTCTTGGTTTCCTACAGTTCATACATGATGTTGACTTTTGAGTGCACTTAAGAGGACACAACTTAGCCTGTTTGCACAGAGGTCTTGTGCTTCATGAACAGCTTTTCCGGTAGCCCATGGAGCAACGCAGTATGGGGAGTGGGCCTTGACAGAGCCAGGGAGTGGGCATGGGCTTAAGTTTGTGGGAAGGGTTTTGGGAGTGATGTTTTGGGGGGTGGAGAGTAGGGATATATAGAGCGGCCATATTAGAATAGGGGCCATTTTAACTGGAGCCTCTCTTACCTGTAGATTGTTGCAGGCCAGAGAGGTTCCCCCCTTTTTTCTTTGTTTCCCTGCAGGTCGATGGCGGCGTTGGAGGAGCTTCTGGAGGGAGTGCGGGCGGCCGTGAGGGACCGTGGCCTCGAATGGCTACATCAGCAGCTGGGGGCCGCCGGGCCTTCCGCATCGGTACCGGCGCGACGACCGGCCAGGAGGACGAGGCCGCCGCAGCGGCTGAGCCCGGGTGCTGGGCCCGCGGCGAGACGCCGTAGAAGCCCTTCTGAGGGAGGAGGAACGTCCGCGGGGGCAGGAGAGGTCCCGGTCGTGGAGCCGGGAAGGAGCACGGCTCGGGCCGGCAGGCGCGGCTGCGGTCTGGCGAGGACGGCCGTAAAGCACCCGGCGGCTGGACGACGCACGCCGCGTGGGTCGGCGGCAGGCAGGGGAGATGGAGCGGTGGCTGCCAATTCGGCGGCCGGGTCGGCGGCCAGGACGGAGGACGGTCACGTGGGCGGGATCACAGAGCTGGAACGTCCCGGTGAGTCAGCCACCAGTGGCACCGCTGTGGGGCAGGAGAATGTGGTTAGGGGGAGTGTGGAGACAAGAGCAGCCCCCCATGGGTCTGGGGGAGGCTGGGGCGGCGAGGTCAGCGCAGGGACGGCCCAGGCAGGGGTCAGGAGGGAGGATGTCGGTGGTGGCTTTAGTGCGCAGGAGACGGCTGGATCAGGGCGCACGGCGATCAGCCAGGGACAGGATTCTTTAACGGGAAGGACGGCTAGAGGGAAGCCAGGCGCAACAGCAGTGGGAGACAGACGTAGACCCACCCTGGAGGGAGGTGACAGGGGTGGTGGCAGCAGGCGGGAGGGTCCTTCTGGCTGCTCCCAGGGTCAGCATATGGACGGAGAGGACGCAAGGAGTGAGAGGAGAACGGAACGGCGCAGCATGAGCGCCAGGCGCAGCAGCACGAGGAGCAGAGCAGGGAGTCGAGGAAGCGGGGAGAGGTCACCAGTGCGGAGCAGATGCAGCGCAGCTAGGTCCTGTTGCAGGGAAGGCTGTGGGAGGTCCCTGTCTAGGGATAGAAGGCAGAGGAGTCGACGTAGCACGTCTGATTCACCAGACAGGAGAGTACAGGTTCACTCAAGGGGAGCGGATTACAGGGGGAGTCGTTCTGCAAGGCAGCTGGAACGTGGGGAGGAAGGGCGGGTAGACCCTACGCTGAACAGACTACCCAGGTTTTCTTCTCCCTGCAGGTCACGGAGCAATACCCCTACGGTCTCGAGGCGGGACCAGGCGGATGGGAGTCGGCGACAACACGACACTCCGGCTCCCGGAATGGTGGGCGGAAGGACGACGCCCCTGCGGTCAGCTGCGGCCAGGGGCTTGAGCGGTGAGTCAACACATGCACGACACTCTGGACAGTTGTTGAATGATTTGAAAGTATTTTTAGACGCTTGGTCGGACAAGGGTGGGTCCCCCTCGGAATTCGGGCGGGTATGGTCACAGGAAGGTAGTCGGGACGCGGCGGTGGAGCACGCGGGGGCGGTACCGGCGGGGACACATGGAGGCGAGGCCGGCGACGCGACGGGGTCGGCGGGGTTGACCGATGGTGGGGGGGAACCCACGGAAGGGGGTAGCGATGTCCCGGATGCGGCGCGGCAAAACGTGCACGTGTCCTTTGCGGGCCCCCTGGGGTGCCACTTAAAAACAGAAGTAAAGGATAAGATTTGGAAAGGTGAGTTTGTGGAAATCTTTTCCCTTCTTCCCCTCGAGGAATTCTTGGACTTGAAAGAGGAGGATAAAAAGGACGCCAAGAAAGAGGAGGAGGAAAAAAGGCGGAGGTATCGCAAGATACCGAAAACTTTTGGGAATTGGCTACGGGCTTTCTGTATTCTGGCTAGCGTGATAGGGGAAAAGAACCCGGGGCGTTGCTCGGAACTTTTTTGCTACTTGGATGGGATAGGCGATGCATATCGAACATACGGGGGATTGGCGTGGTGGAGGTATGACGAGCAATTTCGACAACGGCTAGCGGTGAACACGAGCATGCGGTGGGATCAAATGGATCTGCCGTTATGGATGCGCCTTATGATGGCTCAAAAGGCGGCGCCCTTTCTTGGGACAGCCGGCACGGCCGCAGGGGGTGCTGTGTCGGCTGGGCAAAAGAAAGGCTTCTGCTGGATGTACAACGAGGGACACTGCAAGTGGGGGAATTCCTGCAGGTTCAGACACGAATGTTCCGGCTGCGGGGGGGCGCATGGCGCCAGCTGGTGCTTCAAGAAAGGTAAGCTTGGAGGGGGAGGGGGGTCCGGAGGGGCAGCGCCCCCCCGCTGTTACCGCTGGGGGCGTCCCCAGTGAAAGTAGACGTGATGTTGCCTTGGCTAAGGCAGTACGCCAATAGGGCGGATGCGGCCTTGTTGTGGCAGGGATTTCGAGAAGGGTTTGTTATTCCCTTCGTGGTTAGGGGACCGGGAACGATGTGTGGTAATCTCAAGTCAGTTCGGGAGCACCCGGGGGTAGCGCGGGAGAAGTTGAGCAAGGAAGTCGACCTACGGATATCCCCACTCGGCGTGGTTCCCAAGAAGGAAGCGGGTAAGTTCAGGTTGATACATCATTTATCGTACCCAAAAGGGGCGTCGGTAAATGATGACATTGACGCGGCCCTCAGCTCCGTCTCTTATACGTCATTCGACAAGGCTGTCGAGTTGGTACGGAGAATGGGGCGAGGGGCGCTGATGGCGAAAGTGGATGTGGAGGCAGCCTTTCGGCTGCTCCCTATACACCCCAAATGCCATCATTTGCTCGGGTGCTATCTTGATGGGGGTTATTTCGTGGATCTGTGTTTACCAATGGGCTGTTCCATATCGTGCGCTTATTTTGAGAAATTTAGCACGTTTTTGGAATGGGTGGTGCGGAAGGAATCGGCAGGGGGTGCGGTGGTGCACTATCTTGACGACTTCCTCTGTGTCGGCCCGCAGGGAACGGGCCGGTGTAGACAGGTGTTGGAAGTGTTTCACTGGGTTGCACACTCTTTCGGGGTTCCCTTGGCGGGAGACAAGACGGTTGGGCCCACAACGTGCCTTAGTTTTTTGGGGTTGGAAATCGATTCCGTGAGAGGCGAATGTCGGTTACCTTCAGACAAACTAGTGGATCTGAGGGAGCGGGTGGCCACGGTAGGGAGGGCTAAGAAGGTGACGCTGCGGGGGCTTCAATCATTGGTGGGGAGCCTGAACTTCGCGTGCCGGGTGATACCAATGGGGAGGGTTTTCTGCAGGCGACTGGCACGTGCGACAAGTGGGGTGCGTTGGCCATCGCACTACGTTAGGGTCTCAGCGGATATGAAGGCGGACTTAAGGGTGTGGGACCAGTTCCTACAGGATTTTAATGGTAAGGTGTTCTTTAGGGACCCGGCGGCGGCAACAGAGGTGGGGCTGTACACTGATGCTTCGGGCAGTGTCGGTTTTGGGGCTTATCTTGCGGGTAATTGGTGCGCTGAGGAGTGGCCTGCAGCGTGGAAAGAAAGCCCGCTAATAAGGAATTTGGCGTTTTTGGAATTATTTCCGGTCGTGGTTGCGATGGGCTTATGGGGGCCGGCGTTGGCAAACAGGCACATCGTGTTCCACTCGGATAACATGTCTGTGGTGCAGGCGATAAACAGTTTGTCTGCGTCTTCCCCCCGGTCTTGTGTTTGTTGCGGCGGTTTGTACTTCTTTGCATGTCCTTCAATGTGGTGTTTAGGGCTAAGCACATCCCTGGTATGTTGAATGTGGTGGCTGATGCGCTTTCTCGTTTTCAGTGGGAACGATTCCGGGAAGCGGCGCCAGACGCCCAGGAGATGGGGCAAGCATGCCCGGACGAGATGTGGCGGCTTGGGACGTCATGCTTGGGGAGTACATAAGGAACTCATTGGCGCCAAGCACGTGGTCGTCGTATGTTAAGGTTTGGAAGGAATGGGAGGAGACAGTTCAACAGGTAGGAGGCGTGTTTTCGGAGGGGCAGCGGGGGGACGTGCTGCTATGGTTGCTGTGTCGCCTGTTCTCAAGACAGGCTTCGCCGGCCATGGTGGACAGGTATATGTCTGCCCTGGCCTTTTTATTTAAGTTCAATGGTTGGGAGGACATTACTAAGAATTTCAAGTAACGTCAGGCGATTCGAGGTTTTCGGAAGGGTAAGAAGTTTGGGGACACGAGAAGACCGGTGTCGTTCTCGGTGTTGCAAGGGTTGTTAGGAGCGTTGGCTGGGTTGTGTCATTCCCCTTTTGAGGTGGCGCTATTTTCGGGAGCGTTTGTATGGGCGTTCTTCGGAGCCTTCCGGATTGGCGAGCTGGTGAGCCCCAACAGGAAAGGGGCCGGCGGATTGCTGCTCGACGACGTGGACTTATGTAACGACAGGGTGCGGATCAGGTTGCGCCGCTCTAAAACAGACGTGTTTGGTAAAGGGTGCTCTGTGGTGTTGTACGAGTTACCGGGTTCAAGGGCGTGCCCGGTGGCTTGCGGGGCGCGGTACTTGGATGTCCGTCCCGGGATGGCTGGTAGTTTTTTCCTGCATGCAGATGGGACGGCGCTGTCCCGCTTCCAATTTCTGCGGGTTTTTCGAGCGGGTTTACAGAGGCTGGGCTTGGAGCCCAAGCAATTTGGGACGCACTCGTTCCGCATAGGCGCAGCGACGGAGGCAGCACGCCTTGGTTTGGGGGACGAGCGGATTAAGCGGATCGGGAGGTGGGAATCCATGCGGTTCCGCACGTATGTGAGGCCTGACAGGCTGGTGTAAGTAAGCGTTGGGTAGGAAATTGGGAAAGGGGGGGGGGCATTTGTCTCCTCGCAACTAATTTTATTTCCTTTCAGGTTTGAAAGTTTGGTTGATGGGACACTCGTATGTGTACTGGGCGCAGAAGAGAGCCGCAGTTCGAAGATGCGGAACGCAGCTGGGTTTTCCTTTGGAACGAGTGGAATTATCATGGCTTGGTTTGAGGGGCGCTAGCTGGCAGGGTCTCTGCAGCGCGTTATTTAAAAAGTTGTCGGGGGGGGCGGTCCCAGACGTGGTACTGGTCCACGGAGGTGGGAACGACCTGGGCTTGATTCCTCAAAGGTTACTGGTTCGAAAAATGAAGAGGGATATGGATCGGCTGAGGGAGCTGGTTCCTGGCGTGGTCGTAGTTTGGTCTGAGATGGTGCCTCGCTTTACGTGGAAACACGCCAGGGATCCAGCTGCAATAGCTCGATCTAGGGGTAAGGTCAACAAAATTATGTCAGTCTTTATTAGACGGTCCGGGGGCGTGGTGGTGAGGCATAGGGAATTAGAGGGTATGCTGCCGGGATATTTTAGGAGGGATGGTATTCACCTATCGGATGTGGGGAATGATTTGCTGAACCTAGGTTTTCAGGATGGTATAGCACAGGCCCTGTTTAGATATGGTGGGGGTCGCACATTAGCTTAAGGGGGTCAAGCCATGTGCTGTGGCGGAACAGGGCGGTGTATATATTGGAACTTGCGTGGAATTGGAAATGGACAGGCCGAGGTTTAGGCCGGATGGAGTTAAGGATTGGTTGGTTCTAGCTCTTTGGTGGCTACGAACCTGGGGGTGTAGGGGTGTCCGAGGTATACCCCTACAGTTAACTGGACGATATGGGGCCTCTTTGGTAGGCCGTGTGTTTCAAGTTATATGTTATTTGTTGTTATTTATTGTTTAATTGCTAGGGTCATTGTCAGGGGTACTGTGTGGGGGTATAGTAACATAATGTCTAGTAGGACAATGACCCTAGATTATGTTAATTTATTATAATTAATTAATAAAGCTGTGGACTTTATACTCCAACAGAATTATCGGTGTCAGTGTTTTATTTAAGCGTAAGGGGTAGCACATGCCGAATAACGACTGTGCAAATGTCATGAACATGCAAAGAAGTGGACAACCTGCCTATCAAGTAAACCAGGGGATACACTCTGCTGCTGGCCTTTTGAAAATTGCTCCTCCACTGCCAGAGGACCTTTCTGTTCTGTTGTAAGAACCTCTGGCTCTGAAGGGGTTATGTTGGTTACACTTCAATTGCCCTGCATTACTCAACATCGGTTGTGTTGAATGGGGAGACCATAAATCACTGCTGCCTGCTCTGCACCAGCTTATGATCATCCTTGAACTTTTTTTAAAGTGTTGACTCTAAGAAATAAACACAGTTAAATGATTGGTCCTGATAAGTCTCTCTTTACCTCTACACAAAATAATGTAATCTTTGGCATCTAATTTATCCTGCTGTTTTTAATTGCTCTTAACCTTGATTTGCACCAGATTAAGAGACTGCCACTCAACCTAGAACAACATCATTAAGGAAACTTGCATGGATTATACCAAATATCTTGCTATTGCTATTAATATACTTAAGGGAACACTCCAATCACCACATAAGCGGGCTACTCCTGGCACTTTAATCACTGTAGTGGGCTTGGTGTTGGGTGTTTTACTTTAATAAGAAGTAAACCTCTAGACATAGCTAACATTTGCAGCTGTTAATGGTCCACTAGATCTAAAACTGACTGGATTTATCATCTAATGTGATCTAAGCCTTGTAGGAGGTAACCCGGTATATGAATTGCCTTGTTAGCAGCTTGGTCCCTTCTGAGGAATCTTAAGTGCCATGAATTCAAGGTTTACAGTGTATTCCACAGAGATTCTTGCTAGACAAATGTATTGGAAACAAAAGTATTAAAGGTTCAATAAAGTTGTAGTAATAAAAAAAATAATAATAACCTTGATCATATTGGATTCGTCGCTTAGTCCATTTTTTCCATATAAAATTCCGGGTTATAATTTCAGTTTATAAATTATATAATTTCTATTCACCTGACCTACACTGAGCCAGACAACCTCCATGTTAATATACATGTACTAATTTTATATGGAAGAGAGGACACATCAGAAAAACCTAATGAATTCAGATAACCAGCTTGTATAATCTTTCTTTCTTTCTGAAGAATGGAGAAAACATTCAGACCCATTCCTGAAAGTTTTGAGCATAGGGTCATTCTTGTTTTTGAATTTCTGGAATGTAAGATAAGGTTTACATGATAAAAGGTTTAAAAAAGAATATTGCTGCTCTTGCTAAGGATTGCCCTGGAATATTAACCGAGTTTGGATAAATGGTGACTTTTCATAAAAATATCCCTATTGTAAATGTATTTAAATATAATTGTAATAAGATCAACAGGGTTATTCGCTAAAGAATGAAATGGATTTTAAGTAAATTACAAATTTTGGCAAGTCAATTATGTTTTTGGATCGGTTATTTTGGGCTACAATATGAAATTGTCACGATTACTACATGACCCAACATGCAAAACTATGTAATACACAATGAACAAGGATAACGTATACCGGGCCTTAGAATGGCCGGACTTAACGTAAATAAAGAATAGTCAAAATACTCATTGAGGTCAGGGACACAAAAAGAGACACAACGAGGAAACAAGCCAAAAGTCCAGGTTACCAGAAAAACGGGGAAGTCAAATACCAAAAAGAACTAGAACAGGAACGCACTCTCTGTTAACCAACTAGTGGTACCCTTGATAAAGGCAGCCGGTTGGTGCCGAAACGTTTGGGGGTTTGGTGACTCGTGTCTCTGTCCTAAGGCTGGTTCGAACATTTTTTTTTTAATTAGTAGCATTGCATTATTGTATTTGCCCTTGCTTCTGTCATTGTGTTTATTTATATTTTTTCTGTATTTTTTTCACTGTAGTACTTTTTGTACAGAATAAAGTTATACTTTTGACTATTCATAGTGGTTATAGTGTGAATTCTATATTATATAGATATTTGGATACTTGTAACATTTGAGGGAGTGTTTGTATAGTTTGCACCTAGCTATTTGATATACTTTGTCTCTCCATGTGTTTTTGGTTTGTAACCAACTAGTGGAAACCACGACAGGGCACTAACCAAATGCTATTTTGAGTTTAAATAACCCTGCTAAGGCTATGATTGGTTGTACATAGCCTTTGACCCCAAAACGTGCGTGTGCGCCGTTTACGTGATGTCACACGCACGTCAGCGCTATCTTTGTTGATGACGGAGGCGGGGCTACATAGTTGCTTGGGACCGCAGCGGCCAGCATGTATTAGAACGCTGCACCGGTCTGGGATTGCGCCACTAGGTTGCTGAATGGCAAGTTGACTTACCCTAGGTACGTTTTTATTATTTTTAACAGCGTGACCGCATCGATTAGATGCAGCCATGCTGCATGGAGGCGCGGGGGACGTGACAGAAATTCACCTTGAATTCCCGATAATACACATTTTGATTAATAACCTTTCAAGTCTGAAGATTGATAATGTTTGCACCCGGGATACAGAAAATACAACAGATAATTGTTGGAAAAGAAATTTAACATCTAATTGGTTTTACGAAAAAAACTCAAAAAGCATAAAGGGGCTTTTCAAATACTGGGATGGGTGAGTTTTGATATAAAGTGATGGATTAATGACAACAAAAATCAGACCTTAATGGAGAAATGTCACCTCAACACTAACTTTTAATATAATGATCCTTTCATCAGGTTTTGTTAACCAAAGTACATGTAAAAATTCTTTGAAAAATTTAATCCCTGCCTTTAGTATTTGACAGGATCTGTCAGCCATATACATACACCTTGGGTCAGACAGTGTTTGTATTTGATAATTATTTGATAATTAGTGGGTCTAATGATGTCACTGCACTACGAATCAGAGAGGACCATAGAGACTAAAGAGAGGTTTCCAAACACTGTCTGACCCAAGCTATATGTATATGGCTGAAGGATCCTGTTATATACTAAAGGTAGGAATTTGGGTTTTTTAAACTTTTTTTCTAGAAATATTTTATTTAACACAGTATCAATTTCCTTTGAAAACTTGCTGAAACGATTATCATATGAAAAAATATTGTACAGGAGACAGTTGTCCATTAAATGCTGCGCATGGGTTTCAAAGGACCGTGCGGCTGCAAAAAATGTTTGTAGCTAGGAATGAAATAATGCTTTAGGTTTTATCGAATGAAACTGGGAAGATTTCTGTCGTTTAGTTGCTCTGATGGGTTTTTTTTTTCACCTCTCTCCCTTCTTCACCATCCTAGTCAGAATTCTGTGAATCCGTCTGTATCCCGGAATGCTGACAGAGTTGTTAAGGCGCATTTTCAGTAAATACAGTTATGTCTTGTTTCCCAGAGCAAGGAACCTCTTCTAGGAGCAAGTGTTATGAGAAAACTGGACACAGACCTCCCCTCCTGGCCGTATTCGCAGGAAAAACTATCTTCGTTATGTCATTTTTACTGTGGGCAACTTCATTACTAAACAGAAATTTGCAAACTGAAATTCGTATTGTTACAGTTTAACAAAATTAACCAAGTTCAAGAATATTTTAAATGTTTGATTTGAGAGTTTTGTTTAGAAAACTCAACTTAAGTGTAACGCATTGTCCCTTTAACCCCTGTGGAACTATAATTAGAGAATCTGGGAGAAGGATTCATACTCAGCTGACAATCGAGCATTAATACATAGTTACATAGTTACATACGCGTAGCTGTTCATAAATTAGGTTAGCTCTTGGCAATATTTACTGAAATTGAAATTTACTGCTGATTCTAATTATTGTGATTAAGACAAAGGCCTCTAAACGTTTGTCTGGCAAACGATTAAGGTATTGAAATTGCTTAAATCTTGAAGGAGGATATGAACCGAAACTCCTGATTATGTATGACCATATTTAGGAAATAACTTGCTGTAATACAAGATATTTGCCTCTGAATCTTGACTCTTAGGAAATTATATCGCACAGTTCATCACAGGAAACCCAACAGCACATGCAGTACCTGAACACGTCTCTGTTATCATTCTGTTACATTCAGACTGACTCCAATTAAGACGTGGGGCATTGGTCAGAAAGGAAGAAGCAGGGTTTGTTTAAACGTATCTAAAAACCTTTACCCACAAAAAACAAAAACAAATGTGAAGTGGAAGAAATATATAAATTAACTTAACTTATTAAAATTGTACAGCTTGCTACTTACCCCACAACATCATCGGGGGCAGCACTTTTAAGGCGACACTAATTCCACCACATTGCGAGTGTTACCAATAAAAGTGTTATTTGATATTGATTTGGACATATTACACTATTTATTATTTAATTTTCTTTTAACAGCTGTATCCCTGTTTTTGTGTGATATATATTACTGCTCTGTTTGTAACTAATTGTATATAGTGTGTGGATTTTTTTTTTCCTCCCTCTCTCTGTCTCAGAGAAGAAGGAAGTGAAGGTGGGAGAGGAAGAGAATGGAAAAGGGGGAAAATATGTCCTCTAAACAAATGCAGGGCTCTAAAACCCCTAAAAATGAACAACAAGATAAAAGATTATTCTCTTTCATTACATCACAAAGCCCCACAGAAGCAGAAGACAGATCCTTCACAGAGATGTCTTCACATCTTCCTCAAAATACCATTGACCAAGATCTCTTCACAAAGGCCTTCACGCCTGGATTTCTAAAACAATGTCTAGACAGCATTGTTTATGATATAAAAAAAAGAAATAAAGTCTACGGATCTAAAAAATGAATTCCTGGCTATTAATAGAAGATTCCAAACCATAGCAGAATTAGAAGAGGTACTCGACCTCCAATTACAAGTTCTAAAAGATTCACACATTGCCTTGGAATTAAAAGTTAAACAATTAGAAGAAAAATATTCAAATTTACAAGATAGATGGCACAGATGCAACGTAAGGTTCCCTTTATATATGGTATGATTATTTGTTCTGATTGGTAAAAAAAATCTTATGATTGATATGTGCTGCTAGAGTTTGAGTAAAGAAAGTTAAAGGACCACTCTAGGCACCCAGACTACTTCAGCTTAATGAAGTGGTCTGGGTGCCAGGTCCAGCTAGGGTTAACCCTTTTTTTTTTATAAACATAGCAGTTTCAGAGAAACTGCTATGTTTATAAATGGGTTAATCCAGCCTCTAAAGCCTCTAGTGGCTGTCTCATTGACAGCTGCTAGAGGCGTTTGCGTGCTTCTCACTGTGAAAATCATGGGCCTGGGCCTGGGCCTGGGCCTGGAGCTGCAGCTCCATCAGACCCTATGTTAATCCGGCCCTGGCTGAGCTGAGCAGGAAGAGCTCAGGGGAGCGTGCTCCCTCGCCCCTTAGCCCCCACAAATTCAGCATCTGAAAGCCTCAGTGAGCCCCAAGAGATGGCCGGCTGGCCATCTCTTGGCCCCCCCTGAAAGAGGCTAACATGGCAAATGCCTTGTTAGCCTTGTGGGAAATACAGCGCTGGTCACAGTCCCGAATTACTTTCGTTGCAGCAAGGTGGCTCTGGTTAGATCTTGGAAGAACTGAAGTTAATGGTCTTCAAAGGCAAGGGGTGTTTTGCCATTCAGGGCCATCATTATTTGTTTTTTATCATGCAGAGTCACACAGCGAAGTATAACATCCCTTGCTAGCGCAGCTTTAGTACAGCCAGTGCTGGTAACCCGGTAAACCCCATTAAGGACAATTTTTTTGCCACTGTGTGTGGCAGGAGGGTGGACAGCAAGCGTCTTACATAATGGGGGAGTTCCTCGGTCGTGAGCGTTGCAGCGATACCCCGAATCTTGATGTGTGTTCTGCGCTGGTAGTCATCCAGGGACATCATCTGTGTTGCCACTAGCACTTGCTGTTGAGTTTGGAGGTGTTGTACTGAGTCCTGAAGATTGGACACTGCTGTCTGGATTTCTGTGATATCATCCTCTGCGCTTCTGACCAGTTCTGCCACAGGTTGTATTTCCACTTTGACGAGGGCCACATCAGCCGCAATCAGCTTTTGGATGTCAGCCAAGAGGATTTTCCCAGATCTTTTTGGTAGTGGGGGCTGAGTCATCTGAGGACTCTGGAGGTAAGGCTGGGTTTGTCTGCAGGACCCCTGGGGGATTGGGCTCTCTACGCTCCCGTGTTGACCCAGGGATAGAGTCAGCATGGCACTCCGCGCTTGACTGCTCGGATTGCGCGGGCCTTTTTAACATTTCCCCGATATCTCTACCTGGGGTTGAGGTAGTAGCCTTGTGTGTGCAGCGACCCATGTGTGGTGTGCCGCAGTCTTCACCAGGCGGTGAGTATGCTGCAGTGATTTACGCGTCACGAGGTCCTCCGAATAGGGCCTTGAGGTCTGGGAGTGGTGAGGACCGGTATGCCGCTGTCTTACGGCGCTGCTTGGCTGGTTTCAATGCTTAAAAGAAAGGCATCAGTAGCTTCACCAAGCCATCCCAAAATAAATGGTACAGGTTTTATCTCTGGATGAGTTTTGGGAAGAGTGATATTTGGGTAGATTGTGTAGGTTTTAGGAGAACTCTCAGAGATGGCGCCCGTTCTGGTTGACAGGCAAGCTCTGACCCCATCGTTTTCTTTTCTTCAAAACATTTTATTGAGGAATAAAATATAAATACAAAAATCACCAAGTACCCTCATACGTGGTAATTTAGCCAAAATATTTAAAATATACACAAAGAAGAAAATTTACATTATCACATGTCTAAATTTCATCATTCACTTTTATGCTTTGAAAATAAACATGTACCCCAAAAGTGTAAATATTTTCAAAAGTTTTCCCAATTTTTTCCTTACATTCGTTAGCTTAATAATAAAGAAAAAGGACTTCAATACTGTGCAAATTTCTTGGCAAGTCTATCTTCATGATGATTCCAACCAGTCCATCTGGAAGGCATGTAAACCTTTACATTAAAGTATAGACTTAAATGGGTATTTCAGATATATCCACTGGTATAAAAATGTTTTCCTGGCCACAAAAACTCTCATAGTCTATAGAAGAATAGTCTTGACGTTTTCAAATAATTGTATTAATGTTGATAGTAGTGTAGTAGCAGAGTGATCAGTCTATCAATGGATGGGATCAATCAGCCTCCTGAACATGTGGAAGAATTTTATACATGTACCTTTGGGTTTGAGGTAACAAAATAACATTAGGAGAATTGGGAGTAGGACATGAGATTTTGAGTGGTCAGATCAATGCAATTATTTTTGCAAAATATAGCTTCCTTCCCATCTAGTGAAAGGTTTTCTCTAGCTGAAAATGTGAATTATGTATAAAGGATAGGTATCAAGAAAATTGTCAGTGTAATCCAAGGCCAACTCTCAACCTCCATGCTTTAATGTTAATATTTAAATAAAGGATTAAATTTAACCTAGTATGGCAGAGAGTGAATGGTGCGTGTAATTGGTTAGTCAACCTTCTCAATGGAGAAGCATGTTGTTGCTTGAGGGATGTTTTAGGAGTTGGTTGTTGTCATGATCCATGCCGGACCTATTGTCCCCCCGACCCCTACCCGCTTAAATGAAAAGGGGGGGACCTATTGTCCTCCCCCTGTCCCCCACCCATGAGCGGCGGCCAACCAATCAGATTGCTGTGGCAGGTAAATGTAGAGGCTTACCTCTCAGTCTCTTCATTTACCTGTCAGAGCACTCTGATTGGTTGGCTTGGAATTAACCAATCAGAGTGCTCTAAGTCAAATTGCAGGGCGTGGGAAGGCTTTCCCCGACATGCGGAGCTCAGTCTCCACAGTGTCCTCGCTGGGTGAAGATGGATTTCTTTTTTAGCATCGAGTTTTGTTTTTGCATGCCGTTTTTTTTTAGGGGGGGGTTTAACAGTTGCGACGGGTATTATGGATTTTTATTTGGCCTTTTTGGGGGCTGGAAAAAGAAGACATCAAATGGTAAGTTATTTTTATTTACAGGTGGTATTTAGTTTTCCTTTACCCCCTCACTATTTTTAGGGTGAGGTGGGTAGATAGGTCTTTATTAAAAAAAATTTGGGGGGGTGACCAGGGGCTTGGGGACCCCTAGTCACCAGGTGGGGTTTACATTTAGCCCCCACCCGTTGCCCATGGGTGGGTACTGGGTAGGGGAGGACAATAGGACTGCCCCCCATAATCATTTAGGGCCCTCCCCTGCCGCTCATGGGTGGGGGCCAGGGAGGAGAACAAAAGGTCCATTTTAATTTAGGGTCCCAACCCGCCGCACATGGTTGGGGGCTGGGGTGGACAATAGGTCCCCCCCTTTCTTAATTTAGGGCCCCCACCCACCGCTCATGTGTGGGTGCCAGGAGGAGGACAAAAGGTCATCCCCCATTTTCATTTAGTGCCCCCACCTGACGCTCATGGGTGGGGTTCAGGGTGGAAAATAGGTCCCCCCCCATTTTCATTTAGGGCCCCCACCTGCCGCTCTGGGGGGGGGGGCTCTAGGGTGCTTTTCTTTTTACATCTGCCTTTTGGTAGATAGCTACCTAATACCATGGGAATTAGGGAGTTATCTACTAAGCGGCTGCATGAAATTCCAATCCGAACAAAGTCCTAAATTGCATCCTAACAATGAACAAAGTGTTCTCATTCTGTTAGGACGAAATTCAGTGGTTTCGCCAGCATTCTGTCTAAGTAACAGGACGTTCGTGAATACAGACAGGAAGCATCGCGAGATCATGGAGGAAAGGTAAGAGTTGTGGGAAAATTTCTCTGATCAGAGGAAACGGAGCACACTTTGCCCCTCCGCTGGTCAGAGATGGTCAGGCGTAGGAAACCTCCATAAGACAAATAGTCCCTACCTTATCTTATGTTTTAAAGAAAACTAGAGCAGACAGAAAGAAATGAAGAACAGACCCTGACAGAGGGAGAGAAGAGGAATCGATTAAAGAGAGGTAAGTTTGGCATGACAGTGCCGCTTTAAGCTGAACCTGGCTTGCTGCAGATAAGAGAACGCTATCTTCAGATTTTTACCTTGCCATTGAAATGTACTGACGATAGAATCAAATATGTTTGATGGAAAGTAATATAAGAAGCGTCCATAACAGTTTTGGGAATTGTTTAAACAAGCCCTTCCCAAGAGGGCCAAAAGACAGAGTTTCAGTTAGATCTGTCCTGGATATTTTATGTGACCAGATCTCTAGTGGAGTACCAGTGTAAGCATGTACGATGTGCTTTAAGGTAAACCCAGTCCGAGAGCTACAGGTATTATTTGCTTCAAAACCCGTGACTATATATTATCAGCAAAAACAATAACATAAATAGAATATGCCAGGACTTCAAGGGGATTCCACATGCCTAAAGCAATGTATCTTGCTGAAATGCTTTATGTGTGAAAAGTGTGTTTTTAAAAAAATATTTTTAAATTTTACAAAAAGTGCAGATTTCAATAGAACTTGGCATTTTTTCCCCATTACCTTGTTACACCCCCTGGCTATCAATCAGATAACCTGTAACTGTCCTGTTACTTCCTGGTAGTTTAGCTCAGAGGCAAGTCATTTCGAAGAGCACTTGCCTTGCCAAGACTTCTCCTTGAGCTGCATTGAGAAGTCTGTGATTGGACAGACACAGAAAGTCTGGGCGGGATTAGAAGGGGAGGGCTTGCAAAGGCTTCAGACAAGAAATCCACAGCATTTGATAGCTGTTTTAGTTATACCCTAATTAAAACGCATAATTAAATGCATGCATGTTTTAATTGGGGTATATCTACTAAATTGGTAAAAAATAATATATCTATATATTATTGGTGTGCTCCTTTAATTAAAAGGAATACGGCAGTATCATTAAGAACCTTGTGCTAGGTTGAATTAGATGAGAGAAATCAATTATTCTTACCTCATCTCTCTGCTCATAACTGTGTTACATTGTTTATTGTGTTTATTCATGCTTTGAATTGAAAGGATTGCTAGTCTTCAAAAATTTCCACCTTACGTATAGCTACAATTTACAGCCTAAATTTTACAATTTGCTTTTTAATTCAATATAATTTGCTGTTTGGTAAATAAACCCCAACGCAGTCTATGCAGCTAATTCCAAAACACAATTCTGAAAAATATTGGATCCCACTTAAAACCAATTAATATAATCCTTGTTCTGAAAAAATAAAGACTAAACAAATGTCATTAAAGTTGTGCTGAAAAAGCAAGAACGACCGTTCATCTTAAATGCAAATTTGGCTCAGCTCGAAGTAGCTCAATCAGTAAACTAATGAAAACATTAGCAAGCTGAGGTAGACAAGTTGTGTACACAAATGCACTCTAAACAGATATTTGCACCCATGTAAGGCACGTTTCACTCAATTATAAACACTTTTTGCTTCAAGGCTAGCCAGTATTACATTCCTTCACAAACGACATAATGTCATGAAGAATTAATAAAAAGAAAAAAAAATAGTAAAATACTGTCAAAATATTAAGTAATGATAATTCTTCCGCAAGAGTGCATAGATTTGTGCATTAGTGCTTAATCTGCCCTCTGGGGTAGGAAGGACAGAGGTAATTGGAACGTTTAGAATGGCAGATCTGAATAATATTTCTTCATTCTATGAATAGCAGTAAGAACTAAGCACACAAATCCCCTTACGCTCCACTAGAACGGACACACACACACATCCGTACAGATCACACAGACAGACAACCAGCTGTTTCAAATAGTTAAGGATTCAGTCTCATAAGGAAACTGTGCGGCTTCCTGCAGAACAGGATCGTGCAAAAAAGCAAGTAAGTTCAACTTCTAACCTTTATATTATTTCTTCTTTATCATCTAGTAGATGTTTTCTAAGAGGGAACCCCAGTTTACTGAAATGGGGGAATAATAAAATTCTAAGACAAAATTATCATTTTAGAATTTTAGAACATATGGTTTGTAGACACAACTGTCTTGTTTGCCCCTTTATGCTTGCTATATATTCTTAACCCCCTCATTTTTTGATATCCCTGTATACGGTATAGGAAAAGAAATGCTATTGTTCTGGTAATTGGTAAAATTATTAGTTCATAGCTGATTTAACGGTATAACTATCAAAATGACAGGAGAAACAGACAAATATAGTTTAATTGTTTTTTTGTTTTTTTTTTCTTATTGAGGCTGCATATCACTTGTTTTCGTTTCTACTGTAAAATCTCCGGAGACATTTCTAACTTTTTTGTGTTCTTAGAAATTAGTTAAAAGAGCTATTCTTTTAGTCCCCGGACATTAGGGTGTGCATCTTATAAAAGGTCCATATTAATTTAATGTTAAATCATAAAGAACATATGTTTAAATTTATCAGGCAAACTTAAATGTGTTTTTTTGTTTTTTCTAACTTTTTGTTTTACGTTAAAAAATATATTCAAAAGTGCAGGTATGGATGTAACTGGGGTATACGGAGGACCATCTGGTCCTACATTAAGATGTAGCTGGACACATCCCTTGTACATATAAAAATTTCAGTGTGACATCTTTCCTTTCTGTTCTTATTTTGTACTTAAAAGTCTAATGATGCTTCTAGAACATTATTTCAAGCTCACATTCCATACTACTTGTGATTGAATTCTGGAAATAGGACACAGTGCTGTTCGACATTAACATTGCTATTTACTAAGATAAAAATTCAAAGTGAATTTAAAATTCAAGGTAAGACTAGCCAAATTGAAATTTGACCTTAAATTTGAAATTCACTTTAAATTCTCACTATAGTAAATAGCCCTGTTTGTTTAACGCTGTATCCTTACAGTGTTTTAACCCATTTGATGCCACATTTGAGATATGCATATGGTATGGTATATGTCTGGTATGCATGTGTGATCATACTGGTCTGTAATTAGGACCAAATATATATAAATGTAAAATTGGATGTGTTTAGCAGCTGTTTTACATCTGTAGTAGTTTCAAGTAACATTTTAACTGCAAGGTTTTCTTATTTTTAGACATTTTATGACATAGTCAGTAGGGAAGCTAAAGAGTCATGTTACTATGCATCCTCTAGGGTGGCTGTTATTTGCTCCATGTGGGCTTTGCTTCAAATTAATCTCTGGGGTTTCTTCTCTAAACTGTGTTGCTCTTAGATTTGTCACCCATAGAAATCGGTCACCCCAATCATTCAGAACGCCCAAGGTATCATAGCCAAAGATGGTTGCTTAGTGAGGTGCTGCAAGGTGAGTTAAATCACACTGAGGTTTAAAGGTTGCTCTGCAGCCCCAGGAGGTAGGAAATTTAAGGTTAGGTGGTAGATGTAGGCAACCTTTGGCACTCCAAATGTTGTGGACTACATCTCACATAATGCTCTTATGGCCATAAAGCTGGCAAAGCAGCAAGGGAGTTGTCCAAAACACATGGAGCGCCTGGATTGCCTACCCCTAGATTATGTTTGTACATGTCTGATTAATTATTCAATAAGCCTACCCCAAAATCTTAATCTTACCCATTAATATTACTGTTACTGTAAGTGTAATGAATCATAACCTTTTAAAGTCAGTTGCTAAATCTAACCCTAATTTAACCCAGTTTCCTAGTGCACCCTTAAAGTGCTGAGTAACCCAGACTTTAATTACACTGCAAGTTTTGGCAAAGCCCTCTTCAATCAATGTGTAAGTAGGTTCCTGTGAGATCACGTGGACCACCTACCTTCGTTCAACATTGGCAGTGCATTTTAGTGGTGATAGTGCCAGAAGTGAGAAGACACCTCCCCGGTCCAAGTAGTCAAACCATTTGCCACGTTTGACTTTATATCTAGGGAGCTGCTAGGAGTTTTCGTTAGCTTTCCTGAGCTAAGACCAGCCATGCCGGGCCAGCTCATTGGCTAAGAGTGCAAGCCGACTGCTCCATGTGAATAAACAATGCTATGTTCCCGGCAGTCGTAGAGGCAGGGAGCAGCTCTCATCGGACGCCAGATAAGAAGCCAAACATTAGCATTCAGTTCGTACTACTTACCTTAAGAACTGGCAGAGTATTCCTGGCACCAAAACAATTACAACATGCTGGTGGTTATGGTGTTTGGAGTATTATTTTAACCCCTTAAGGACCAAACTTCTGGAATAAAAGAGAATCATGACATGTCACACATGTCATGTGTCCTTAAGGGGTTAAGACAGCAATCTATTGTGAGAATTTCCCAGGTGCTTGATAAATATGAAGAACCTCATTATAACTAGTGGGACCTCAATCAAATGACATGCTTCCCCAAATTAAGTTCCTAACCCAGGAGTTAAGAAACACTGCCTTTTTTTATACACGGTTAAATCCGTCATTGGTATGATAAACATATTCCCATAACCTTTTGACTAATATTTGCACTATACCGAAGTATAACATGTGCAGCTGGGACTTCATTTGTAATAAGGGATAAAGTTTGCAACGGCAGAAATGAATGGTCTTACCTTATTTAATATATTTGGCAAATCTCTACACTTCCATATTTAGTAAATAACCCCTGTGATAATAAGTTGGAACCCTGCAGAATCTGTTGTTTAGAGTTAGACTAAAGAGAACCGTTAGCTTGAAAGGACCCTTGTTGCAACTTGCTGCGGAGTTACTGCCAAGTTACTGTGGAAAGACGGTCTGCACAGTTTCAGGATGTCAGACTGCAACACCCTCCTGCAGTTTACAAATTACAACTATCATAAATATCAATAAGTACAATCAGCTGGATAGGGGGCTCATGTCTTGTGTGACAGATTTTTTCTCTTTTTTTGTGAAATGCTGCTTTTTTAAAACATACGGGGCTATTCAATAAACTGAAAATTTTCAGCAATTGAAAGTGAATTTCAAATTTAAGGCCAAGGTAGCCAAACTGGCCTTACATTTAAAATACACTTTGCATTTGATTTGAGTTTGACGTTGTTCTTATGGCGGAAGCAGCTCTGTTTGTCAGGAAAACAGACACTAGATGTGTATTTAACCCTGCAATGTAAACATTGCAGTATTTACTAAGCGTTTTATATTGCAGGGTTAAAACTAAAGGACTACTACACATAGACCACTTCATAGAGTATAAAGTGGGTATGGGCGACTTTATTGGTCCATAAAGGAACCTGATTGAAGTAGTCTGTCTGCAGTGTCCTTGTCCCCTTAATCCTGCAATGTAATGGTTAAAAGGACACTACAGTCACCAAAACAACTTTAGCTTAATGAAGCAGTTTTGGTGTATAGATCATGTCCCTGCAGTCTCACTGCTCAATCCTCTGCCATTTAGGAGTTAAATCACTTTGTTTATAAACCTTAGTCACACCTCCCTGCATCTGACTTGCACAGCCTTCCTAAACACTTCCTGTAAATAGTCATCTAAAGTTTATCCTTCCTTTATTGCAAGTTCTGTTTAATTTAAATTTTATTATCCCCTGCTATGTTAATAGCTTGCTAAACTTTGCAAGAGCCTCCTGTGTGTGATTAAATTTCGATTTACGGAGAAAGAGATACAATTGTTTAAGGTAAATTTCATCTGATTGAAAGTGCAGTTTATTTTCATGCAGGTTGTGTCAATCATAGCCAGGGGAGGTGTGGCTACGGCTGCATAAACAGAAACAAAGTGATTTAACTCCTAAATCGCAGCGAATTGAGCAGTGAAACTTGAGAAACATGAACTACACACTAAAACTGCTTCATTAAGCTAAAGTTGTTTAGGTGATCATACTGTTCCTTTAAGACAACCTTTAGTGGTTGTATTCCAGACTGCCACTAGAGGTGCTTTCTGCATTCATACTTTGCATGAGGACGTCAAGCGTCTTCAAAATCCCCACAGGAAAGCATTGATTCATTGCTTTCCAATGATTAAGTTCTAAAGGGCGTATGCTCATGCTGCGCATGCGCATTATGTTCTGCTAACTGGCCTGACGTAGCAGAAGGAGAAGACTGATCCATGCTGTGCAGAGGTAAGTGTTTAAAGGGGTTTTAACCCTTTCTTCACTAGTTGGGGGAGGGTTGCAGTAGAAGAGGTACACTATAACATTAGTAATACAGTTTTGTATTCCTAACACTATAGTGTTTCTTTAAGAAAGAAATATCTTCATTGTGAATATAGCTAAGTCAGAATTATTATTTTTATTATTATTATTATTTTAGTCTTTATTTTACAGTTTGGATTTCAATTCACCAATTACTAAAAAAAAAAAAGAACCTACTAAGAAGTATATACACTTTATCAGCTGTAATCCAGATGTCCCAATTTAAGAAAGAATGTTGCTTTGAAGGCGCTTAATTGAAAAATCTATCTTGGGGCCTACAGCTGACAGTTATAATTTAAGCCACAGGTGCACAGTATGCAGTGCAGACACAAATCTCATGCTTAAATGTTACTACTTCTATTGAGACACAGTGGAGAGACTATAAATCAGGCTTCCCCAAACTCCGGCCCTCCAGATGTTGCTGAACTACAACTTCATGATTCTCAGCCTATCTATTTAATTCATAGAATCATGGGAGTTGTAGTTCAGCAACATCTGGAGGGCTGGAGTCTGGGGACGCCTGCTATAAGTGTTAACATGCTGAGAGAACTTTTCTCTTGTGGTTTGCACCCTGGCGGTTTCCCATTTTCAAGCAGTTTGACAGTGAATGAGGGTCTTTGGCCTCTCACAGCCCAGCCCCCACTGGAGGTATTGAGGTAAAGCAGAGATTACACACTTATTTCTAGTTATACCAATTTATACCAGCAATGTGAGCTGTGATAGGCTGAAAGCGCTCAGCTGACACTCTCAGCCAATCACCACTGTCCATTGCTGGTAAGGCTAACATTTCCTTGTTAATTCAAGAAGCACTCTTGTTTAGCATTAAAAAAAAACAGGTTAACGATGAAAGGAAGGATGGCACCAGGTGACTCCAGACACTATAACCACGTCAATGAGATGAAGCAGTTACAGTGTCCCTTAAACCACATAGCTGTCAATGCTGATCTTGCAGCTAAAGTTATTTTCTATATCGCCATTTTTTTCCCATATAGTGTGATACCTTCTAGAACAGGGGTGCCCAAAAGGTAGATCCCCAGATGCTGTAGAACTGCGACTCCCGTGATGCTTTGCATGCCTCTAGAATGACTTTAGAATGGCATAGCATCATGGAAGCTGTAGTTTTAAAACATCTTGGGATCTACCTTTTGGGCACCACTGTTCTAGAAGATATTAGATGGGGAAAAACAGGCTTCTATGAAAAAAAAGGTTTCTGTGAAAAAAAATCAGCAAGGTGGCAAGGTTTTCAGAAGAATAACAATTTGGCTCATGTACACCACAAATGTGTATATAAGTGCCCATAGAACTTTGGAGACTGGGTGTGACAACTTCTGCCCATCCTTGATATAAAATATATGTTTTATCCTGGCATTTTCTTTTTTTCTGAAATGTCTTTTTAGTGCAGAAAGCGGCTGCCCAAATTGAGTGGTTTGTAATGTCATGAATTGCAATTGAGTTCTTGTTTTCAGAGACGTTTACGTAGCACTGTCTGAGAGCAGCTAGGAAACATATCCTACTGATAAATCAATTCGAACTAGACAGGTGCTTTATTGTATGTTTTTACTTTTATGGTAGAAGGGGTACTCTGGTATGGCATCCACATTGTAATTGTCATGATGTGTCTACGAGACCTCTATAGTTGTAAAAGAGATTTTTTTTTTTTACAATATTTAAATAGCAGTTTTTTATAAGACCGAACAATAAGTAAAAAGTTGACATCAGACAAAGTACATTCCATCAAAATTTAACATATAATACAATGAAGCAAATTTTCTCTTGAATCGCAATATAACACTAAAGCATGAGCGTACCCGAGAAACATTATGGACATACCAGAGTGGCCACAATTAGATACTGGTGGAGATGTTTAGAATACAGATAGGACCAACTTCTTTACGTCAGTATCCCAATGAAAAGTGTTTAGCTTGCCAGTGAGATAAAGACAAGAGGAATAGGATAAAGGGGGAGGAAGAATATAAGAGGAGAAAATAAGAGAACCATGGGACCATGTCCTCATGTGGTCAGTCGAGGTCAAGAAGGAAGCCCCCTCTCGGGTAATGGTTGCAAGAGTGGCCTCTGTCAGTGTCCCTCCTATACTCTTAGTCTATTTTTATGGTCTATATTTTATCATGTCAGACATATTATGTTGGAAAATTATCCCTACAATCTCCTCTACGGTAGCCAACCAGTACTGCAATGTTGGTATGCCTATCGACTTCCAAAACTGGGGATGAGTGATTTGGCTGCATTTAATAAGAAGTGGAGACTCAACTTTTTCTGTGTTGCAAGAGGGGTGCTGTGGTGGAGGATGTACTCGGACCAAAGGGGCGTCAGATTATCTAAGATATCCGTAATAGCATCTTTGACTCGTCTCCAAAAGTGTGTAATTTCATGACAGAACCACCAGATGTAGAAAAAAATGTGCCAATAAAACAGGCAAGTCTAAATTATTAATTGAAAGATCTGTAAGAGAGGAGTTCTACAAGAAACCAGTTTGGTCTCACTGGAGTGGCCCCTTGGAAAAAAACAAAACTTGTTTTCGATATTCATTAACGCACACTGAAGAGAATAGAAAAATGTACATGCACTACGCATGGCTGCAAATAAATAAATATCAGGTAGGATCAGAATTAACTTTGAATATAGGAACTAAGCAGCTGTTGATAACGTTAATTTGCATGCAGTAATGGGTAATTTCTAAAAAAGTATATGCACACGCCACAAAAAAGAGTTGTTGATGACAATTCTGTTTGTCAGCAGTTTGATGGAAATATACAAAATGGAATTAGGAAACGTGTGTTTTGCACTTAATGCATCTGAAAAAACAAATTGGCTTCACTCTTAGTCACTCTCTTCTTGGAAAATGTTCATTTGAGCCCACAAGGTGTTGCAACACACAACTTTTTTTAGCAAGGCACAGAGGTTTAACAAAGACACGTTTTGGGTGGGACTAGAGAACATCTGGGTTTTGTTATGTTGCACATTAATGAGGAAGTGATTGGCATCACGTGATCCAAAATGTACGTATTTAGTAACATGCACCTGCCCCCTGCTCTCCAAATCTCCAAAGTCATGAGAAGGAGGAAGGGAGATTTGAATGAAGCGTGTGATTTGGCCGTCACAGTGACCAGTCTGCTTTGCTATCCCAATGAGACATAAGGTTCCATTTAGGGTAAGTATTGGGTTTACGGTTGGGGACTATGTAACTACCTGGCTAAGCTATACACTGGGATACTGCTATATTTGGGGTCTGTGAAATCAGCAGGATACAATTCGTGGACGTGTGAAATTTGCCATAGAAGTTTGTGTTTACATGTGTATAACAATATTGCTGCTAATTATGTCAGAAAATTTTAACAAAATAATTATGTGAAACTAGTACACAAATCCCTTTCAGCTCTGCAGAACAAATTAAATGCATGTCAAGAAACTGAGCAATTTTTTCATATTTGCCTAACAAATTAGATTTGGTCTTCCTTAGATTGTCAAGCTTATGATTCGTTCAGCCCATTTGAAAGGGATTTGTGCACAAGTCTAGTAATTGCCCTGGTTGTTTTTTTTTGTTTTTTTTTAAGTGTTCCATGATCATCATTTTGGTTCTATGGGGGGCTGATATTTTTCCCCAAAGGGTCCGGTCTGTTAAATTGAATTCTGAAATGCCCAGATCTGTAATTTGACTCTAAAACTTCCCAAAACAACCTGTTAAGCTATAATTTGAGGTACTGTGGTACCAAGGCAATTTAGCTGAACACCTATTGGGTCTTTTATTCTGCACTGGCCTTTGTTAGGACAAACTCATGATAAAAATGGCCATACATCGCAAGGTTTTTTGGGTTTCCAGATTTTACAAGCATATATAATTATGTAATAACAAAAGAAGAGTTTTTGTGTATATATATAATTTTGTGTAGCAGTTTAAGAGTGGTGAACACTAGTGAAATTTATGTCTCAACATACACTGTAGAAACCGTAAATTACTTTGTAAGTCACAGCTGCTAACCAATGACTACAAGCCTACAAAGTGTTGTTATCCCCAAAATCATCAAAGTGAATTAATCAATTTTGAGATATATTTCTCTAGGTGTAGTAATTGTATAGAAAATTAGAAAGTATTATAAGTAAAACTGTGGGGAGGGTGTGTTTTGTTGGCTGTTGTTAATGTTGTTTTATTTATTTTCTATCTGAAAACTTTATTCTGATTTTCTGTGGTTACAAAGCAACATTTGGTTCATGTTTTTTTTTTTAGACAGTAATGTTTTATATTTTGCATATAAGCGATGAAAAGAAAGCTCAATGTGCATTACAAAATATAAAATTAAAAATATTTTTAAAATAATGTAAAGACATATGTTTGGGTAGAAAATGACAAAATTGCTTTAGTCCATGATGCACAGGAACTTGGAAAAATCATGAATGTGTTAGGTTAATCTCCTTGCTGTATTTTTTGTGATTACAACAACATAAACTAACTCATATTGCTAGAACCCATGTCACATACTGGATGAGTATCACAGGAGCATATCACATTGTGTGTAGCTATTACAAAATCTTAAGAATTATAGGTTTTTTTTGGATACAGTCCCAGAAAAATAGGTCCCTGACAGCCTGCGTAAGTGGATAGGCTTTCGTGTGGCTCTCCTCCCTGTGCACTCCCACCCCAGGAAGTGGGCAGGGAAGATTGACCGGTACGAATAATATATACATTTATTTTCATGGACGCTCCTATGAAAGTATCTATTGTATAGCACTTGGTTCAACAAACATCCAAAATGTTCTCATAAAATATGTTGCTAATGTAACCAACAGGCCATCAACACAACATAACGTCCAATCATTACACATAGCGTATGAAGCTGGGACTATAAACCATTTAGCAATGACAATAAACACTGTCTGAAATAGTGGTTGTGTGGTTTAACTCCTAAGTCTGGGAGAAATGCCTGTACATTAGGGTATTGGGACAGGAAGCTAAGCATAGGGACTGTCCCATGAAATTCAGCACCGCTAACATAAATGAGTTGTATTTCAATCCTATATATCCTGCTAGGAGCTGAGTCAAAGCTTTATGGCATATCTATGGCTCTACCTCTATGCTAACTACTTGACGGTGGCATAGCGTGGGTTACCAGTGTCTAGGATAAGGGCAAGACCGTTAGCACTCCCAAGTCCCTTAACGTGTGCCTCGATATCCCCTTCCCTACCTGCCTCGTCTCCATGATGTGTGTAACACTGATAGTTGCGTTGCATCATTTTCAAAATCTACACAGAAACATAGAATGTTTAGTTCATTAGTCCCTGGCCTTATCTTTAGTCTAGGATAGCCTTAGGCCTATCCAATACATGCTTAAACTGCCTCACTGTGTTAACCTCTACCACTTCAGCTGGAAGGCTATTCCATGAGTCCACTACCCTCTCAGTAAAGTAATACTTCCACATATTATTTTTAAACCTTTGCCCCTCTAATTTAAGACTATGCCCTTTTGTTGTGGTAGTTTTTCTTATTTTAAATATAGTCTCCTTCTTTACTGTGTTGATTCCCTGTATGTATTTAAATGTTTCTATCATATTATCATGTTAAGATCCTTTAACCTTTCCTGGTAAGTTTTTTATCCAGCAATCCATGAACCAGTTTAGTAGCCCTTCTCTGAACTCTCTCTAAAGTATCAATATCCTTCTGAAGATACGGTCTCCAGTACTGTGTACAATACTCCAAGTGAGGTCTCACCAGTGTTCTGTACAATGGCATGAGCACTTCCCTCTTTCTACTGCTAATACCTCTCCCTATACAACCAAGCATTCTGCTAGCATTTCCTGCTGCTCTATTACATTGTCTGCCTACCTTTAAGTCATCAGAAATAATCACCCCTAAATCCCTTTCCTCAGATGTTGAGGTTAGGACTCTATCAAATATTCTGTACTCTGCCCTTGGGTTTTTACGTCCAAGATGCATTATCTTGCACTTATCCACATTAAATGTCAGTTGCCACAATTCTGACCATTTTTCTAGTTTACCTAAATCATTTGCCATTTGGCTTATCCCTCCTGGAACATCATCCCTGTTACATATCTTAGTATCATCAGCAAAAAGACATACCTTACCATCAAGACCTTCTGCAATATCACTAATAAAAATATTAAAGAGAATGGGTCCAAGGGAGGTATGTTAAATTCTAACTTTAGGCTCCTATTAACAACTTCTTCTGACATCTGACCACTCCACTGGATTTAGGCTGAATGGTGACTGAATAAGCAACATACGCTTATCATATGGTTACATTTTCTGTATGGCTTGTGAATATCTAAAGGATGGAGTCCACATCTTTATTTTTCATCTCCAGACTGTTCTTCTACTATGTTTGATGTCGTGATAATTTAAAGCAAGTTTTGTTCAAAGACATTCTGGATCTGTTTTGTGTCAGATTTGTCGTGCTTGCATTATGTTTAACTACAAAGAGCCTTTAGTAATTTTCGTACTTACACAATGACTGACTGCTCAATGTGATTTATTCACTAAACAATGAATTGTAGTAAATTAGAAATTTATGTGAAAAAAATCAGGTACAAAATGTCAAACAACTAACTATAGCAGAATTATAGCCCCCAACAACAACCCTGACACACCAAGCTCACTCGATACTCCAAAAATGCTCCAGAAATGCTGAACGCTGTTGGAGAAAGTCTCACCGTGCGTCTGACATTCTCCACTATAAATTTATGTTGAGCTCATACAGCTTGGCTCTTTCCTCTGCAAAAGTAAATTACTTCAATACCCTCATAACCACACTCTCCCGCAAACCCAAACAAGTATTTCATTCATTTAACTCTCTTCTTCGCCCTGTTGTTCCTCCTTCACCTACTAAAATGACCTCAGACTTTGCAACTCACTTCACTGACAAGATCTCTTCAATCAGGGAAGAGATCTCTCATCTTTCTTCTTCCCCTTACAATACTTTCCCTAACTTCACTACCTCTGCTGTTCTATGTTCATTCGCACCCGCTACATTGGAAGAGGTTTCTGCTCCAGTCCTCCTGCCCCACCACCTGCTCCCTAGATCCAATTCCCTCACATCTCATCTGTACTCTGTCTTCTTCTCTTTCTCCACCTCTCACTAAAATTCTCAATCTCTCTCCTCTGCTATATTTCCATCGCCCTTCAAACATGCAACTGTAACCCCAATTCTAAAGAAGCCCAACCTTGACCCTAACGCCCCATCCAACTCCCGTCCTATCTCTCTACTGCCTTTTGCATCCAAGATCCTTGAAAGAATTGTGTATGCGAGACTGACAGACTTCCTCGAGTCCAACTCTCTGCTAGACCCGCTTCAGTCTGGTTTCCGCGCTAAGCACTGACCAATGATACTGCTCTGACCAAAGTATCCAGTGATCTAGTCACTTCAAAATCTCGTGGTCACTACTCTATCCTAATTCTCCTTGACCTGTCTGCGGCTTTTGACACTGTTGATCATCAACAGCTTCTTCTCATCCTCCGCATTATCGGTCTACAAGATATTACTCTCTCCTGGTGCTCCTCCTACCTCTCCCATCGCTCTTTCAGTGTTTCTTTCTCTGGCTCTGCTTCTTCTCCCCAACTCCTCTCTGTTGGTGTCCCCCAAGGTTCAGTCCATGGTCCCCTACTGTTCTCCATCTATACTGCCTCCCTTGGTAAACTCATTAGCTCCTTTGGCTTTCAATATCATTTCTATGCAGATGACACGAAAATCTACCTGTCCTCTCCTGATTTCTCCCCGTCCCTCCTAACTAGTGTCTCTGACTGCCTCTCTGCTATTTCTAATTGGATGGCTGCCCACTTCCTTAAACTAAACATGACTAAAACCGCTAGATGCTCACCCAGTCTCCACTCCTTCAAAAAAATTATTAAAAACCCACTTCTTCATAAAAGCGTATCAATTGAACTGTTAATAGCTCCAGACTGATTCCTCTTCTGCAACTGTCACTAGTCTAATGCTATCCTTACCTTTTGTGTCATTTTACCCCACTCCCTCTAGCATGTAAGCTCATTGAGCAGGGCCCTCAACCACTCTGTTCCTGTCTGTCCAACTTGTCTGGTTACAACTACATGTCTGTTCATCCACCCATTGTAAAGCACTGCATAATTTGATGGTGGTATATAAATAACATAATAATAATAATAATAATAATAACTATAATTAGACCGTTTTTGCAACTTGGTTATTTCTGACAACATCTTGCAAATTAGCTTTCAGACACAGGGTGTACAGTGAGTACCCAGGGCCACCGGAATTTTAGACGTGATGATTGCTCCATAAGCCGAGAAGACCAGCTCTGTTCCCCCTCTTATTTTTTTTTAATTCATTGTCATTCAGATCACTACAATTCACAAGTGAATATCCCCTAGTCTCTTTATTCAAACCATATAGTTGATATGACTGAGATTATGCTAATAATGTGCACACGATTATATGTGCCTTCCCAACCATAGACGTGCATACAGGAAGATCTAGGAAGGTCTCTTTGACCGGTCCTGTACTCTCTTGTCATTTTTTATTAAATAGGGAGGTCTTAGATGATTGGCATGGAGAAGAATAACATAGAGCAGAAACACAGGATATAATCTCTTGCCTTGGTATTACACATATTCTATAAAACAAAGTCATATTCCACACACTGATTAGCCAACTTTACAAATCCTCCATGCCTGCAAATTAAGCAGAGCTTCAAGCACATCTATTAGGACCTTGTAGTCATCTGCCAAATGATTCTTACTATGAGATTTACTCTTTGAGAAGCCTGTGATTGGACCCTGCAAGGCCCCTCTGACATCAGGACTGTACGTAGAAGTCTCCCGGTGCTGGATTCCAGGTAAGTAAAATGTGTTTCTTTTTACAGGTTCTATTGCACTGGGGGGTGCGGTAAACATTATTCATAGCGCCAAATTTGCCACTTTTCACAGAAAAGGTCCCCCCTCCCAAGAGTTGAAGTAACCCTTTAATCATAGACTATGACTGGATACAAAATACATGAGACCATGGTGCAGCTTGTGTGTCATGTTGTTTTTATGATTCATGATTAAAAAGAATTTATTCAGTTTCCTCTATAATTTAGCATTAAAATAAAAAATCCTGTAACTCATCTACATGGATTTCAACAGCTGCATATTGCACCTCTGAACTTATTAAATTTTTACCTTATAAAAGCTCTTTATCTAGGACAGTGGTTCTCAAACCAGTCCTGGTGGCCCACCAACAGTCCAGGATTTATGTATTTCCCTGTTTTATTCCAATGGGGATACTGACAAAACCTGGACTGTTAGTGGGTCTTGAGGACTGGTTTGAGAACCACTGATCTAGGACCTCAATCACCCAGTCCTCACGCCTAAAAGAAGAAAAACTACCACAACAAGAGGACATAGTCTTAAATTAGAGGGACAAAGGTTTAAAAATAATATCAGGAAGTATTACTTTACTGAGAGGGTAGTGGATGCATGGAATAGCCTTCCAGCTGAAGTGGTAGAGGTTAACACAGTAAAGGAGTTTAAGCATGCGTGGGATAGGCATAAGGTTATCCTAGCTATAAGATAAGGCCAGGGACTAATAAAAGTATTTAGAAAATTGGGCAGACTAGATAGGCCAAATGGTTCTTATCTGCCGTCACATTCTATGTTTCTCCCAAGTGTCCCTATTTAGGATGGGCAGTGCCTATTTTGTTCCCAAATGCATGTGTCCCTCTTTTCTAGGAGTTCCATATGGTTGTTGTGTCTGAGTATATAACAGAGCTCCACAGCAATAACCCGCACATTAATGTGTCTTAAACCACAATAACTTTGTTGTTATTAATTGTTATTAACAAGTCACCTAAAATTTCAGAGAACAGCCCGTCTTTGGCCACACACCCACTCACACTCTTAAAATTTAAGTATCTTCTCTATCCATTAAAATGTTGAGAGGGACATAATAATATATTTGTAATTTTGTGCTGGAGCTAGTTGCATCCCCAGCACACATGACATTGGTAGCCCGCTACTTCGGAATGCGTAATCTCATTTCTGTACATTAATTACGTCTGTTGTCAGTGGGCTCTGCAGGCTAATAACAGACATCGAACTCTTCCCGTTGCAAGAAAAGCGCCTGCAAAAAGGAAAGCAGCCCTACCCTCCCTCCCTGTGGGTTCTCCCTCCATCGCAAATTTGGCTTTTTTAAAAACAAACTTCCTCTTTCCCACTTCCTCCCCTCTCCAGTGCAATGCGTGCATATACTATGAGCTGACCAAATGGTCCAATCACAGCTTCTCTATAATGTCTCAGTGAGGTCAGGAGGGGGCGCGGAAGTGCAGTGCCGGGAGCTTGGGCCGGTGCTCGGTTTCAAGTAAATAAACTGTTTTTGGAGGTTTTACTAAAACTTAAAGGGGGAGGTAGGAGGGGCTTCTCCACAGTACCCAATAGGGCATATTGCACCAGAAAGGTCCACCCTCTCAAAAGGGTTAACCAGAAGTATGACTTTTCTTGGCTCCATTCACCATCAATATGTAAGGAATGAAGGTAAAGGGTCCAAACAGGTAATCTGCCTAGGGCCCTGTAGGATCCAAATTCTTCTCTGGCGTTTGCGATTCTGAGAAACAGGTTATGAATTAGGTACATTTTCTTTTGGCAGCGAGCTGAGCTGCAGGTGTGCAGCATGAATGTATGGAGCAGTAAGGTATTCTGTAAGACGTTTGTTTGCCAAGGTTTGGGATTCTGGCTGCTGCAAAGTTTGGCACTATTTTCTGCACATTAGCTATAAGCGTGAAATTGTAAAGTTACTGGTATTCTAGTGAGAGACGTTGGATATCGTACAGAATTGTTGAAGATCAAGAGAGTTAAAGCCTGATCTCAAATCAAATGAAACAAACGCTACTGCTGGAAGATGGCTAATACAAAAAATTGTATTTGTAATTTAAATCGGTACTGTCCCACCTCCATTCAAAAATAAGTATTTCCTAAATATAAAATCTTTATGAAATACGCAGATTGACTGTGTTGGAATTTCATTGAAGTTCCAACCCAATCAAAAGATATACTGAGACAGTGTAGGGACTTCTTTGTCTCAGTATTTTTCCTACACCTGACAAAGCTTGACACTAGACGGAGCTACCACTATTAAGCCCTGTCATTTCAGTAGTGATGGCTGTAGGGAAATTAATCTCTTTCTATGGAGACTCCTGAGGTCTCACAGGATCCTCCATAGACCTCAATTCTGTACTCTGGCGAATGTGCGAGAGTACATTGCTGACAATGGCTCCTGGCAGCTGTACGGGCAGGAAGAGGATGGCGACGCCTGCGTGGGACTGGTTCGGGTAGGTAAACTTCACCTCTGCCTGCATCCCCGGCTATCGGACTGTGAGCAGCAATGTTACCACCTGGTATCTTTAAAAAAATTATACTGTCAGGTCCCCTACCCCCGCTCCTCTTGCGGCGACCTTGCTTACCTCATCACAGCGAGCGGCGTTATTTGGCCCCAGTGTGTCTGACGCTGCACGCTCCAGAGCAGCTTCCTTATATGTGTGCTGCACCCAGTCATGTGACCGGGTACACAATGATGACCTCCAAGACCACAAGGGAGAGAAGAAACTCCTCCCTCGTGTTGTGGTTAACACTAATTGGAGGTTAGCCAATCAGACACCCTGTGTGTATATAAGTTAACCTCTCCCTTGCCTCAGTGCCCTGTTGTGGTCTTTGGTTAACCATTGAGCATTGCACTTGTTATTTGGATTTCCTGGTTACTAATATTTGGCTTAGTCTCTCGTTATTCCGCCTCTCTGTTTTCCTTGACCTCGGCTTGTGTTTTGACTACCCCTTTTTGCATAACCCGATCATTCTAAGGATCGGTATTGCAATTCTCTCTACTCTGTCCTGTCTGCGTGTAAGGGTACCCTAGTGAACGTTACATATACAAAGACCCCAGGTGGTAACAGATCCGCCTTAATTGAAAAGCTGGAAAATGTGCTGTATTTTTGGGGGGCCGCATAAACTAAAGACTAGAATGTGTCTTTCAATTCTTAATCTTTGCAGAAGAAGATCTGGGAATTGTCTGCAAAGAATGTCCAGCCAAATATATATTTTTAAATTTTAGTTACACGTTTTAATCCAGTATTTATCTAAAGAATAAAAAGTGAAGAGAAGTTTTATCTGTGGCCCTGCTGTCCAATTAAACCAATCTGCTGGGGCAATGCTAGATTAGAGGATGATAATTGACACATAAAGGATGTTTACACTCAATAAATGTGGGGTAATCTGCTACTCCTGAGTTATTTGCTATTTGAATATTCATAAAAAGAAAAATTGTCAGACGCATCTGACACGAGTTCCGGCCCGGCGGATGGAAACCGGTACAAAAGTGGTGGCTATCAAGCACAAAATCACTCGAGGGTGTGCCACCCATGTCGAGGTGCCCCGCTGATCACAACGACACCACTCCGGTGCATGCGGAAGCCGGGAACACGGAGATCCAAATGCGGCCTACTGGGGCCAAAGTGGGGGGGGAGACCGCCGCTCCCCTCGGCGCACGAGCCCACAAGCGATCTCATCACAGCCTTCCCCCCCGGACCGTGGGGGATATCTCGGTCCCCTCTGGCCACACAGACCAGCAAGGAAAGCGTGCAACACAGCCACAAGACATGGCGGGGCAACAGACCCACAAGGTACAGTCAAAATGGCTGCCCAGCCCAGATCTACAAAACGGAGCAACCGCTCTAAAGCACACATGTCCCCTATGGAAGGAAAGCCCTGCCAAGCCGAGGGGCAACCCACCGACAAGCTGACCTAACAGTGGCCTTGTGGATAAGACCAGCAGCGAGACGCAAATATTATAAGCAGGTACCCCTAGCATCTAAGATGGCCGTCAGGCAAATCCGATACCACAGGGTCCTGAGAAACGCACGCTCCCACCCGCACACAAGCAACACAGGGACCTTAAAGCAAGCGACGCACGCAAATAAAGCGTCTGACCTAGATTCCGGTTACAAGCGCAGCACCAAGCACCTCTCCCCGACCAATGCTGCAACACAAGCGGCTAAGAGGCTACACATCATGAAGAGGCTTAGCGGAGCTGACCCCTGCAACAGAAACACCGAGCCCTGCGGCCATTATGAGCCTGCAACACTCCGCAGCCACGCTATAGCACCCAGCCCATGGGGGCCCAGTGAGAGAGAGGTCTGGCGGGGAGACATCACCGGAGACCTGCATAACAGCCACCATGCCAGCGACGCCCGGGCGTCGGATGAACAACCAGGACTTACCAACAGTAATCGTGAGCTCCATGTTGTGCAGTATATGGAACCACGAGATGCAATGCTTTACACATGTAATAGTAATTAAACCCTTACTGTTTGAGCCCAAAGTGCAATTAATCTCCCAGCACCAGCCTAATCTAAAGCATGGTCCGTGTGCAACCCTAAGGGGCCATTGGCCAACAAAACCCTAGTGGGTACATCATGGGCAGGCAATGATTACCGTTATAATTGTATTATTTTGGGTCATGGTATGCTGAATCTCAAATGGCGATTAAGAATTGGCGGTATTAACCCCCTCACCCCTCCTCGGTGGCTTAAGCATGTATTTTTCAACTTACGACCACTCTTAACATGTCTGACAATCTCCCTGAACCACACTTTTCACTTATCGTAGTACATGTAAACTTAGCATGATTATTATTTTAATAAAATAATGTACCTAAGCTTAGGGTGACTGGAGTAACTAGGAGGTCCCGGGACTTTCTTTGGTTTAAAGCTGTTTAATTTCTCTGCAACGACCTGTAAATACGTTTGAACGCTAGCATTATACCACACTAAGATGTGATCCTGCATGCAACACACTATGTCTCCGCTTGCACACATATAGATGAAGCACTTTTAATCTGCCTAGCATATTCTAAAAACATTGAACTAGCTAAGACTGCTCATATATATGTACGCTAACCTCATAATCTGTCTAGCACATACTATAACATAAAACGTTATCTTACACAACTATCACAGACAATAAGGAAAGCTCACACTCTATCACTGTCTACCCACAGTCTATATCTCTATATCAGTCTATATCTCCCCTCAACAAACACAAAAATGTGCTGCCTACTGTTATACCATGCACAACAGAAAATAAAGAATTTAAAAAAAAAAATGTAAAAAAACATATGCGGCCAAATTTGGATGTTCACCTTCTATGCAATTTTAATGCTGAGCACTTTGCTGTGTCAGGGTTGATTTGCTTGTAAAAGACCAGTGTCAGTGTCCAAACTGGTAAGGGTCCAAACCGGTTATTGGCTTATAGCTTTGAATTTGCACATTTGGAGAGATCTGCTTCATTGCTTTTTATGGGTGAGATGCAGACCGGGGCATTTGCTTTTTAACAAAGACAAATGGCCAAATTCAGAACATAATGACTTAAGTGAAGAATGAATTGTATGTTGAACACAATTTTGTTCATGCAATTTGTCTGTTAGGTGAGAGAACATTTCCAGACAGAGAAAGTGTTAAAGGAATACTTACAACTTGTATTTCAAGCACTATAGTGCTGGACTACATAAGTAGGTGTCTGGGCTCCCTGTCTGTAGAGTTTAAAGGTGTTAAGCTTACAGTTTTTCCACTGTCGTGCCGGTCTCGCTGTGGCTGATCTGGCATCCATGGACTTGACTATATTAATTGCTTAGAAGGAAAAAGTTATTATTAAAGATGACATAATGTAAATAAATATTTACACTACCCCTCTTACATATATGTTTTGGGTGTTTCTTTTACAAGTTTAACTCATTTGAAATTAAACGCTGGGTGAAGCTCCTGGAGCTACTCAGCACGGCTCCTCCTGACGTCACAGCAGCCACGGCTTCTGATACATGGTTGTTTCACAAAAGATCAACATTGGTCAGTATAATCAAATCCAGACAACCGACTAGTTGGTGTTTTTAATAAATGTCAGAAATACTTTCCAAATGATTTATCCGCAAAAGCCACCATTAAAGTGCATGGGTGTTTTTGTAGATAAAAAAAAAAAATTCCAAATGATTTAAGTTTTTAAATATAATTTTTTTTTCAAAATATTAAAATATCCAAAAATATAGCATTCACAAAATGTACCAAATAATATAAAAATATTGAAATAATAAAGCAATTTTTTTCAAAATATTAAATAATTTAAAAAAATATAGCCAAAATTTTTAGATAATATTGAAAAGTTTATCCAGAAATATTCAATCAAGGCTCAGCTTTCCAAATATTAAGTGGAGGCCCAAGTTGTTCCCAACACGATATTCAAGGCAGACCAACCATCCAGGATTTAGGTATATCAGTAGTCTGCAGCAGTGGACTACGAGTGTGCCTTAAAGACTGCGCAAGCTTTTACGGGTCTAATTACTGAAACACTGACCGGGGGTGGTATTTATTTGTTAATACAGAGTACACGGATGGTGACGTCATCCTTGCATTTATTTCTCGTAATGAACTCAGTATAATGTACCGATCACCTCCATGCGGTTCGGAGGCCCTAATTTTGGACAGAATTGAGAAATACATGTTCTGGTCTGCCCGAGCTTAGTGGGAGTTACACTTCCAAGTGAAGACGATGTAATCTTAATACAGCTTGTTCCCTTGCTGGATTAGTGGCAGTAGCTCCAATTGTTGTCCTCTGGGACTATTACTCTCACTAATACAGTCTGTGCCCCATTGCTGATCTAACAGTAAACATTTAAGAGCCTAACACAACTAACCCCAACCTAAAAATATCACGTTAAATAAAAGATGCATAATGGCAAGTAGTATATTAGGGAAAAATAATGCTATCTTGAGGTTCTGGAGACATATATAAACCACTTAGCCTTTGGTCCATGTGGTTTATTAAACGTCCATTATGCTACCCATGATTTGATTTGATTTCCTTCCTTGTATTTTGTAGACTGTAAAATATGCCGGCTTTCTCTGATGCCAGTGTTAGCTGCTCCTGAGACACTATGCTTTCCCAGGCTCGTCTACTTCTGAGATTTCTAAACATCACATTCTTTACATTCTCAATGTTTCAGAATGGCAGTCTTCAAATTAATCCCATGGTCCTAAAAAAAAACCCCACTAACATAATACCATTGATGTCATTGACTGCACTTTTTGCCAAGAACAATAAAACGAATGTCTACTTCACTTGTCACCCTTTTTGGGCATCTATGACGTCCTGTATGGATTTGATGACACTGAAGAATATTCATTTGTGAAATTGTGAGTGTTTGTTTGTAATCTGTTAATTATTGTGTATCTTGAGTTTTTGGTAGTAAGGATACAAAGGAATGAATCAGATCTATTAAGACCTGCAGCTATTTATAGAGATGTCTAAAACTCAGAACATAGTTGAAGTCTGGACATAGTTTAATTACAGCGTGTCAGCAACAGAAACGATCTGGTACAATAATTGCTTTTTCCTTTAACTCCCAGCATGCATAGTCAGCCATTAATTAGCTATATATGCTTACTCTACATTACTGTTACCATCTTCATCCTGGGTTATTCAAAGTGACACATCAAAGGGATACTATAAGTGCCAGGAATATAAACCTATATTCCTGACACTATAGCCCCTCGACTCCCCCCCTCTTCCACCCCAAACTTGTGTAAATAAGGGGTTAAAAAATCTTTATTTACTTACCTTATCCCAGCACCGATGTCCCTCGGAGCTCTGACAGACCGCGCCGAGCCGGTGCTAATGCGCATGTGCAGAAAATGCAAATGCCGTGCGCGTATTAGACCTTCTCATATGAAATCATTGAATCAATGCTTTCCTAAGGGGAAAAATCTGACCCTGGATGTCCTCATGCAGAGCGTGAGGACGTTCAGCGTCAGGTACCGGACCAGAGGTTCGTTTCGATTCAGGAAGCCCTCTAGTGGCTGCCTGTTAGACAGCCACTGTGGGCAGACTTACTGCTGCAATGTTTCTCTGGAACTGCAATGTTTAACATTGCAGCACTAGGTGCAAAAGGGACACAGCACCCAGACCACCGCAATAAACTGGAGTCTTCTGGATGCCTACAGTGTCTCTTTAAGGTCTTAGGCTGCCCTAGGGAGAGATTAGTTGATGTGCCCACACATATAAGATAAACCATTTAAAGGGACATAAATAATCCATGTTCACTTTTACAAACATATAATTAGCATCTCACACAACTATTTAGCCACATACATATATATGTTTATCATACTGGGCTTGTGTCCAACCTTGTAGCTAAATATACTCTAAGGCTAAGCTGTAACAATACTCACTAGATATTAGCAGGTGCGTATTACTATCAAGTTTCAAAATTGTTGAATAATTTTAATTACAACTGTATCTGTATATAACTTTCTCAGAAAATATGGAGGTCCACATTTTTGAGAATGTTTACAAGCCGTGTAGTGCACAGACATCTGTTTCTGTGTGTGTGTGTGTATCTAGTGTATCTTACCCAAAAATACATGCGCTGGACAATTATACCGCTCTGTAACATTCTTTCTCGTGCCATTTAATTCCACCAGATATAGGATGAGCTTGTTAGATACACGCTTGTTGGAACTATTAAGCAGCCCAGTCACTGTAGAATTTTTTTATTTTTTTTCCGGTGAATAGTTCTGTTGGAATTTGACAAGCAGACATTACAGCAATTTTTTTATGTGATTACTCTGCTTTCAACAGAGTGGGCTGATAGCAAGTAAAAAAAATCTCTATTAGACTGCTCACTGGAAAACCGAATTCTAAAATGCCAAAAAAGGTTAAATGTACCATAATAAATTGTGAAATAAGTCAGACGAGTGGTGTCGATGGCGTAAAGGAAGCAGTACACAAATCACTTACTTGCACTTGTCCACTCAGCCACAGCTGGATGAAATTACCAGTGGACTGTCATCAACCGGGATAGAGATTGTCTGGGCAGTCACCGTTCTATTAACGGCGTTCTCAACAACCTTCACTCTTGGCAGCTGACTTACAGTCGGCGTACTGTGTCATCTACTGGTTATTTATTTAACTTTTGTTTGTTTGTTTGTTTTTTAATGAATGTACATCAGCAAACAAAAAAAGACTGCAAAATGGTGTAATAAGTCAACCCAATTTTAAAATCTTGTAAGGTAAAGCACTCAGTGTAAAACATTGCTGTTTTGTAGAAAATGCAGTGTTTACCTTGAGAGACTTATTGTCCCCTTGCCACCACCTGAAATTTCAGAAGTCGAATGCTGCCTGGGTGGAAGCTGAGACCGGTGCTGGAGGCAACATCAGAGTTGAACCGGTCAAAAATGGTTTAACCCCTGTAGGTAAGAATGTGCCCGTGGGCCTCCTGGCACCATAACAACTTCATTCAGTTGAAGTTGGTTTGGTGCCTGGAGTGTATCTTTAACCCCTTAAGGACCAAACTTCTGGAATAAAAGGGAATCATGACATGTCACCCATGTCATGTGTCCTTAAGGGGTTAAAGGAACACTATAGGGTCAGGAACACAAACATGTATTCCTGTCCCTATAGTGTTAAAACCATTATTTAAGTGGCTTGCCCCCCATTAACCCTCTTAAAAGATAATAAAACCTACCTTATTTCCAGTGCTGTGCGGGTCTGTTGGTGCTGGCCCTGCCTCCAATCCACCTCATCAGAATTTATGATTTCAGCCAATCCAATGCTTTCCCATTGGGAAGGAGGCAGGACAGGGGTGGGGCCAAATGCCGACTTGAATCAATTCATCTCTATAAGGAAAGTTCAGCATCTCCATGCAGAGTGTGGAGATGCTGAACAGCAGTGCTGCACACTGTGCAGCACTGACTCAGGAAACACCTCCAGTGGCCATCTGAGGAGTGGCCACTTAAAGTGTCCCTAGGGGGACACCTTAAGGCAGTGTTTGATGAAAATGCATGATGGGAATGATTATGCTAACCAGAACAAATACATTAAGTTGTAATTATTATGGTGATTATAGTGTCCCTTTAAGTTGTTCCTTTATCTTTTTTATGTTTTACCTATGCATCTCTATTGTGATCTAGTATGTATAATGTTTTGTCGATTTGTAAGTAAGCAAAGCAGGCCATACATATGGACACATAGTTTGACAATTACCTGTTATTTATTGTAACGTTAATCTACACAACTGCATAGCTATGTCCTGTAATTCTGTAAAGATAATGCGGAAAAAAAATATTTAAAATAAGCAAAATAAAAAACGTATACGTACATTAAGATTCAGCCATTTTCTGATGATTCATTCGGATATTTATTTAGCAAGTTACCATTTCCTTTGAATAACTGGACACAGTACTAAGCCTTATATCTTATAAAAGCTTTAATAAAATGAACTGTGCTTCATTTATCCTTATAATAAATCCACTGTTTAATTCCGGCCATGAATGGATTTAAATAAATCTCCAGACACTTTAGGGGTTATGTAACATAAAGCAAATGTTGTATTCTTCTGCGAATATCCGATTAGCCCAGTGTTTATTTGCGTGGATATTGTTTATTGATTCTTAAGATTTTAGCATGCTAAGAGGAAGTTTGTGTACGTAACTGCTGAAAACCTAGCATATTTGTTTGGTGACATGGAAAACAGTCTTCACTAAGGGCAGATGGATTGTATTTGTGGTCTACAACCCTCAATTCCATTACTCCTTTGGTTATATTGATGTCTTTAAAAACTTGGACAGGGTTCAGAATATCAGTTTAGCAATACTCGGCAAAGCTGCGATTTTCTGTTGCTACATAGTTTGGAGTGAACAATCACTTCTTGTTAAATGAGAAAGTAAATCAGTTTAGGCTAGTTCAAGTACCATAACTATTGCAGCACTGCTCATTGGCTTAGCGCATAAGCTGATTGCTCTCAGCCAATGAGCAAAGCCCTGCACCACTGTAGTCGTTATAGTGCTTGGAGTGTTTATTTGAGTATTCGACCAGGAAAAGAAGCCCGAAAGGTAAAACAGATCCCTAGAACTACAAATATAAAAGGAATATGTTGAAATCCGTAAAGCGTGTCTGTCACCAACTGTGGTCTTTGCATATTTTGCAAAGACCTCCGATGATGGATTGCCGCGGGGGATTCGTGGCAAAGGTAAATTTTACTTAACTGAACCTATCCCTTGTCCGTAGCTTCAGCTGCATGTGCGAGATTACAGCATTGAGGTCTATTGAAGAGACCGCAGGATCCTCCATTGAAAGAGTTTAATTTCCCTGCAACCATCACTGGTGATGGTTAGGGGAAATGACAATCTTGTCGACGGAGACCCAGTGTCAACCTTTGTCAGGCGTAGGAAAAATACTGAGAAACAGTAGTCTCTACTTTGTATTAACATATATTTTGACTGGGTTGGAATTTCAGGGAAATTCCAACACAGTCAATCTGAGTATTTGAGATTCTATCTTTATAAAATACGCATTTTGGGTGGGTGACCAGCTTCAACTACTATATAGATGACAGTTAGGTGAAATGCAGTATATTTCTGGCGAAACCTTCTCTCAAGTTGAGCAATGTGAGTCGGCTATCGATGCATCTAACACAGAACGCACATGGCTACAAATTCACAACTGAGCCCCAGTCTATCATTATGAATATTTCAAGATAATGTTTTCACATAGTTTTTTTTAAATTAATTTGAAAATAAAAAGTACGTTAGCAAGAGCTCATACACAAGTACAGTGAACACTCACCAATAACATGGGAGATGGGTTCTGTGGTTTAACAAAATAAACAATTATAGTGCGAATGCTCCTAAAATATTTTGACCAGTTAAAATAGATCACAGTGTGGCTATTTTGTCAGTCCCTTCAGTGGCTGTTATTTTTTAGTTACATTTTAGCTACAATTATGCACCAAGTGTCTGCTTATGCATTCTGTTGGTCTACTAATCTTGCCCTATTCTTGTGCCTTTATTTTATTTTTGTGTAATAAAATATATATCACACCTAATTATTATTAACTGGTTGAAATCTTTTCGGAGCGCTCACACTATAATTGTTTTATTGATCTCACATATTTAAGTCGCTATCTCTTAGTGTGTGAAGCAGCCCATGGTCATTTATATAGATTTATTTATCTCACCCATGCTTTGTACATACATTTTAATCTGTGATGTTACAAAGAATATTGGAAAAATACAATATAGTTCCATCCGTAGATCATAGTGATGCATAGCTTAGAGAAGCTGACTGGATTGTCAGACAGATACCTCCCTCATCGTGAAGAGGCTCTACCAATCACGAATCTCTCATTCTGGTCTACTCTTATCCAATTAAGTCCTGCAGAGCAGGGGCTTATAAGATAGGTACTTTTATCCTCAGCTGCAGTTACACTTATCGGGGGGTGGAGAACTAGGGTAAATGATCTCCCTGAAATGCCACACAGGTATCCCATTTCCCGTCTCGTGATAGCATCCTGGTGAGGAGTGCTGGATCCTGGATAAGTAAACGCAGGAAGGGTGGCAGTCACTAGGATAGCTGCTCCCTGTTTGACAGCCATTACACAGACAAAGTATATGGTCTGTCAAATCAGGCACAATAGGCCAACTGACGCGGTACTGAGAAGTTTTGCTTCCTGTGTGTAAATGGTTCTCTGGCAATGAGAGAAGTGATTACAGAGGCCAGTCTCAGAGGTGTTGGCAGGAGTTTTGCAATCTTTTATTTTCCATCTTGCAAGGTCTCAAAGCACTTTAGCAGGACCTGAAACCCAAGGGTCACAGTGTACTATCCCTTCTGATTTCCCATTCTGCTGGATCAGGGGGCTGCCTCTTAAGCATTTCAAGGGGCAATGTGAGCTCGAAGGGCAACCGTATTTCATATATAATTGTATGTACGTGTTTGAGGGTGTCATTGTGTGTGTTTGTGTTTGAGGGTGTCATTGTTAGTGTGTTTGAGGGTGTCATTGTGTATGTTTTTCTGAGGGTGTCATTGCATGTAGTGTATGTTTTTGAGAGTTTAATTTTGTGTGAGTTTGTTTTTGTAGATATAATTATGTTTGAGTGTCTGAGGGTGTAAATGTATGTGTGTTTGAGAGTACAATTGTGCATGAATTTATGTGTCTGAATAACAGGAGCCAGATAATGTATCTATGCCTCAGCACGCATGTATTGACACACACATGCCTAATCACATTTGCATACATAAATACACACAAACTAACACTCTACACAAAAGCTACCTACAATGTGTGTTACATTAGAGGCCCACAGCAATAAAACAAACAGTGATAGGCATTAATGATTCTTATTTAGTACCTCAACTAAATAATGTTACAGTGTTGCCCCTGACATGCTGCTTGTAGTGGAGGGGACGCTTGCCAGACACTCTTGATTCCTTTTTCTGGGCTGTCCGTATCCCCTGTAGCTGAATTACCACCTTTCGTGTATTTTTTCCAGTATGTTTCGTGTGGTTCCTCTTTAGCCGTTTGGGAGACTTCATACGAACAGAATCCCTTCGTCTCCCGAACGAGGACCACCCCTGTACCCCATTAGAACATTGACACCAACCACTTAAGTGTGAAACCGCAAGGGAAATAATTAATTAATGCTTTCCCTGGGTGGTCGCCATTTCGACCACCGAAGACATGGTAGAGAGACTGGCGGCCATCTTGTTTCCCAAACGTGGGCAGCGGTACTTGGTCGTCGAGTGCCAGGAACTCTTTTAGTCTAGGCACTCACACGAACACCGGTAAACCTCCGACCGCTGCCTGTTCCCGACCACCTACACGAATGGCGTTCGGGAGATATGAACTACCGAACAGGGGGAGTATTCATACCCTGAAAGCAAGCAATTCCCTTGTATGGCGTTCGCACAGGAACCTCACAAACTGAGACCGGCCAGGACACCTATTTCCTGGAACTATTTTGGGCTATCGCCTCATGTCTGGTCAGTCAAAACTACACCACGATGGCATTCCCGTTCTACCTAATCGATCTGAGTGATTCTTGGATATGCTGGACCCTCAGATCGTGGCTATCGGGGAATGTACTTTCTGTGGGGTTCTTAGGTATGGTTGGGGTACTTTTGGGGTAGGGATATTTTGTGGATTTTCTGTACCTGAGCGATATTTAAATTAGAGGAGTTAACTCAACCAATTATCTCTCAGGCACAGGGGAATCTGGGATTGAAACCCCTGCATTTCTTGTGTATGAAACCCCTTGCATGGGACTGGGCATAAAAGCCGTGTATGTGATAATAAAGTTCAGTTGTACTCCCAGAAACGTGTATCGTCCATTTACTGGGGAGGAGGTGGATTATTCGTTGGCTGTTTTCTGATATTCCTGATAGCTTCTTGGTATACCAGCGGAGAAAAGTCCCTGTTAGGACTAGAGCTCCGCTACACTGCTATAACCACATAACCACACTGCTCTAACCACTGCGCTTCAGCTTATTGGCATTCAGCTGGACACATCAAAGGAAAAAGGTTTTCAAAATATTTTGCCGTTATAAGGCACTCTCACAGTTAATAGTGGACTCTCCGCAAAATAAATATTGCAAACATGCAAAGTTGTCATGGTGTTTAGAGTGACCCATTAATCTGTTTGAAAGCTACCTTTAAAAAAAAAAAAAAAAAAAAAAGCTATTTTAATTTATGGCTATTCAAATCAAGTCTAGAAAGAGCAGACATAAAACATGTCTGCACAAACAGATTTTTAAAAGAAAAATGTTAATGCAAAGCAGAAGAGGAACATACGATGCACACTGACACAGCCTGACACAAAGACATTCCTATATACGTATATCTTCTGTATTAACAACATGCTCAAGCTGCATTTGACTAGAGAGTTAATTGAAGTGGTCTGGTCGAAGTGTCCCTGTTCCCTTAACACCTCAATTTAAAACATATTACATCCCTAACCTTCCATCTTCCTCCACCATCCCCACCCCGACACAATCAAAGGGTTAAAAAATATATAAAACTTTACCTGATTCCAGCGCCTGATTGTATACCATAACCACTACAGCATGCAAATGGTTTGCTGCAATATCAATTCTGTCTTTCATTGGATGGATTTTGGTGGCTGTAAGCATCAGCTGACACTCGTTAGTCAGTTTAGTCCAGTTTTAGACCAAATAATTATTGCAAAAGGGAGACATCGAATTAATGATGGGGCTTTAATGATGTCACATATCAAACTATTTGAAAATGGTTTTATAAATGGTTTGCAAGAGGGGAACAGCTATAGCATTAGAATAGCATGTTTCTGTTCCTAAAGCTTTCGTGTTCCTTTAATTCACTGCTGCTACACACCATTTTGTAAACATGACATTTGGGCGTGATATTTATTTGAAAAATGCCAGGTGAAGCTGCATCGTGCTTGAATTAAGCCATTGTAATGATTGCAGCATCATTAACTTAGTGTTCTTTTTCTGGCAAAGAATGGTTTAAACACAGATGTAAAGGAAAATGTGTTTCAATAGAACATTGTTTGTCCTGCTATGACTTGACATGCAGGCAGAACACTCCTAAAGCAGTTTGGATTCCGAAACCCACATTAATTCTTAGAAACGTATAAATATTCTACTTTTAGCCCTGCTTTATTTAAAAATGTACATTGTTATGAGCTGACTGAAAATAGTATGGATGGCATGATTTGGCATTTTGTGAACGGTAAACCAGCTTTAGAAGCAAAAGAAGGCTAACCAGGGCTGAGAGCCATCACTAAGAGATACGTATAATCATAATTTAATTTATTATAGGGACACTCAAGCACCATTAACACTACAGCCTATAAAAGTTGCATATTATCAATCACAATTTTTGTCAAACCATTTTAAGCTTTCTACATGCAAATGGACCTCACCTTACCTACCATTATTACCATGTTTGCCATTATTTTTATCGGTTTTAGCCCGTAGCATTCAGCATATTTTACTTTTTACCGAAGTAGCTTGAGACAGAATATCAAATCTTTTATATATTCCCATTGTAATTCCCATCTTTCCTATGTTATTAAATACCCTCACTACTAGATTCTTGTTATCTCTGTAGCATGCTCTCCTCTGTATTAGCTGTCATCGGACCCTTCAAATAATACCTTTTACTACGGATGCTTTTATTTCAATTTGAGCTCTCTCTGCCAAGTTCTCACTAAAATAGGACCTTCATCTCATCCTCTGTTTGTCAAATTTTGTGTTGTCTCAGATGTGTTGTACCTTTGTCTTTTTACTTGTATCAATTTTACCCATGTACACTGTCGTGAAATGTGTTGGCACTTCCCTCCCACTGACCTTCCATTTTTGTACATTTGTACATAGGCCACATAATCTTTTGGTTGGCCCTTTGCAACAAGTAAGTGTGGGGTCCACCATATCACTTCTCTAGTACAAAGAAAATTGGGAATTTGTTTTTTAAATCCCTTGGCCTTGGCCAACAGAACTGATCTTGGTTGTATAGGGAGAGGCATTAGCAGTAGAAAGAGGGAAGTGCTCATGCCATTGTACAGAACACTGGTGAGATCTCACTTGGAGTATTGTACGCAGTACTGGAGACCGTATCTTCAGAAGGATATTGATACATTAGAGAGGGTTCAGAGAAGGGCTACTAAACTGGTTCATGGATTGTGGGATAAAACTTACCAGGAAAGGTTAAATGATCTTAACATGTATAGCTTGGAGGAAAGACGAGACAGGGGGGATATGATAGAAACATTTAAATACATAAAGGAAATCAACACAGTAAAGGAGGAGACTATATTTAAAAGAAGAAAAACTACCACAACAAGAGGGCATAGTCTTAAATTAGAGGGACAAAGGTTTTAAAATAATATCAGGAAGTATTACTCTACTGAGAAGGTAGTGGATGCATGGAATAGCCTTCCAGCTGAAGTGGTAGAGGTTAACACAGTAAAGGAGTTTAAGCATGTGTGGGATAGGCATAAGGCTATCCTAACTATAAGATATGGCCACGGACTAATGAAAGTATTTAGAAAATTTGGCAGACTAGATGGGCCACCTTATGAGTGCTTGGAGATAAAGGTAGATTCTGATATCCAATGCCTCTCTAAAAATATTATTGAAACACTAGTTAGGAACTGGAAGCCTGTTACATCCATATATAACCATCTCTATAAGGTTTTCTCCTAATCATGTTTTGCAAGTCATATAATTAACAGTCCAGGTATTACTGCTTGATTTTCCTCAAGCAGTAAAGATTCAGGAAAGATTCATTCAGACTTTCCACTCTGTAGGTTTTATGTTTCTTCAAATATGAAGCTTGCAGAGAATACCTGGGTTCATTGCTTTTATTGAAGCCATTTCATGACTAGGATCAAATCTTGAAAAATATAGATATTGATTTTAACAGCTGACTTTCTGTTCAGTATTATAACTGCCAGGGATGTGGGTAAGAACCAAAGATTCGATAAGAGAGAACCACATATGTGTAATGACAAGATATTGCTAAATTTAAATCTAGACTTATAAAAGAACACTATTGGGTCAGGAATACAAACATGTATTCCTGACCCGATAGAGCTAAACCCACCATTTAGGTGGCTTGCCCAACACTTAGCCCCCTTAAAAGGAATTAAAACTCACATTATTTCCACTGCCGAACGGGTCTGCCGGCGCTGGACCCGCCCCCTTGGTGACATCATCAAAATAGCAGATTTGTAGCCAATCCCACGGGGAAAGCATTGGATTGGCTAAAATCGGCAAGGGAGCGGGGCAAAACGCTGTTTTGGCCAATCAGCACCTCCTCATAAAGATGCAGTGTATCTGCATCTCTAGGAGGAAAATTCAGCGTCCCCATGCAGAGCATGGAGACGCTCAACGGCAGAGCTGCCTACTGTGCAGCACTGAGACAGGAAGCACCTCCAGTGGCCACCTGAGGAGTGGCCACTTGGAGGTGTCCCTAGGAGCAAAGTAAACACTGCCTTTTCTCTGAACAGACAGTGTTTGCATGAAAATGCCTGAAGACAATGATTATACTCACCAGAACAACCACATTAAGCTGTAGTTGTTCTGGTTAAAGAAAGCTACACACTTTAAACATTAAGATGCAGTGTAAGATATATGGAGATTCCAAGACCTCGGAAGCTTATCTCACAATTCCTAAAGGTCCCATCAGTAGATGGAGTCTATCAGCTACCCTCACTGTTTATGATTAAGCTGCTGGAAACTACCATTCTTTTCATTTTAAGGAGGAAGAGGTAGACATTTCATCAGAGCAGATTTGTAACTTGTGTAATTTGGAATCTGCATACATTTTCAAAGAATTATCATTTAGCAATACACCTCAAAGCGAGTGAAGCAGGAAATAATGTCTGTTTTTGCAGTAGAAGGTGTTAATAAAGGGATTTATACTAGTATAGATTTCTCTTGAAATCTGCATTTCTGTAAAATAAGCCTGCAGGGACATATGGTTACCCTCTAAATCACTTTAGTAAGCTGAAGTCCTTTTGGAAACTGGAGTGCCACTTTAATTGTTTCACTTTGATGTCAATGAAAATACATGTTCGGGTAAGAATTTTACTGAGAATGAATGATGGACCACTTCTTTATCTTTGGACTTTTTTGGTGTGACCTAGGTCCTTGATTCTGTTTTGCTTTAAGATGGACAGTGCATCAAAAGACCAATTAAGGTGTATATACCTAGCAGTGCAACCATGTTGTGTTTGTAGCCTGATATCAATTGTTGCCAAATTAATTATTTGGAAATTAAATAACATGGATATTTGTAATGTATAAGTAAACAGGGACAAAAAAAAGACAAAGACAAAAATGTAAGCCTTTCTGGAAAGAATTGAAGAACCAGACAATTGCATTCTTAAAGGATTATGCAAAAATGATACTCAGGCCGTTGTTTTTCTTCTTACTTACGTATTTGTGGTTTATTTTTAGGTTAGTTTCAAGTAAAAGTGGTTTTCAGTGTTGTCTATTACAGGCAGGAAAAGGAAAATAACAAACATCATATTTGTGGCATAGGTTTCATATTTTGATGCAGTAAAAGAAGAGTAAAAGGTCACCAGATTGGATCAAATGGTATAGGGTCAGATATGTACGTCATCTTAACATCTTGAGATGAGTATGATGTGACAAGCAAGTTCAAGCATGACCTTCTGCATCCCCAAAAACAATTTAATTATAATATAGCAATCCAGATTTTTAGGTATGAATAAAGCAATAGTTATACACTGATCAGCCACAAAATTAAAACCATCTGCCTAATATTGTGTAGGTCCACCTCGTACTGCCAAAATGCTCATGTCCCCATTGAAGGAGCTTTCAGTGGTTAACAAAGGTCATCATGGGCACTCTGACCGGTCTGCCGCTACATTACCCCATAAGCAGCAAACTGCAATACACTGTGTGTAAGAACCCCTTTCTACCATGGCCATTGTAGCGAAACTCTAGTCCTGACAAAGACTTTTCTCAGCTGGATCCGTAATAACTGGAACTCAGGAACAAGGCACTGTGAAGTGAGTAGCTCTCCTCCCCAGTAACTGGACGACACACAGTTCGGAGAATATAACTGATTTTTATTCTGCCAAACCCGGCTTTTTATGCAAAGACCGCAAGCCTGGGCTCTCCATTCAAAACTACACTTGCCTTCGCTCTCCATGTGCATCAATGTTGCAAACAAATCTTAACGTACACATCAAATTGTAATTTTCAGGGTTATTTACCAAAGTGAGAATTGCCAAGAACCGAGAGTGGATTAAACAGCTAAATTGGAAAAATCATCCAAGTCACCTATTCTTCCATTTCAACTAGTTTGAGCCAAAAGTTGAAGTTTACTTTGAATTCTAAAATTGACCAAGTAACCCTGACTGTGTGTAAAACAGCTCATCTTTTTTAATGCTTATAATTAATTATCTTACACATAAACTGTTTAGTAAGTGGTCGCTTCACTATGCCATTACATCAGATGTAGATTTTAACTTCCAGGAAAAGAAATGGACCAAACAAGAAGACCAAAATAGAAGAGTGAAAAAAAGACACTGCTCCTGACGACGGCGTGCTGACACGCCGAAACGCGTGTCGAGCTGCTTCTTTTTTCTTTTATCACCATTCTTGGTAGCACTTAGTTTTAGTATGCACTAGTTTCTTTTCTCTCAGTTTCAGGCAGGGAGATTGGTTGAGGTAGGCACTAGTGGTTAGTCCACGGTGCCGAGTTATTATAGGGAGAGACTTTTAGAGGCTTGTTGGTTCGTGGCTACTGGGGCTTGCCCCCTCCCACCTCCTTCCCTTTTACCTCTTGCTATACGTCCTAGGGCTGCGCTGAGCTTTGGTTCCGACATTTGGTTTGTGTTTTAGACACCTAATGTGTCTCTGCTGTCGGACCTAGGTACGCTCATTCATCTTTTAGCTGTATATTTATGTTTCTATTTCTTATCCATTTATTCTTTCACTATCCTTAGATTCAATAAAGGTAGGGCATCCCTTCTATTTCTTTGTTATTATTCTATTTTTGACTTCTTGTTTGGTCCATTTCTTTTCCTATATACTACTGTGGGTTATTCCCCATTTATTGTGAGAGTGACAGTGGGCATTTTTTTGAGCTAATCCACCAGCCCCTTCACGCTGGTTTTGGGACTTCTGTATCAGCTCCTACGTATTTTTTCCTTTCTAGATTTTAACTTCCACCGACCTCAGACGGAACCTCACAAACGATGATAGGAGCTGTAGAAAACAGGAATTAGTTTAATTACCTGTCAGTCAGGCAGTAGGATAGTTGAAATGTTTCTTGTTACTCAGCCAGCCGTGGGCAGAAAGGTATCACAGCCTGAATTCTGGATAAACAGTTACTACTCTGGGATCTCTTAAAGTGGGGCCTTTCTGGTCTGCACTTTATTCATGGAAATGAATTAGGTAGCCAGAGGATGGGGAAAATTCTTGCTCTCTGCAATGACGGCAGATATGTGTGCGTTCTGATGCAAGACACAAATGCTGTGCAATACAAATACTACCAGCCAGAAAAATCGTATAAAGGCCGTCGTATTTACAGCCCAGGGAGGCCCCCCTAAGTGCAGGAAAAAAGTGTTCTTTAAAAAGTAATATTAAAAATAATAAAAAGTAAGGCTGCAGGCAGGATCTGTGCACCATATTACTTCAGTAAGTTTTTTTCTTCCTTTGAGTGGCCCTTTTTAAAGGAGCAAACATTAAATGGACACTAATGCATCCATAGCACATCATCTGAGTGAAGTGGTCTTGGTGCTGTTTTAGATCGCAAGTCGTTTTTGTCCTGCAAACAAAATCTTTGGCATTTAGTATATATGGCAATGTTTTGATTGCAGGGCGGAATTTCTAAAAGCCACTAGCAGATGCTTCTGCAGCAATGACTGAGTTTGACTCAGTTATGTGATTTTCGTTATCAAATGCTGATCATTAGAGAAGCATTTCATTGGACAACTGCGACACTTGCAGAGCATGTGCTTCTCGTCCCCAATGCTTCTCTATAAGAAGCAGTAGATTAAATGAGAAACCAAGGAAGAGACGCTTGCAGGACGACATCACCAGGGTGGAGTGGGCTGCACCGCCAAGTAAGTCTTGACGCTAGAAGAAAAGTAAGAAAATACTTTTCCCTTTTCTTTATTGTAATTTAAGGGTGCCCTGGATCTAAATACGGATGAAAACACCATAGCGTTAAGAGTACATACTTTATCAATCCTTTAAAGTAAAAAAAAAACTCTAAAAATGACTATGAACTACTTAGCTTGGGAAATTAAGCTAATGTTGTCTTTCAAGAGGCATTCTCGGGATGGCCTAATTAGTTTTGTCTCTGGATGTTCATAGTTAAAATATTTCCTTCCCGTGCTAATTGCTTCTCGATATCATCTGATCTCCTGTTTATTTCAGACGTCACTGTAATTTTAGAGAAAAACAGGAAGACCTTAAGTTTAAGTTATTGGTTTTAGTATTAAATTCAAGATTCGATTTTTTGTATTGTCTGACTGTGCACCGAGCATTCTAAAGTTTGTTATTTTTTTCCAGAACACGAGTATAGTATCGTTAATGCCGGTATTTGTGATGTACAGAAAAAAATAAATAGCAAAACAAAAAAAAAACAATCCACGCTTAAAACTTTATAAATGAACAAAGAAATAAATACATTAACAAAAGAAACAATTAAACAAAAAATACAAGGGAACAAAACTGTATGAAACTGAATATCTTTAAAGAGGAACTGTCAGTTACATAAAATATACAATCTTAAGTAAAACATTGAAAATACCCTGTAACTTGTTAACCACTTTTTTTTTAAAGAAGATGATCTGTTTTCTTTTCACTTTATATTAAAGATTTAGAACACAATATGATAAAGCAGTTCAGGGGAGCCACATTACAATTGAGGAAGAGGATAAAAAAATATTTTGTTTTGACTCATTAATTTTTTTTATTTAATTTTGTCCGAAAATTTCGATTCAGACTAAACAAAATTCTTCAAAAGATTTTATTTTCTAAAATCGGGTGCCCACTATTCCCTGGAGGGAATGAATGAAAGTGGCAGTCACAAAGTAACTAGGGAATGATCTGCTAAAATGCGGAACGATTAAAATTAACAAATGCCTTTTCCTTCATTTTGATCTTTCAGCTGTTTAGTAGATAACTCATAATTTACTATACTTATGTGGAATTGTAATATCAAAGTATACCAAATAAGGGAGCTATCTACTAAACAATGCCCTAATTGGGCTCATATAAACATTTTTAAATCTCTAAATGTCCCTTTTCCGTATTTCTTTGCTCCAAAATCAATGTATTATGTTTAATGTATTATTGTGAGTATGTCCCTATGCGTTGAAACTTGTCATAGAGTTGAATAAATTATTGTGGGTTTTTTCCATCCCCCCAAAAAACAATAAGGTGGTCTCTATTTAAGGGTCATATACAGAGTCTGTGGACCTGCTGGCAGATTGAGTAATAACTTGGGCTTCTGAGCCAAAAAGTGTTTTAGTAAAGGGGCTGTGGAGAGCAGGCATACAGGACAATATCTTCAGCCGAAGGGATAGGCAGAGGGGACAATATCTGACTCTAGTGGGGAGAGGTCTATATATTTGGTTGCATAGATTTCCAGGAACTAGCCTTTCCATATTTTTTTCTTTCAATTCTGGTTTCAAGTGACAACCGAGCAGCCCAGCGAAAGATACATGTACATTCTGCCGTGCAGCATCCGGGACGCCCCCTGCCAGGTCGGCTCGCTCATCACAGACACACCGACGTCGATGCCCCAGCCGTGACTTTAGACCTTCCCTCTAGTGACTGCGCCAACCTGGGAACCTCTGCACCTGACACCCTAGAAATAGGCTCCCAAACTCGCCTGAAACTCCCTGGCTGTTCCTGCCCTGCCCCCCAACTATCTAGAAAAGTTTTAAGCCCTTGCAAAAAATCACCAGAATGATGAGTAGAAGAAGACTCACCAGCCGAACCACTGGCCGATAACGCCTGAGGGGCTGTTATACGGAAAAGTTGCCCAAAAGGTAGTTTTCCAGATGTTGTAGAACTACAACTCCAATGATGCTTTGCATACCTTAAGCATGGCAAAGCATCATGGAAGCTGTAGTTTTAACATTTATCTCGGAATCTAGCTTTTGGGCAGCCCTGGTCTAGACGGTATACTGGAAAAAAAATCTGTGTCCTAAACAGTCCCTGGGGAAAGTAGAGAAGGGATGAATGATGTGACAGAACATTTCTGAGAGCCAGTCACCTCTGTTCCCTTCTTGACATATGGAAAAATATTTTGTGTTATTGACGGCATCCAGTGAGAGAGTTAGAAAAGGGGCACGCATGCCTAAATGTATGACTGCCAAAACTCTCTCACATTTTTTTTTATTTTTATTTTTTTAAATGATGCAGTTAAAGTTTATTTGCAGTTTGAAGGGACTGTTATGAGAAAATATACATAGATACAATATCCTGCTGACTTCATCATATGCAGAGTGCTCATAAACAAGCACTGATTAGCACCATCGTTTGCATCTCCTTCAAATATGCAATCATTCTTAAAGGTTTAAAATGTATACAAAGAAATGAAATGTTAGAGTATGTTTATGCTACCCAGCTGTGAGGGCTACATAATCTAATAAAAACCCTGAACTCCAATTAACCGATTGAATGCTCTTGTACTGAGTAACGTTAAAGGGACACTATAGTCACCAAAACAACTTAAAACAGCTTATTGAAGCAGTTTTAGTCTATAGATTATGCCCCTTCAGTATGACTGCTCAATTCTCTGCCATTTAGGAGTTAAATCACCTTGTTTATGCAGCTCTAGTCACACCTCCCTGCATGTGACTAACACAGCCTTTGTAAATATTTCCTGTAAAGAGTCATCTAAAGTTTACACTTAATTGCAAATTATGCTTAATTTAGAATTTCTTATCTCTTGCTCTCTTAATAACTTGCTAGACCCTGCAGGAGCCTTCTATGTGTGATTGAATTTCAAATTACAGAGCAGGAGATAAAAATTTGTTTTAATAATTTACATCTGATTGGAAATCAAGCCATAAATTGGTGCACAAAAAACCCACCTCCTTTCCCTTTCCACGTATATATTTCTGTCTATTCCGGTAAGCAGGATTATCTTTTCTGTCTAATGAGTCTGTCTGCCTTTCATAAACTAATTTTTGAGAAAATTAGAGTGTAATTTAATCTCGGACCTAATGTGAATATTAAAAAGCCACAATCCTTCTTATTAAATCTACACATACTTGGTTCATAAGATAAATTGATTTAGGGACGAAGATGAGAATAATGCTAGATGTAATTTATTATTCATCTCTGGAGCTTGCTGAAGTGCTTTATATGTGTAGTGTGTAGCATTTTTTTTTTCATTTCACAAAAAGTGCAAATTTCAATAGAAACTGGCATTTCTATAAATCAGCCTTCAAAGTTATTCGCTAAAGTGAGAATTTAAAGGGAATTTCAAATTTAAGGCCAAAACAGAACATCTGGAAAAAAAATTCTCTAAGTCAGCTAGGCTTCCAATTCAACTATTTCAGCTATTTTTACATGCCCTACTGGCACTCCTACATTCTCACGCACACAGACTGACATGCATTCACACACATACACACTGACTCCCCTGCATTCACACAGACTGACATGCATACACACACAGAGACTCACATACACCCATGCCTCAGGGCCAGATTAAGAGCCCAGTGGGCCTGGTGCTGACAATTATGACGGGCCTAATTACAGAATCATATCGACCAAAAACAGTAAAACACTCCAAAGCATCATGTATCTGATGGTGCTGGAGAGAAAGAAAACAGCAGCTATAAGAAAACACATACCCTAGGCTAACCTCTCTCTAATTTATGTTTTCATCTTTCAAGTAAATCCATAACCCCTAACAGCAGTGTCCAGTTAGGCAGGAAGTCAATGGGCATGGTAAAAGGGTGTGCCACTGACACAAATCACGTAACCTGCCTGCCAAAAGGGGCAAACATGCCCAAAAAGAGGACATGTCTGCTCAAAGAATTAGAAGGCCAGTCTGGCATGAATGCATGTCAGGCTGCCTGCCAATCATGCAGCTGGCCAACTAAGGGCATACTATGCAGACAGTACCCTGAGCTTGGCATAAATGCATCTAATGATGCGCTCACTCAACGCTTTCTAAGGACTGTCCCCTAGCACTCGCTGGTCCACTTGTCTCCTTACCTTCTTACTAGCAGGCAGAAGCTCCTGGTATATGGTCTGGGACAGAGAAAAGCTGTATGTAGTGAGTGTAGAAGAAAGGGAACATACCACAGTGTTAGAGAGACCAAAGTCAGCATTACCTTAAAGGATCACTATAGGGTCAGGAACACAAACATGAATTCATGACCCTATAGTGTTAACACCACCATCTAGCCCCCCTGGGCCCCTCATGCCTCCATAAATATATCAAAATCTTACTATATTCAAGCCTGAAGCTGTAACTCTGCATGCTGTTAGACTCATAAAAACAAGCAGTCTGCTGACATCATTAGAAATGGTGGCCCGATCCAATCACAGTGCTTCCCCATAGGATTGGCTGAGACTGACAAAGAGGCAGATCAGGGTCAGAGCCAGCATGATTCAAACACAGCCCTTGCCAATCAGCATCTCCTTATATAGATGAATTTAATTAATGAATCTCTATGAGGAAAGTTCAGTGTCTGCATGCAGAGGGAGGAGACACTGAATGTCTGGATGCATTTTAGGCAACCATGACCCAGGAAGGATCTCTAACAGTCATCTAAGGAGTGGCCAGTTAAGTTATCACTAGGATCTAATGTAAAGACTGCATTTTCTCTGAAAAGCAGTGTTTACAGCAAAAGGCCTGACGGTAATGATTCTACTAACCAGAACAAATTCAATAAGCTGTAGTTGTTCTGGTGACTATAGTGTCCCTTTAACTATATTCATTGTCAGCCAGTCCACACAAGTTTTGTTCCCATACATCCCTCTTAAGTTTCCATACTTAAGTAAGAGTATGTGAAAAGTAGTTAGGGTTGCCCCCTTTCTTGGAAAAACATACCGGCCTTACTAATTTGCATAATTAAATATGTATGGATGACATCACATAATGTAAATCACAAGGAGTGACATAAGAGAAAATGCTGTAAAATCACCCAAAAACTACTTAGTTTGATTCTGCTGTATGGATGGATTCCTCCCAGTGCCCCCATGTCTCCCAGTGCCCTCATGACTTAGTGCCCCCATGTGTCGATTACTCCAGGTCTCAGTGTTCCTATGTATCAGTGTCTCAGTGCCCCATGTCTCCCAGTGTCCCTTAGTGTCTCAGTGTCTGCCATAATGTCTCCCAGTGTCCCTTAGTGTCTCAGTGTCTGCCATAATGTCTCTCAGTGTCTCAGTGTCTGCCATAATGTCTCCCAGTGTCCCTTAGTGTCTCAGTATATGTCTTTCCCCCCATCCCTTACTTCCCTGAGCTGTAGGCTGTCTCTGCAGGGTGGGAGTTGCTGTCTGGACTCTCTGTAGCTGCACCCCTGCAGATCAGTGAATATAGATAGGCAGGGAGGGATATGCTGGAACTTCCTATCCCTGCCTGTCTCCACATACAGCGACCCCTACTGGCCAGTGCTGGTATTGCATAGTAATCTCTTGTTTATACTGAGAAAAATAGCAACATTTGTATTGCCAGTATCACTGCAATATTGGCACCAGCCAGGCAGCCTCAAATATTGGCTGTGCCAATAAAATAAAAACCAGGTGGAATACCTTAGAGTAGTGTGTGAAAAGAAAAAATTTAAAAATTTTTTTTTTTTTTAAATCAATGGGCCTATTCCATGGGCCTGGGCCTGGGCCTGGAGCTGCAGCTCCATCAGCCCCTATGTTAATCCGGCCCTGCCATGCCTTCACACAGTGACATAAATTACAAAGACAATCCTGCATTCACACACTGATATTTATGTCAAATACACCCCTGCATTCACACATATACACATACAATTACCTGTCTTAAAGTGGCAAGCTTGCATACACACACACACACAGACACACACAATGACATCCCTTTCACAAACACACTTGCATTTACCCACACACAGCGGTGTACATACCGCAGTCGCAGGGGTCACAGCTGCGACAGTGCTCCGTCACTCCAGGGGGCCCGGCCGCCCTGCAGAACCCCGCGACCGGGTACCAGCTGCCACGTTTTGCGGCCCAGGCGGTTTGTATGTTAAGAGGTCCATCGGGTGGCCCATGCTGTCAGGGTCACCCGATGCATATGGATTATCAGGGGCCCAGTCGGCGCTTTAACAGCGCGACCGGGCCCCCTGTGATTACATCACAAGCCGGGAGGAAGTGACTCCCCTGTCACTCCTCCCAGCATACAGAAAGCACGCACGGGAGGAAGGAGGGGGAGGAGTGAGTCAGAGTGGGAACTCTGACTCCCATCAGGCTGAGCCACTGGACCCCAGGGAAAGTCACAAAAGGTAGGAAACATTTTATGTGTGTATGTGTGTCTCTGTATGTGTGTATGTATGTGTGTGTGTGTCTCTGTATGTATGTATGTATGTATGTGTGTCTCTGTATGTGTGTGTATGTATGCGTGTGTCTCTGTATGTGTGTGTATGTATGTATGTGTGTGTCTGTGTGTGTGTGTATGTGTGTGTGTTTGTGTATGTGTGTGTCTGTATGTGTGTGTCTCTGTATGTGTGTGTTTCTGTGTATGTGTGTGTCTCTGTATGTGTGTGTGTGTGTCTCTGTGTGTGTCTGTCTGTATGCATGTGTCGGGGGGCCCACGGTCAGGGGGAGAGGGTCAGGGTGAGGGGGGGAAGAGTCATGGTAGGGGGGGAAGAGGGTCACGGTAGGGGGGGGCCCAGTTTTGCACCGGTGCCCCATGGATTGTGTGTACGCCACTGCCCACACACTACCCTGTGTTCACACAAACAATGAATTTCTACACAAATTGGTATTACACACAAATATACACTTGCATTCATACACACCTACCAATATCTTACTGCACTTAAAATATATATATATATATATATATATATCCAGCATTCACACAAACATACACCATAAAAACCACTACTGCATTCAGACACTACTACATAATATTATGATAAATTATATATATGCATTTTCATATATATATATATATATATATATATATATATATATATAGGCTGCATTCACCTAAAAAAAACATACATCACAAGGATGACTTAGGCAAAACCAATAAGGATTTGGTTATGACATATGATACATACACAACACCACTGTACCCCACTTCTGGTAGGTCCTACTTTAGAACCTAATGCTTGCTTTTACTAGATTAACCCACTGACTTGGGAAAACAAACCGAGGGAGTTGGTCTATATTGCCACTCTATAAATACGGTTCACAAGGGCTTGAATCACTTTACAATGCATACATTATAAGGGACTGGGACCATTTAAAATATTGTACAAAACCAGTGCACTCCTTCAAGTCTAAACTCGGAGGATGGATCGACGAGCGCATGTACAATGTGTGATAATATGCTGTAACAAAATCACCATTTATTTAATTTTTTGCAGGTGTCTTTAAAAGCTCTCAAATAATTCTGTGGGTGGGGGAGTTTTTTTTTTTTACATTTATTTCAGATTTAATGCATTATGTAAAAAACTTGGACATATCGTTGATCTACTTGATCAGGAAATCATAATATATATTAATACATAAAACAGATCTGTCACCAAAAATAAACTTAATCTAATATGTTTATCTATAGCTCGCTGTGTCTGAATCTGTTTTTATTTATTTTCTGAGCGCTCTAGTTTTCATTTAATACATAAATACAAGTAGGGACTACTTTTCCTCATGTTATAGCAGTCAGGTTGACAAAACTTGACAATGGGTGGAGCTTAAAGCAAGGTTCTGTTTCGGTTGCCAATCAAATTAACCCACAATCCATCAATACAATCAATCCCACAGAAGGTCAAACCACAGACATCATGGACGGAGGAGAACAAAATGGCTGCTCCCACATATTGAGATCCGGCACAAGGAAGAAAAGATAAATATAAATAAAGACAAGTAACAAGGATGGGAGTATAATTATTAAAATACTGGGGGCATAATGAATGTAAAACCAAAAGGGAAAAAAAAAGAATTACAAGTCCGCTTTAATCAGGACATTTTTGTCTAATTTCTTCAACAATACTCAAAGTTATTGATTATTACACTAAAACTAAGAATAGCTTTTCCCTCATTCATCAAAATGTAGTTTATATTCTTAATGGTAATTTTTTGTTGTTGTTATATGCAGTATTGATGTGGGTATAACTCTTATATTTATGAATTTAGGCAACTGGCAATGACACTTGAGACTAAAAAAAATATTTGTGCACTGTGAGACTGTTGTATATAACTTACTTCCGATGTTCAGATAATCTGTGTATTTAAGTATATAAATTAATATGAATATGTTTATTTTGTTCTGTTTGCAGTCTTTGGAAATATTTACAGTCAATGAAAGATGAAGATTATGTACAACTCAAGTTTAGCAATCTAGCACAAGATTACTGAGGAGTACTTTTAGATGGATCCACTGATGCAGTCCGATTATACTACCTTGTGCCTCATTCATGGTATAGATGCTCCGTGTCCAAACTTTGAAGAAGAAAATGGCATAGTGGCCAAAGCTGTGAGGACCTGCTATCGACATATTGATATAAATATAACACAAACTACTGAAAAACCAATCACTTCTTCGTGGTTCTCTGCAATTTTTTGCTTGACTGGCTTAATCTCTAATCTCTTTGCCTTGTGGGTATTGGTCAGTGCATCGAGGAGGACTCACAGTCGTTCACGATCCTCTTTTCTCATTTTCCTTTGTGGTTTAGTGGTTACGGACCTTATGGGACTTCTGGTCACTGGAACCATTGTAATGTCATATCATATTACACGGTTCAACTGGGAAACGTTTGACAAGGACTGCCATCTCTGTAATTTTTTTGGACTATCCATGGTCTTTTTCGGGCAGTGCCCTCTTCTTCTTGGTGCTTCGATGGCTGCAGAACGCTTCGTTGGTATAAATAAGCCATTTTCACGGTCGGCTAATGTGTCCAAAAAGAGAGCAGGTGGCATCGTCGTTATGGTATGGTGCTTTGCTTTCTTTTTAGCCTTGCTTCCAATTATGGGCCTTGGGAAATATACGTTACAATTTCCAAAATCCTGGTGTTTCCTGACATTGCTTCAAGATTCAAATAACAAAGCATTTGGCTTGATTTTCTCCTTGACTGGTATACTCTCTGTGTGTCTCTCCTTTGTACTAAACACTATCAGTGTGATAACACTCTGCAGGGTTTATCATGACCGTGAGTCTGTTCAACGGAGAAGGGACAGTGAGGTGGAGATGATGGTCCAGCTGGTTGGGATCATGATAATTGCCAGTGTTTGTTGGCTGCCATTACTGGTAAGTAACTTGAAATGTTTAATATCTTTTACTATATACTTAAACACTCTTATATTTTTATTTTTAAAAAATGTTTAAATGTCCCCGTGCAAAATAAATATGCCTGGAAAAACTCAAACATTGACTATTTATTTATATTCATATAATTACTATCAATTTAACTAAGGTATCTATTTATTTGTTTATGTGCTGGTAAATGTCAGGTTTGCATGCTGGTTTGACGTCAAGACGCTGTTCTTAGAAGAATCATTTTTTTTATTTTAAGTTCTTCTATGCCAACTCGTCTTCATTTTTATGATTTTGGCATCTAAATGTCCAGTATTAGCTGAATCATTTCTACAGAAATTGACATTTTCTTTGGCATGTCCGACGTTCATTCATGTGATGGTTTGGTGCAGCCAAATATTGCCCATGGGAAAAAATTCTAGGAAATATTAGACCAAAAAGGCCACGAAAATGGGCCAAATATTAACATTAACAATATGAATATGAGGGAAAAAGACAAGTAGCAGCAAAATAAAAACTACATATTTATATTATATTATGTATATTTATTTATTTTTTTATTATATATATTTTTTTCATTATTTTTATTATTATTAAATATGTAAAATAGAAATATAGATTTTTTTTAAATGATTCTCCTTCTTCCCCTCTTTTGGTTTCTTTTCACTTGATGTGTAAATAAAATCAACATTTAGTGGCTGTCCCTTGGCCATCAATCATCTTTTCCCATAAGTTGTTTTTTTGGCACCATGTGCAGAACTGTTTTGTATTCCTAACACTAAAGTGTTCCTTTAAAGGACCACTCAACACCCATAAAGCACTTAGCTTGTTAACGTGCTTTATGGGTGAGAAGCATCCCATTACAAAGGCACTTTATAAAAGTGCAGATATCTATGACAAATCGTCACTTTTATAATTATTTAATAAAACACCTTCCTGGCTGTCAATCAATGTCTTCCTGCTTCCATTAAGCTCCCCAATGTTTAGGTGCCATGTCCCTGTAGTCACTATGGGTGCTTCCGTCTAAATATCAGAGATATTACTGCCCAGCTCATGGGTCATCCTCTCACCTCACTCTCCTGCAATAAAGTGCAAATGGCCAGATCAGGGAGATATTTCATCTCCCCACCGGCTTGTGAAAGGAAAACCAAGACTGGCGTTTCGATAGACCCGGCTCTGCGACTGCAAGGATCTTCTCCTCTGTCTGCATCGGCCCATGGCCAATGCATCCCACCGGGCAATTGTCTGGTTTGCCCAATGGCCAGTCCTGGTCTGGTTGGGAGGAGTTTGCTGGGTAACAGAACTTTGCTGCACATCCTTCTATTTGTTAAGTAATGTAATAGAATGTCATTTAATAACTTGCTATGCAGCATGTGCTGTTTCAGACTATGCTTTCACTGAGATCCTGGAGAGCATATGCAGCAAGATGTTCATGGGTAGAGTGGAGGGAACATCACATTGAAAGTCAGGGGTATATCAGGAATACTCCTCACCTTCCTGTTAGTGTAGGGGTTTATGGTATCCAGCAATCTCCTCGTTTGTAGCTTGAAATATCAATTAAATGGTTAAAATTCATCATCAGCTTTATATTTAAAGCTAGCTAATTTTTCCAACAATAAATTTTAAAGAATGTTTTTGCTGAACATATTTAACTAAAATGTATGTTTGCCAAGATGCCCAATTGTGCAATAAGGGCTGCTTATTCCTTGATGACAATAACTTGTAAAATTATAAAAAGATGCATATTCAAATGTCTGTTTCATGCCCCTCGATGCTTTGGGTATCGTCACAGATGCATTTTCGAGTTTTGCCTCAAAAGGAGGAAACACATCTTGACTCCAAAAATAGCTTGTTGATCCAGCAAGAGATGAAATCTGCTGTTAATAATGTCAATATTGCCATTTCTGGATGTTCTGTACATCATCTAAATTAGTTCTTTAAAAGATGACTCCAAGCACCATAACCACTACAGCTCACTGTTCTAAAAACTGCACTGAGCTAAAAGACATGTAGTACAATGAGGTGCGTCTTGGCTGAGAGCGCTCGACAAACACTCAGATCCAATGAGCTGAACCTAGAAGGTTTACAAAGGTTTGACTACTTACCCTGGGTGGTTGCCGGGGGCACTCCAGACCCTATAATCACTACAGTGGGCTATAGTAGTTATGGTGCATGGAGTTTTTCTTAAAACATGTCCTAATGTTGTTGATAAAACAGTCTTTATAGACAGTGAATCCCATCTCTGCGTTGGCCTTACTATATAGAAACGCTGCAAATGCTTTCTGAAGGATCCAATTCTTTTTTTCTTTGTACCTAGAGGTTACAAGCACCATTTTTTTGTTCAGGCCTTGTATTTTCATAAAGTTATGCTAAATCCCTTTTTTTTTTAATATAATTTATTAATTATCATCCTTTTTTTCCCAGTAATAATTTAGTAGGATGCCCTTGCTCTTTTTTTCAATCTCAATGTTCCATACTTCCCAACATTGGGAGGTGTACAATCGGGAAGGGGACAGTGGGCCCTGAGGCCGGTGTCTCCAGTAACCAGACTTGCATCACCGGTGATGTCTATAATGGGCGGTTCCATTTGGAAATAGGGTGGGACAGCCCACTGACGGACGTGTCAGTCTGGCATCAAATACTCCAGGCTGACTGACAACCTGTCTGGTCTGACAAGACGATGCAGGGAGAGATTTTGTCCACTGCACAGCATTAACATATGTAGTGATGCACTCATGCTGTTCTGCCCGGGGACAGTTTCCTGGTGGACACCAGAGGACTAAAGTGGGAAAGTGGGACAGCATACTGAAATCAGAGTTATCTGCTTATCACTCTTTTTCACAAGTGCTATTTATTTAACTTAAATAACATTACATGCATTGATCTCATTTTTATTGGTTTTGCCTTATGTGTGTGGTTGTAAAATTTCATGTTTTCTTTTTTTTACCTAGATTTTCATAGTGCATACAGTTTTGCAACAGCCCGTGGAAGGATTGAAGGATGGAGAAATCTCAAGAGAAACAGAGAAATTTCTTCTAATTTATATCCGATTAGTCACATGGAATCAAATCCTGGATCCGTGGGTTTATATCCTCTTTCGGAGAGCAGTGTTAAAAAGAGTTTACCCTAGTCTGACCACTCGGCCATCAATTGTGTCCTTGTATCCAACTCTCACTGCCTCCTTTCGACGAAAATTCACTCAAGAATCCGTGATTAGCTAAAAAAAATTCTGTGGCTACTTGGGAGAAAAACTGACTGACAGTCTGGAATAAAATTACCTATATGCATGTGCAATGCTTTTTGGCCGTCGTTATTATTTGTAAAATTATTTAATAGACTATGCAAAGATGTTCAATTTCCAATTTCTTTTAAAAAAAAAATACAGGTATTGGAACTTATAGATATTTGACAATATCTAGGATCTGTTGATTGGAGTCATCATGGAGTCATTATGGTGGGGGTGTCGAAAGACGTTGTGACTTTCCTTTGGTTATATTGGCCTTAAATATGAAATTTGTTTTTAATGTTCTTTGAATTCTCAACAATTCACACAATGATAACTCTGACAAGTACATTTTCCTAATTAATACACCCAACTGATATTCCACCTTCCACAGTTTCATAGTTGTCATATACTGTAGAATATAGTTTTTAGCAATCCCTCGTAAAGCTTGGTTGGTATTAGTGCATTATTTTCTTCACATGGTTCAGGTTCCTGTGCTATCCACGTGACACCTGGGTCCGAGGGATTTAATAGAAAGCTTTTTAGATCTGGCTCTGGTTAGGGGGTACTTAGGGTTCCTAAATGCCTAAGTACCTAAGAGGGAGGGATAGAAACTACAATACACAACACACCCACTGCTTCCAAGGGTTTGAGGGCACTTGGCTGAACCCTCCATCACAGGTTACACTGATGTACACTGTTAGTAATCTTATGCACTTTAAGCCCCACTATAATAGCACTGTGTTCTAATGAATGAATCTACTTTCTATTATTTTATAGCATCTCTATATCAGTACCCATCAGTTTAATATCATCTGTTATAGTACTCTTAAAATGATTCCTTTGTCCTTTAAAAAAAGTTTGACCATTTTCTGAACATTAGTTAAACAACTTTTGATTCCGCTGTTTTCTTTAGGTGTCTGAAGAGATTGTTTGCAGATACTAGCAAAAAGGACACAAGGAAGCAAAGTAGAACCAATGGCACCCTAGTGGAGAAAATAATTACTTAAACAAACCCTCCTAACACCATAACCACAACAGTGTGTTGAAGTGTTTTTTTTTTTTTTTGCTCTAGTGTCATTGAAGTGTCCCGGTGTTCTCTCATTGTAAGTCGCCTAAGCATTTGGTAATGGTTTGAATTATCTGGAGTCTCCTAGGGCCAGTCCCTGTCACTGCCGAAAGCTCAATGAGCTGGCCAAGCACTACAGAAGCTCTCGGATCTCCATATTGGAAGAAGAGAGGCAGGGACCGGCACTAGGAATACTTACATTGGGGGAGCTCGAGTGCACTCCTGGTACCATAACCACTATAGTGCACTGTTGTTGTTGTCGTGGTGCTTGGAATGTTCTTTTAAGGGATCAAAAAAAGGAATGGGATAGTTTTTTTTTCTTGCCAAAGCCTAACATTCTATGTGTGCCACAATATTTAGTTCTCTAAATATATATTTCTTTGATTGGACGCCATGAAGTTGACTGAATCATCATAAATCATTATTATTAATCTCCCAACTGAATAAAAAACAGGTTCAGAATCCTCTTTGCTCATACCTGTACTCTCTAAAAACATTTCGTAATTAATTATGTCTTTGTTAGAAATGCTAACATAATGATAACCATTTGGCATTCTATAAGCATGTTTTTGCAGTAAGTGAATCGGTCGTGTTTGAAGTAACGACATTTTTCCAAACAGTATAAATGATATGTTTTATTAAAAGTTTTTTGTTTGTTTGTTTGTTTTTGGAAGAGCATTGGTAGTAGTGTGTACTGATGCTGAGAGATTATACGGGTTATGTCGGTTAGGTTTAGAAATGTTGACTTTAAAATAATGGGTGTGAATTTTATACCTTTGTCTTCAGTTTTCTAACATGTTAACCAAATGAAAGTATTACTATTAGCTTTTTTAATTCAATGTCAGTAACAGGAATGTATCAAAAAATTTTCAATTTGATGGACTTTGGTCTCAATATAAATGACAATGTAACATACTATCTCTCTTCATTTATATGACTTAATCATCTTAACAGTAAGGTGTGAATGAATTATATCTATTCTTTCTGTCAATCAAAATAAAATGGTATTATATTCCATTCTTATTATAAAATGTCTTATTTATTTTCTTACATACGACTGCCTTCTAAAAACGTTACATGGAAAGAATACTATGGTAAGGACACAACATCTAACATGCTGTCATCTGTATTAATTTTTTCAATTTTGTTTTTTTTCTGGTAGACAGCCACAGAGGGCAGACTCAGAGCTGCAATATAAACATTGCAGTTTCTCAAGAATTGCAATGTTTTACATTGTAGCACTAGGTACAAAAGGGATACAGCACCCAGACCACCTCAATGAGCTGAAGTGGTCTGGGTGCCTACTGTGTCCCTTTAAATAAACAAACATACAAAGCGGGCTTGTGCTGTCAAAATTGTCCCATCTTGCTATTTGTCTAGAAACATTGTGCTTGATTTGCTATCAGATGTAATAGCCAGTTACATACAATTATAATTATTTATATAGCGGCAATATGGCGCAGCTCTGTACAATAGGTAAACAAGACAAATATTTAATTCTAACAAAACACATATGACATACAGGAACAGTAGCTGAAGAAGGTCCTGCCAAAACAAACTTAGAAGCTATAACAGCAAATGGAGCCACCGTAACCACTTTTGCTCACTAAAGTGGTTATGGTGCTAAGAGGCCATCCCTCATATTTCTATTGAAATATTTTTTGGTTTGTCAAAACAGTGCCAAGCCAAGTGTTTGTCACCTGTGTCCTGTGAATTTGGTGGTAAGGTTGTATATATCTATGTGGATCTTGGGTTTCCCAATGGATAGGTGGCCTTGTTTCTTGGATCAGAACCCGTGCTTTAGTTTAAAACACAAACTGCATTGAAAACAGCGTCCATTGCTAAGAATTGCAGTATGAAGTTTGAAACACAATGCAAGTCTGTGCTCATTTGCATGTCACGCATGTCACATGATTTCTTGAGTTTCTGTGCCCAAGAAGTACTTCTCATAGTCCAACTGGAGATATGCAGGTGATGCACATCAGTATTTTTTTCCATTTGCAGTGTAGGGGTTTTATTGTGCTTGGTCTCACAACTATATACACCAAGCTTCAAAGTTACTCACCACTAAAGAGTGAATGACACACACTATGTATAGATATATATATTTATGGGGGAATGGTAAACGATACATATATCAATACAAGTAAAGACTATTACCACAACCCAATCAATAATTTTTCAGCATAGATTAGTAGTTTGGGGATGATAGATTGATGAGAAGAGAGGATTGTTAAACAGATTCGAGTAGATAAATTGGGTGATATACATGTAAAATCTTCATAGATAGTATTTTAGTAGATAACTTGACATTGACATTCAATGATATGGGGAGGTAACAGATACTAAGCATCAGGCCTTTCCCCTCCTTAGGGAGGATGTTAATGTACATGGTTAGTGGGTGAAAAGTGGGGCTGTTTGTTTAGGACAGAAGTAAAGGTTGCCAGTAAATGGGAGTAAATTAAATTACTAAATAATATGTGAGGGCCAGAGGGAGATTTTAGAGCCAGAGATAAATATTCGACTGAAAGCAAATCATCTTTTGTAGTGGAATGTGTAGTGGAATTTGTAGTGGATGTTAGCCAAGATATGTTAAGAAATATTGACAATGGCGGAACGAGTACCAGTCGGTTGGGTGGCATATACTACTACTATATGTGATACAATCTGAGAGGTCAGCAGAGCTGTGGAACTACCTCCGGTGCAGCCAGAACGACTTTATACAATACTTTATATCGATCCTGCATTCTACTCTGTATCACACGTCAATATTAATTGTAAGAAGACATCCACATATCATTAGGCAGGGACTGTTTGGCCAAGGCCCAATACCGAAGAGCTGGTGTAACGCTCTATCCAATGTAAGTGGCTCTCCACACTTATTATTGTCACCAGTGGATCCTCTCTGTTTTTGTTTGACATGTATACCCATCTGAAGAGCAACTACCTTTCCACATTAAACAATGTAAAATATATGCCAAGTTTGTTTCCTTACTGTGATTTATTTAGTTTGTTCCTTTAAATGTGCTTGAAGCCATAACTGAGTTTTGTGAAGTACAGTCTTCCAGACATAATTTTAAAGTTGAGACTGGGTCACCAACCGGTAAATAATAGCGACCAAAGAATGAGAGTTTGCTGTAATGTATTGCCAGTTGTATGAGTAGCTAATATCGGATATTCTAATACATTGCTTAGTACTTATATGGTCACTAACTACAGTCTGAATTGTAAAATATTATAAACCGCATGACATCATTAAAGCTAAAATAGTCACGCTAAATGAAATAATTTTTCCAGATCAAGCTATTTAGGCCCTTATATTTCCATTGGAATTGCAATTTCCTACAAATCGGGCATTAGTTAAAAAATACACTATGATTTAAATGAATAAAGAAAACTTTTTTTTACTTTTCATTCCAGTGTCCTTTCAAATCAATGTCACATCATTATTATCATCTACGATTTCACGCAAAGCCGTTTCATGTTAAACCGTTTTAACATCTAGCCTTATAAGAGCAGAATGAAGATAAAATACGGATTTCGATGAAACATAAATAGAAATCTTATCTTTTTTTTTAAGTTTGTGTTATTATAAGGGATGTGAGTCAGGAAATATGAATTCTACCACATGACAGGAGGCTTCATATTTTGCTGTCTTTTGTTATTGCCACTCCATGGCAGCTAAGAAAAATTAATGATAAAATACAACCAATCAGATAAACAGACTCAGGTTATATAAAACCTTAGCATTAACTTGCTGTAGAGTGTTTTTACCTTACCCCCAGTGAGGTCACTGATTTATTGGGACCTCACACACCCTAATGATCAGAGACAGTATATCGATATATTTTTTATTCTGCCCTTACTGTTTAATTTATCAAGCGTCTCTCTCATTCTAGCCACAAATCAGTTATTTTCCCGCTTCAGACGCCTTCTGCGTCCTTCATACGTCACAGCCGGGATTTCGCTACTCCTCAATATATGTGCGCACGCCATTAGTTTTTTACAGTGTGTAGTTTTTTATTTTCTGGGGGGTTTTTTTTTGGACAGTCTTTATTTTCATTTTGACATGTTAAGTACAGGAAAACAGAGACACAGAACAATATTAAGAGTTTGCATTTCTCATATGGGCCGGAGTGTAAAGTTCTCCTGCTTTAATATTTCTATTAGAGGTCCACTGAGAGTCATCTAGTGGAAATACAAGTACTACTGGCTTCATAGATTTGGAGTGATCTGTATAGAACCCTTAGAGAGTGTGGAGTGACCCCAGGGTCGATATGTCTGTTCAGTTGGGTGGTGAGAGAGGATGGGTATTGATTCTGCACTCATCCGTGGAGTGGTCGGAACTCATTTACATGGGGCAGAGGTAAGTAGGATAATAAAAAGGGATACCTTGCACACATGAGTACATATGTTTATGAGATTTGGTGCGGTCAGTGGAATACAGCATAAGTGTTTCCTTGTTACATGGGCTCCAATGTCGACTGGGCCAACAGGGGGCATAGGTCCTATCTTTCACCCATGTGTTCCATGTTCCATCCATAACCTATTCACATTCTCTCACCTCTGAAGCTTTCTAGATAACCCCAACACTCATCTCATGGGCACATCTTAAGAAAATACATTTAAGTAGCTGTACCCGGGATGAGCAGGGGAATGTGTTGGGGGAGAGTTCTACAAGGGGAGAGAGAGAGGCAAGATAGGGTGAGAAGAAAGAAGAGGGAAAAAAAGGGGGAGGGGCACGGAGTTAGTCTCCAACCCTGCCTGCCGAGATAAAAGCCAACCACGGGGGCGCATGTCATCTTGACAAAGTCTGCACCGGCCATTTTGGTGGAGATTGCTCGTCTCTCTTGATCTCAGCAGCCATTTTGGTGCCTAATTCTGTACTGAATTGCGCAGCATGATACTATTTCGATATAATATTCAGTGCTATTCACTTTCGGCTGTTAGTATTCCCCCCCACCACCACCTTCCCTTTTCTTCCCATTTCTACAGCACCTATCTGCTGCATCACGAGTGTAAATTAATTAGAAATTGTAAGGAACACCTTTACTGTATTTCACAACTCCTTTTATAGCTTGTTATGGTTACCAATATCACTACAGTTTCATTAGGGGCAATCCCCCTTATTCAAATAAATTTGCTTCCTACGGCATTGTCATGCCTTGCACATTACCACCTACCACTGGTAACCACATATATATACATATACATATATACATACACACTGGTTACTGGGGTGAGCCCCCTACATATTCTACTTTCCTTATAATTGGGGTGAGCCCGCTTTTATCAAATTAGAGCCCACTATACTGCATATAGATTGGTGCATCCTGGTGTCTACTTGCACACCCCACTGGTGCCTGTTCGTCAGGGGAGGGCTGGCAGCCTTAGGCCTGGGGGGCAAAACCAGTCAAGTGGCCCATTGCACCCCCAAATCAGTTCACCATCCATGCCCACCTTTTCCTGGTTTTATAACGGATATTGATGTTATGCTAATCAGTAGCTCTTTGCCATACGCGCTCCTTCACGGCTCTGACTTTCAATGTTGTCAGAGCACAGGCTGAGAATCTCTGAGCCTGTGCTCTGACTCACTAACTGAGCGCAGGAACCACGAGGGTGAGGATATGATCTGACTGCACCTACTGCTGGTGCGCACCAGTGGACCACCAGCAAATCATTTAAATTGAATATGCTGGTGTACCCAACTTGTGAGCTGTGTTGGCCGCCGGGCGCCTCTGTTGTCATGGCACCCTGCGTGACCGCACAGCGTGCACACCCCAACGCCTGGCCCTGCTGACACACACTGATGTTACTATTTAGAAATCCCTCAATATTAATACAGACATCAGAGTAAACACCAATAAACTGTGGAAACAGAGCTGATCCCCCTAAATTTAAAAAGATTTGCTTAGTGGATTTGTTATAAGATTAAATCATGCCTCCTTCTCTCTCTCTCCCATGCGCTGCTCTATAGGCTGGGAGAAAGTGAAGAATTATCCCAGCTCAGCGCCACCTGTGGCTGCATGGGGAACAGCTGGTTAGTGTAATGCTTGCAGGACGGCCAGCTACCGCAGAACCTCTTTGTTCCCGTTGCTGCAAAGGGCTCCAGGCACTGCTTGCTGTGAGTGTGAGCCACTGTAAATTAGGGGCAGAGGGCACTTGCACTGCGGTAAAGAGGGGTCTGGGCAGGAGGAGGGTGCAGTGCAATCAGTGCACTCCCCTCATGTGGGTCACCAGTAGACTGGTGCACCTGCCCAGGATCAGAGCCGGTGCACGGATTGTTGCTGCCCTAGGCAAAAGACAAATTTGCCGCCCCCCATGTGACATCACAATACCCCACCCATATGATCTGCCATATGAACTAATGCCAATGCTGCACACAGTGTGTGTTTACATTAAAAAGCCTGCAGGGACCTGCTATAGACACCAGAACCACTTCATTAAGCTGAAGTGGTTCTGGGGACTATAGTGTCCCTTTAATGTGAGGTAAATTATAGATTAGTGTCACTAATATCATACTAGATTGCCTACTTACAACAACCAGATGAGGATGATGATGGGCTGCAGTTTGGCTCCCCTGGTCTGGTGTAGAACAGGATCTATGGAGGCTGTTTGCAACTGTGGTCACAAAATTCAATGTTCTGGGAGAACTGGAAGCAGCTCCATTTTTTTGTGGCCCCATATACAGCTCAAGGTCTGGACCCCAGGGCCTGACGGTAAGTATGCCCATAAGGCCCACTCATAAATCCACTCATATGTTCCACCCACCCATGAGTTCTCTCACAGGGAGTGTGTATGTGTTATTGTAGAGGATATAATATGTAATATGTTGCTTATGGTATGTAGTGTATAGGAATACCAGTTTGTGTAGGTGATGCAGTGTGTTTGTGTGTAGTGGAAGCAGTGTGTATTTGTGTATAAGGGATGTATTGTGTGTTTCTGGTTGTGTGTAAGGGGTGCATTGTGTGAATCTGTGTTTGTATGCATAAGGGATGCAAGGTGTGTGTCTGTATGTGTGTGTAAGAGATGCATTGTGTTTATGTGTGTATGTAAGAAAAGCAGTTTGTGTGTTTGCATGTGTGTAAGGGTTTGCATTGTGTGTTTCTGTGTATGTGTCTAATGGATGCATTGTGTGTTTCTCTGTGTGTAAGGGAAGCATGTTGTGTTTCTGTGTGTGTAGGGATCCATTGTGTGTTTCTGTGTATGTATAGGGATGCATTGTGTGTGCTTGTGCGCTTAGTGTGAAAGAGCTCCCTGTCTTGCCCCCTGTCCTATAGAGCTGTCCGTTCTGTCCCTTAGAGCTCTCCCCCACCCTCCCCTAGCCAGGGCCGGACTTGGGATACAAAGCAGCCCTGGAAAAAATATATATGCCAGCCCCATAAGTCAATGCGCCATATATTGTCGCATGTAATATGTAAGGCTATGTCTTGCCACCCCAGATGATTGAGTTTTATATTTATATATATATATATATATATATATATATATATATTGCTTTTTCTAATATAAAATATTGGTCCTTTCATAGTAAAACGTTTAATTATACAGTAAGCATACTCACATGCAGACACAGACAACCTTACTGACACACACAAGTTTGTTGATACACAGCCTCATAGACAAACAATCTCACTGATATACATAAGCTCATTGACATAAAAACACAAGCTCACTCACTAGCAGACACACACATACATGCAAGCAAGCAAGCTCACTAGCAGGCGCACACACACACACAGCTTAATGTAGTGGTTCTGGCGTCTATAGCGTGTCCCTGCAGGCTTTTCAATGTAAACACTGACTTTTCAGAGAAAAGGCAGTGTTTACATTGCTTCAGAGTGACACCTCTAGTGACTGTCACTCAGACGGTCACTAGAAGTGCTTCCTGTGTCAGTGCTGCACAGTGCAGCACCTACATTCAGGGCCTCCACGCTCTGGAGACGCTGAAGGTTCCCCATAGAGATACATTGATTCAATGCATTTCTATGAGGAGATGCTGATTGGTGTAGCGTTTTGCAGCCAATCCTATGGCAAGCTTGATGATCTCAGCCATAGAGGCAGGGCCAGTCGAGGGGAGACCAGCATGGCGTGGGGAAAAAAAAAAGGTGAGTAAAAACACACACCACGACAGACACACGCACACCACGACAGACAGTCCATGACACAGACAGACATACACACACACACCATGACACAGACAGACCATGCCAAACACACACCATGGCACCCCGACACACACACACCCACCGTGACACACCGACACACCATGACACATATCATGACGCAGACACACATATCATGACACACACATACCATGACACACACACACACACACCATGACAGAGACAGACACATACCATGACTCACACACACCATGACAGAGACAGACACATACCATGACACACACACACACACACCATGACAGAGACAGACACACATACCATGACACACACACACCATGACAGACACACACACCATGACAGAGACAGACACATACCATGACACACACACACCATGACAGAGACAGACACATACCATGACACACACACACACACACACACACACACACTGACAGCATAACACATATTACCTGTGGGCCAGGGGGGTCATGCAGGGCAGAGAGCTGGGTGTGATGGCGGCCGCAGAAGAAGCTGGGATGGCGGCCGCTGGAGGAGCTGTTCTGGCAGCCGCAGGGGAAGCTGTGCTGTCTCTGCTCCCCCGCCCTCGCGCACTACTGAATGAGACCGGGGCCGGAATATGACGTCATTTTCCGGCCCCGGTCTCATTCAGTGGTGCACGAGGGCGGGGGAGCAGAGACAGCACAGCTTCCCCTGCGGCCACCAGAACAGCTCCTCCAGCGGCCGCCAGCACACCCACATGTCTGCCTGCCCCAGGTGCCGACGGCCCACTGGGAAATTTCGGCCCTGCCCCTAGCGGTCTCTTCTCACACTCACCCACCCTCCCTGTGCTCTTCTCACCCCCCCCCTCCACCCTCCCTGTGTTCTTCTCATTCCCCCCTCCATGTGTTCTTCTCACCTCCCCCTACCTGTGTTCTCCTCATATCCCCTTCTCCTCTCCCCCCCTCCCTGTGTTCTTCTTAGCCCCTCTCCTCCCTGTGTTCTCCTCACCACCCACCCTCCCTGTGTTCTTCTCAGTCCCCCTTCTCCTCATCTCCCCTTCTCCTCACTCTTACTCTCTCCCCTCCTCCTTGTGTTCTTCTTACTCCCCCTTGTTCTTCTTACCCCCCGTTTTTCATATCCCCTTCTTCTTCTTACTCCCCCTCCTCCTCCTTCTGTTACTCCCCCCTTGTTCTTCGCCTCCCCCCCTTGTTCTTCTTACTCCCCCTTGTTCTTCTTACTCCCCTTGTTCTTCTTACCCCCCCTCTTCTTCTTACCCCCCCTCTTCTTCTTACCCCCCACTTCTTCCCCCCTTCTTCTTCTTACCCTCCTCTTCTTACCCCTCCCCTTCTTCTTACTCCCCTTCCCTGTAGCGTGGCCGAGCTCCTCTCCGGTCCGCGGTGCCCGTCCAGAGTGATAGGAAGGTGCACACTGAGTGTGCACTTCCTGTCAGTCCGGCCGGTTACAGGAAACAGAAACTCCTGTTCCGCACTGAGTTTCTGTTTCCTGTAACCGGCCGGACTGACAGGAAGTGTGCACCTTCCGATCACTCCAGCCGGGCACCGTGGACCGGAGAGGAGCTCGGCCACGCTACAGGGGAGGGGAGGTGAGAAGCAACTGCAGCCGCCAGAGGCTCTTAACAGAGCGCTCAGGCGGCTGCATCATTAGGATCGGCCTGCCGCGGCCGGTTTTAAAATTATTTAGGGCGGCCTGGGGGGCAATTGCCTCCCTGCCCCCCGGCCCAGCCCGCCCCTGCTGTTCGTGTACCCCAATAGTGTTGCAACATACACACAAACAAACAAACAGCTTTTATCAGACACATACTTTGTTCTGTGGTAGTGAGTTACTGCTACTACCAAGAAACACGTTGTTGAGCCATAATGGAGGATGCCTCCCCCCACACACGACTTTCAGACCAAGATTAATATGGCTGTTTACGCATCAGTAGAGAAGATCTTGGCTAAAGCATTGCAACAAGCTAAACATCTATAGGGTCACAATTTGACTATTTAGCTTGAATTTTTGAATAATTTCCAGCAGTGCTTTTTAAGGTTTATGAAATTTGACGTTTAGTGTTTCCATATATCTGCTGTGCCACATTTCTCAGATATCGATAACTGCAAACACCATGTTTATAGACAGGCTTGCAAAAATATAATTACATATTGAATAAATCTTTGTAATTAAACATTACAATGAGACATTTCAGTTGCTAACTTGTATTTCTCTCTTTAGAAGTACATTGGGTAGATGTCACAAGGTAAGGAGATTTGAAAGAAACATTTAAATACACAAAACAATAAATACAGGTGAAGAAATAAAAATGATCTGTTCTTTCTGTTTCCAATTCACCTTCTGACTGCTTACTTTTCCAAGATCGATGGAGATTATTCCATGAATCTCTGTTGTGTGCCCCTTCGACTTCCTGTCTGTGGCGTTATGATGCGAAGCAAATTTAAATGATGTCATATTTCACAACTACACCAAGTTAGGCTGTAAAAGGAATACAGATATTCTGGCCTAGATTTTGAAATCCCAGAAATTCTCATTTTAAGTAAAAAACAACTGTTAAGACAGGGTCTAGTGCCCTCCTTGTGGATACTCATGACAGCGAGACTTAACATTTTTAAAGAATTTTACAAGACGATTTTTCAAACATAATATTTTATGAGTTGAACTTGGATTAAGCAAGAACATTTCAAGTTCTTAAACTTGTTCTAAGTCTATTGTTTCGGGAAATCTGGGTTGTCAATTAGCCAGATTTTCAGCATATTCAGAGGAAATTCACACAATTTTTCCATGAAATAATTATCATATACTTAAACAAATATGAACTATTTCCTAAACTGTATTAAAATATTTTTCCAGCGACGGAAAATGTAATTTTATGTTATTTTTTTGATAATTATATCAGTGATCTTTCTTGAGGTCACGAGATAAAAGTACTATAACCAATAGCGTATTGTCCATTCATGATTAGGATAAGACATGTGTTTCGAAGATAAAGAAGTCTTAGGTGTATGTTCGGAATTTTTAAGCTAATGTTCGGCCTGACGAATGGCTTCCCAAACTTCCAATACAAATTCTGGAGGGAAGGCGAATTCACCCAAAACATGGTCCAGGCCTTTGCTAAACTCCTCAGGGTTTTGTTTCTCCTTGGCGGTTTCAACCAGAGATGCGGCTATGAATGAAAGCAGAAGAACATTAATAACATCTTACAACCATAATGTGTGTATTGTTTGTCCATTGTAATAAAATGGGAATGCAATCTCTATACCAGTTTATTCTCTATAAGTGTTGAGAAAAAGCTGTTGAAAGACAATTTGTATAATTATACCAAAACCACCTTTGGATGTGGGAAATTAACCAAATTTACATTTTAAAAAAAAAAAACTAATAATTTCACATAAGGCAAGTTGAGTAACATATTTAGATAACTGGTGAGTTAGGAGTTAGGATCAGACCCTGGGTAGATGGCATATGACTACACCATTGCCACCTCTCCTAACACGTACATTGATAGCAAAATGAAAGATTCCGTGCAATGTAAAATCTTACTTTTTACTGAACACGTGTATATTTTTGTTTACTTTCTGTACTTTGTGCTGTTGCATAATATTTTCTTTTATTATTGGTATTCATAAAAGAAGGCCGTTTGACTGTTAACTTGTCTCTTCTGAGTTTTTCGAGATATTCTCTGAAAATCATGTTGGAGATTGAACGTTCCAAAATGGATTCAATCAATGCAATGACTAATGTAAGTGTTGGTCACTCTATGACTAGAAAACAACGAGCATTGATAAAGTTCATGGGATTATACTTGGGAAGAAACCATTGCTTTTTTCAAAGGATATCTAAAAAAACAAAAATTTTAATTAGGTCAGAGGGAGAAGGCATCACCTAGACCACCAATTTATCACTACCGTTCAGGTCAAGGAGCAAAGGAAAGAGTATGAGTCATTTTCCATGACTCCATTCCCCTCAAAGGACCACTATAGTGCCAGGAAAACATACTCGTTTTCCTGGCACTATAGTACCCTGAGGGTGCCCCCACCCTCAGGGACCCCCTCCAGCCCGGCTCTGGAAGGGGGAAAGGGGTTAAAACTTACCTTTTTCCAGCGCTGGGCGGAGAGCTCTCCTCCTCCGATCCTCCTCTTCTCCTCCCCGTCGGCTGAATGCGCACGCGCGGCAAGAGCTGCGCGCGCATTCAGCCGGTCACATAGGAAAGCATTCATAATGCTTTTATGGACGCTGGCGTGCTCTCACTGTGAAAATCACAGTGAGAAGCACGCAAGCGCCTCTAGTGGTTCAATGAGACAGCCACTAGAGGAAATAGGGGAAGGCTTAACCCATTCATAAACATAGCAGTTTCTCTGAAACTGCTATGTTTATGAAAAAATGGGTTAACCCTAGCTGGACCTGGCACCCAGACCACTTCATTAAGCTGAAGTGGTCTGGGTGCCTAGAGTGGTCCTTTAACTGGTAGAGGGATCATCTTTGAAGCCTTAGTTAGTTGTTAAGTTAAGGATGTTTTCAATGGAGGTCTGAAAGAGCCACTTGGTTCTCTCAGGGTTTTGGCAGAAATTTCATAAGGCCCACATGTATATAGAAAGAGCAAAATATAGACTCTTCTTGGTAGAAGGATAATCCTTGAGCTCCCAGTAAGTTTTAAAGTTATGGGTGTTTTTTATATCTCATCAGTCATACCATGGGATGGGTGAAAGAGCCATTTTGAGGGAGTCTAAGCATGCATGGGATAGGCATAAGGCTATCCTAGACTTAAGATAAGGCCAGGGACTAATGAAAGTATTTAGAAAATTGGGCAGACTAGATGGGCCAAACGGTTCTTATCTGCCGTCACATTCTATATCTCTATCAGGGTTAGGACTGAAATTTCACTAGGCCCACTTGTATATAGAAAGAGAGAAATATAGGAAGAGAGAGAAAGAAAATGTGTCTATTATATGAAAAAATAAAAATGATATGTTTTACATATATATATATATATATATGCAAATTTTTTACTTATTGTTTTCAATAGATAAAAAGGCAAGTGTTATTGCCACAAAAGGTGACTATATTTTGTGCTTTTCCAAGCTATGATTCGTACAATGTTTTGGTCCTGATTTTGCCTGAGATTTATAAAAAGCACGCCTCAAATGTTCAGACGGATTTAGATAAACAACATTATCAGGCTTATCTAACATTGTTTATTGAGGTTATCTTTATTTTAAGGATTTAGATTACAACTTAATACCATTTGAGGTGTAAACTGTACCCATTCTAAATGATTCACAAGTGTTCCCTTTCATTGTATATAAAAGCGTTTCTTGTTTGGACTTTATGGTAAGTGTAGATTAAACATCAGTAATTGATAGTTTAAACCTAAAACGATGTGACAATGTATACATTTGTGGAGAGCTGCTGATTGGATTTATTTTGGACCAGATTCAAAAAACGACTTCATAGTTCTTTCAATTATCTTGTTTTTACTGGAATGTGGGATAATGTGTGCGATTAGTGCCAATGAAAATAGATTTGATGCATCCTGTTATAATGAACATGAGGAAGAATCTTGATCTTTGTAATGTTGTTGCACAATCACCGTTTTCTGTTTAGTCACCTAGATGCTAACATTCTGCACATAACGGATGAATGCGATCTGTTTATTGAATTATGATGTCGCTATAAAAAAAATAAAAAATAAAATACGATTACGTTAATAGTGTTTGCATGACTAATGTTGTGCCGTGCTGACAGTCTGGTTTTGTTTAACCTCAACAGAAGAGTATCATATTAATGCTTGTGTTTGGGGTCTCCATAAACCTACAGACAGGGTTACTCTCTAAAGTGAGAGGTTTTGAGAATTCAAAGTGAATTTTTAGACTTAAAGGGATACTATGGGCATTAAAACAACTTGAGCTACTGAAGTAGTTTTAGTGAATAGATCATGCCACTGCATTATCACTGCTAAATTCTCTGCCATTTAGGAGTTAAATCACTTTTGTTTTAACTCCTAAATGGCAGATAATTTAGCCACACCTCTTCCTGGCTGTGACTCATCCAATATTTTCAATCAAATGCTCACTTACATTTCTGTTCTGTAAACCAAACTTTAATCACACACAGGAGGCTCTTGTAGGGTCTAGAAGGCTTTAAACAGTGCAGGTGATAACAATCTCTAAATTAACATACTGTGCAATAAAGGAAGTTTAAACATTAGATCTCTCTTTACAGGAAATGTTTAAAAAGGGTGTAGAGTCATGTAAAGGGAGGTGTTGCTCAGGCTGCACAAACAAAGTGATTAAACTCATAAATTGCAGAGAATTCGGCAGTGAAGCTATAGGGGAATGATCTATACACCAAAACTACTTCATTAAGCTAATGGTTTCTTGGTGACTATAGTGTCCCTTTAAGGCCAGAGTAGTGAAACTGAAACCATAGCTGATTTGGAGAATTTTTCCAGTATAGTTATTTTGGCCATAAAGTAGCTGAAAAAGTTCAGCTAATGCTACTCTCCCATTTATTTATAGGAGGGTTACTTTGCATTTTTATAGAAACCTTGCCAATTGCACATTTGTAGTCTTAAAGGGCCACTATAGGCACCCAGACCACTTCAGCTTAATGAAGTGGTCTGGGTGCCAGGTCCATCTAGATTTAACCCTTTTTTCTGTAAAAATAGCAGTTTCAGAGAAACTGCTATGTGTACCTATGGGTTAATCCAGCCTCTAGTGGCTGTCTCATTGACACCCGCTAGAGGCGCTTCCGCGCTTCTCACTATGATTTTCACAGTGAGAAGACACCAGCGTCCATAGGAAAGCATTGAGAAATGCTTTCCTATGGACTGGCTGAATGCGCGCGCGGCTCTTGCCGCGCATGCGCATTCAGCCGATGATGGAGAAAAGAAGGAGGAGAGTTCCCAACGCCGAGGGAGCCCGATGGGGGGAAACAGGTAAGATTTAACCCCTTCCACCCCCTAGAGCCCGGCGAGAGGGGGGCCCAGAGGGTGGGTGGGACCTAGAGACCCTATAGTGCCAGGAAAACGAGTATGTTTTCCTGGCACTATAGTGGTCCTTTAATACAGCCTCTATTAAAGGCAAAAGTAATAATAAAATAATTTCAGAGCCAAAATAGGTTTTATATGTCCATTACTCAGTCACCAACAGATGGGCTGGAAACACTTTCCATCCTCTTAGGTCTTTGTCAAGATTGACAAAAACCATAGAGAGTCCAAACTGTGTAGGTCATCTTTTCCCGGCTGAAAAAAAAGGTAGATAAAATCTATTTTGGCTCCGAAGGTATTTTAATATTTCAGTGGGATTAGTGTTGGAGATCCGTAGTGTGGCCAGCTGTGAGTACCTTCATACATACAACATTTCAAAAAACAAAAAGTAAAATCACTGTTGGTGAAGGAGGGAGTTTATCCGAGTTAGAAGAGGATGCGGAAGCTCAAGGTTTAGAAGGTAAAGCACAATTTGTCTGTATGCTATATGAATGCCAATATTAATAATAATGATAATAATAATAATATCCACTGTCAAACGCAAAGGCCTACACGGGCCACATAAACAAGGTTTAAGTTTATGTAGGCCACAAAAAACAAAAACTTCAATTTTCATAGAAACATTGGTTTATTTAGAAAAGTACAGTATAAAAAAAAATATGTATATGGAACAGTGTATATGAGAGGGCTGCCTGTGGCCTTTGTACACTGTGTTTGTAGCAAAGCTTTGTTTTATGACTTTGTGTGTATGATGATTGTCTTCAGTGGTGACTGTGACAGGATGAGTTATGAGGTAACTGTGGCAGGGTGTGTGTGACAGAGCGAGGGAATGAATGAGACAGGGTTGGATGGGTGAGTGTGGCAGAATGAGGGAGGGTAAATGTTACATGGTTGGAAGAGGGAGTGTTAGAAGGTGAGGGGAGGTAAGTGTGACAGGATTAGGGGGTTAATGTGACAGGGTGAATGTGGCATGGTTGGAGCATCAGCATAATAGGGTTGGAGTGAATGTGGTATGGTTGGAGGAGTGAGTGTAACAGGGTGAGGAGAGGTGAATGTGACAGTATTAAAGGGGGTTAGTTAACAGGGTGAGTGTGGCAGAGTGCAGGGGTGAGTTTGACAGGATTAGAGGCGTTAACATGGCAGGGTGAGTGTGGCAGGGTCGAGGGGGTGAGTGTGGCACAGTTGGAGGAGGGAGTGTACCAGGACGAGGGAAGGTAAGCGTGACGGAGTGACAGGATTGGGTCAGTGTGGCATGGCAGGGGCAGGATGAGTGTAACAGGATTGGAGGGCTTAATGTGACAGGGTGAATGTGATAGGGTAAAGGAGGATGAGTGTGACAGTGTGAGAAAAGATGAGAGTGACAGGATTAGGAGGGTTTATGTGATAGGGTGAGTGCGGCATTATTTGAGGGGGTGAGTGTGACAGGATCAGGAGGGGTTAATGTAAAGGTGGCAGGGTGTGTGGGGTTGACTGTGTGTGTGTGTGTGTGTGTGGAGAGGGGGTGACTTGGGTGAGAGTGTGCGTGGAGGGGGGTGACATAGTGTGGAGGGGGTGATATAGTGTGGATGGGGGATATGGAGTGTAGGAGGGGAAGTGATAAAGTGTGGAGGGGGTTTTCCCATCAGAAATACCTTTCTTTTAAAAATTATTTCCTAATCTGTTTTCTGGTGGTCCGAGGGGGAGCTTTCCCTGATGGTCCAGTGTCACTCTCCCTGGTGGTCCTGTGGTCTGTTTATCCAGTCTGCAGCTCTGCCACATGGTAAGTGTCTCATGATCTCCAGTCAGAGCATTGCCATGGTAACCCGCGGCAACGCTCCGATTGGCTGGAAATCGCAAGATACTTAGGTCTGCAGCTCTGCACCTGGTGGACTGAGGGAAGGGCCTGGCACCCGGCATCATATATCGAGGATCCGACATGTTAGTCTGCCTTAGGCAGCCGCCTAAATTGCTTAATCAGAGAGCTGCCTCTGCTGGGCCGCAAATATAGTCATTGTGGGCCACAAGTTTGACATGCTTGTTCTAAGCATATGAAAACTAATAGAAAGTGTGATAGGACAGAACAGTGACGAATTTCTAGAACATCCGTGTAAGGGAAAGTTGGACTGCGGATAGAAGAGATTACAGCTGTAGACTGTGGAACAAGTTAATCAAGATTTTGATAGTCTGAAATTATAAATAGTTCTGCAGATGTTTTACAGATGTGAAGATTCCTTTTAGGTATGATACAGGATTTTAAATTAGATTCTAAATGTTACAAGAAGCGTTTGCTGACGATTAGCCCAAAGAGAGATGTTAGAAAAGGGACGTGTTAGCCTTTTTTGGCAGCATTGAAGGGTGAGGGTTGTAACGGCACCCTAAGCATAAAAGGGTTAAACCGCCGTTTAGTAGATCTTCCCTTCCAGAGACACAGGCACAGCTACTGCAGAACACCAATCCGCCGAACAGGAAACCATATGAATGCCGTAACCAGCCGAATAGGAAAAACCATACGAATAGGTTTACACTCCTAGCAGTCAAACTGGAACAGCATACAATAAATCCCCCCAAGAACGAGACAAAGCTCCGTGTTGAGGGTCAAGCAGTGAACAGCCAGAGCTGTGGGTTTATTGTTCTTATGTACACATTCTTACACATTAGTACCACCCACAGGGTTTTGGAAAACAACCAATAAACATGTACAATACACTCAGACACTCCCACACAAAACCCTCCCCTCTGCCTGTGATACAATTACCTTACACAATGGGTAATGTAATTATAACAGCCAGAGAAATACAGTTTTTCCACATTATTCATAACTTGAAAAGTATGCATCACATTTACATAACTTACATTTTCAGAATCAGCATACTCCAAATATAAACATATGTCAAAATCATCCAAATTGGTCCATTGGTTCAAAAGATAGATCGAAGTCCTTTGTGACCAAATGAAGCATGGCTTTTCTGCCCAAAACCAGTTCCACAGAGTCTTCTATCCTGGAGATAATTGGGAAGTAATCCAATAATCTCCCAAGACAGAGGCAAAACTCCATTGAACACATGGCAGCAAAAGTAAATAAAACACATAAAAACATATAACTGTGCAGCCATTGCACAAAACAGGTACATTCAACATATCCCCAGATAGCTCAGATCTGAGCGCACATTATTACTGAATGGCGCTCAGAGCACACACATACAGTTCAATTGCCATGGAGCCAAAGTCTTTCCCATAGTCTTTCATTATACGAATGGGCTCCATGGTATAGCAATCTGGGGTATCACCGCTCAAACAGGGCAAGCACCAAATGACCCGGCTTTCATGTCTTTGCAGGGACAAATCAAGCCTTTTAACATGGGGCCATAATCCAAAGGCAACAGGCGAGCAACCAGGCTTCTCCAATGCAATGTGGCGAGATTGGTCTCGTCAGAAGGGGGAAGCAGCCACATATGATAATAATAAAGAGCTGATTGCCATAACGAGGATAGGGGATAATGTAGGTAGAAAACTGGAAATTGGACGTTTGTTGGGTTAAAAGGGTTGAATGCAAGATACTATTTTAAGATGAAGAATTTAGGGATTGACTGTACATGAATAATGAATATAGGAATAAAATAACCTCACGGCAGAAAGCTGGTGATGTAGGGTTAACATGCCCAAAAAGAATTGGAAGGCCAGCCTGGCATCAATGTCCCTATGTTTTACAGTGTCAGTGTCCCCATGTCGCCCAGTCCCCTAGTCTCCCAGTGTCTGTGTCCTCATTTCTCCCTGTGTCCCCATGTCTGTGTTTCCCGTGTCACTAGGATACTAGAGACCCAGGGACACTGAGACACATGGGGGTACTGAGACACCTGGGGACAATAGGAGACATGGGGACACAGACACTAGGTACACAGAGACATGGGGACACTGAGACATTTGGGGATGCTAAGACACTAGGGACACTGAGACATGGGAACACAGGCACTTGGAGACTAGGGGACACTGGGAGACATGGGGACACTGAGACACTAGGGACACTGGCTGGGATGCATGGGGACACTGAGACACTTGGGGAAACTGGGAGACATGGGGGAACTTGTGGACATAGACATGGGGACACTGGGAGACATGGGGACACTGAAAAATGTGGGGTCACTGGGAGACATGGGGACACAGACACTGGCTGGGAGACATAGGGACATTGGGAGACATGGTGACACTAGCTGGGAGACATGTGGACACTGTGAGACATGGGGACACAGACATTTGGGGACACTGGGGGCCATGGGGACACTGAGACACTTTGGACACTGAGAGGCTTGGGGACACTGGTAGTCATGGGGACACTGGTAGCCATGGGGACATTGAGATACTAGGGACACTGGCTGGGAGACATGGAGACACTGTGTCCCAAGTGTCTCCATGTCCCAATGTGTCTCCTAAGATCCCTATGTCTCACAGCATCCCCATGTGTCTCAGTGTCCCCATGTGTCTCAGTGTCCCCTAGTGTCCCCATGTGTCCCTGCTGCCTTTCCCTCCCATCCTTCACTTCCCTGAACTGTAGTCTGTCTCTGCAGGTTGGGAGTTGCTGTCTGAACTCTCTGTGGTGTGTAGCTGCTCCCCCACAGATCAGTGAGTAGAGAGAGGCAGGGAGGGATATGCTGTAACTTCCTATCCTTGCCTCACTCCACACACAGTGACCCCTACTGGCTGGTGCTGGTATTGCAAAGTAATCTCTGTTTATACTGAAAAAAATATCTGCATTTGTATTGCCGGTATTACTGCAATACCGGCACGGCCAGGCAGCCTCAAATATCGGCTGTGCTGGTAAAATACCAGTCAGGTGGCAAACCCAAGAGTAGTGTGAAAAAAAAAAAAGTTAAACATGCAGCTCCATCAGCCCCTATGTTAATCCGGCCCTGCTTAGGCTATCCCTTTTAAAGAACAGTATAATGTAATGGTTATGGTGCCAGGAGTAAGAAGTCAAACTGTTTGCTAATGGTTTGACTTCTTAACTGGAGTCCAACATGCACTAGTGACTTCCTCTCAGACAGCTGGAAATGCTGTTCACTAAGCTAAACCAGGAGGTGCAGGTCTGACAGATATCAGCTGTCACACTCAGCCACCGATCTGGACCTGCACGGCTAAGACTAAGTGACCATTCCCAGTGGATACAAGGAAGCAAGTCAAACCATTAGAAGTTTGACTACTTACAATGAGAGGGCGTAAGAAACATAGAAACATAGAATGTGACGGCAGATAAGAACCATTCGGCCCATCTAGTCTGCCCAATTTTCTAAATACTTTCATTAGTCCCTGGCCTTATCTTATAGTTAGGATAGCCTTATGCCTATCCCACACATGCTTAAACTCCCTTACTGTGTTAACCTCTACCACTTCAGCTGGAAGGCTATTCCATGCATCCACTACCCTCTCAGTAAAGTAATACTTTCTGATATTATTTTTAAACCTTTGCCCCTCTAATTTAAGACTATGTCCTCTTGTAAGGTCACTCCTTGTACCATAACAATTACAGAGCGCTGTAGTCATGTGCTTGGAGTGTTCCTTCAATAACAAATGTAATCACTACACAAAAATATCTTTCTACCATTTAAAAAGCTGGGGAAAAGTAAAAGTTAAAAAAGTTTTACTTTTTTTATTTTTTATTTAACTTTCTTTTTAGCATTTGAAAAATCTAATAGAACAATCCTTAAAGCAAATGCTGAACTACACAATCCACCACACAAATTAAACATTAAATACGGCTCTGCAATATCGCATCTTGTTAAAAAAAATTGCTGCTCACCCAGCTCCACATCTCTGATTCCCATGTAACTTTCCAGCAAGTCGTCGACTTTACGGGATGCTTCCTCTTCCCCTTCGCTTGGCTGCGAAACAAGAATACGTCAAAATACATATATATATATCTCTGTTACTTATTGAATTACATTTCAGATACAAAGACAGGGGGGGGTATGGTAGAGGGCTTTCTATTCTGGAGGTACTTGCGACAAATGGTTTTTTTTTTGTTTAATTAAATCTTTATTTTTTTTTTTTTTTTTTATTTAAAATCAAAATAGGCAACATAGAAGAGTATCAGAACCATTTCTGTGTGTAGTGAAAAGTACTAGAGCCTTTATCTACACCAGGGGTAGGCAACCTTTGACACTCCATATGTTGTGGAGTGCAGAAGATTGCCTTTCCCCTGACCTACACAAATAAAGCACAGGACAAGTGAAGTTCCTGTGCTAGTTAAAGGACCACTATAGGCACCCAGACCACTTCAGCTTCATAAAGTGGTCTGGGTGCCAGGTCCATCTAGAGGCGCTTCCGCGCTTCTCACTGTGATTTTCACAGTGAGAAGATGCCAGCATCCATAGGAAAGCATTGGGTAATGCTTTCCTATGGACTGACTGAATGCGCGCGCGGCTCTTGCCGTGCATGCGCATTCAGCCGATGACGTCGGAAGAAGGAAGAGAGTCCCCAGCCCGGCGGGAGGGGGGCCATGAGGGTGGGGGGAGACCTATTAATACTATAGTGCCAGCAAAACAAACTATAGTGGTCCTTTAATATAATACTGATTAATTACTGAATAATGTTTTTGAAGATCATTTTAAAGTGACAGAAAAAATATGCGGTGGATCAATTTGAAATGCTGATAGTTTAGGTTCTCTCTGTAATGGCACAAGATAAGCTAAAACCAGCTTGAGAACTGAACGGGGACCCACCGAACGGCAAGCTATGCGAGCTGTTGACCATTTTCAGTATTCTCTTGCACCTTGTTCCTGGGTTATTATACACATAACTGTGTCCTCTACGTAATAAACCATTCTGTCTCTTTATTGATCAATGATTCCAATGAAAAATTAATCATTAAACGTTACCATTTCCTCCACGGTGGCCATGCCTTTGCTTCGCAGACGTAGAGTTTCTCTCCCACTTGACATTTTTCCTTCACTTGGGCTTTTGGTTGGTCTGCATCTCTGTCCAATCATATCTACAAAGGAAACACAATCAAATTCTTTGCAGAAAATCTATAGTAGAACAGAGAGATTATTATTATTATTATGTTATTATTTAATTGTAAAGCGCTGCGGAATTTGATGGCGCTATATAAATATCATAATAATAATAATTTATATAACGCCAACAAATTCCGCAGCTCTTTACAATGGGTGGAAGAACAGACATGTAGTTGTAACCAGACAAGTTGGACACACAGGAACAGAGGGGTTGAGGGCCCTGCTCAATGAGCTTACATGCTAGAGGGAGTGGGGTAAAATGACACAAAAAGGTAAGGATAGTATTAGACTAGTGACAGTTGCAGAAGAGGAATCAGGCAGGAGCTATTAACAGTTTAATTGATACGCTTTTATGAAGAAGTGGGTTTTTAACGATTTTTTAAAGGAGACTGGGTAAGCAACTAATGTAGGAGGGAAGCGAGTTCCACAGGAATGGTGCAGCCCTCGAGAAATCTTGAAGGCGAGCATCAGAGGTGGGAGTATGGACAGAAGATAGACGTAAGTTTTCAGCAGAGCCTAAGGGCCTAGACGGGACATACTTGAGGAAAGAGCTTAACAAGATAAATCAATTATATTAGTCCTATCTCATTCATGGAAGAAATCAAAGAAATAAGGTAAACATAAGCTCTTTCTGGTTGAATACTGTTGTTCCAAGTTACAATTGGGCCTTAAAGGGACACTACTTCATCTCATTAAAGTGGTCTGGGCGCATTGCCCCAGCCTGTTTATCTCTGCAATGTAAAACATTGTACAGCGCTACGGAATTTGATGATGCTATATAAATAATAAAATAATAATAATAATAATAATTATATTGCAGGGTTAACTCCACCTCTAGTGACCGTCTTCCAGAGAGCCACTAGAGGCACTTCTGGGTCCCTAATGGAGATTAGAGATTGACTCTGCTATCCTACGTTGGATGTTTTGACGATTTGCATGAGGACGTCTACCATCTTCTATGTTAGCCATAGGAAAGCATTTATTCAATACTTTCTCATGGAAAAACTTGAATACACACTTAGTGCACTGTGCTCATGCGCATTACGTCACAACATCAGCGTGACATTGCGGAAGGAGGAGACCTAGCCAGCACCGAGGAAGCCTCAGCTCTGGAAAAAAGGTAAGCAAAATTATTTCTAAACCCTTTACAGGTTATTTTGTCTGCTCTCTGACAAATATGCAGTGAGGCACAGTAAAACGCGTCGGACATTGTCTTTGTTTTAATGTAAGCCTTTTTAATATTTGTCTTAACAATAATAAATTGAAGGTATAACACCATTGCTGCAGCCAACTCACCTTCAATATACAGTCTCAAGTGGGGTGTTACCTCTCTCCTTGCAAGCAAGATTTACCCAGAGCAAGGGAATAGGCTCATGGTGGATGTGAGTTTTATCCTTTGGGGGGAATTTTAGGATATGGAGATTTGTTAAACTATTTTACATAAGAATGGATCATTTTATTTCCACTAGTGTATACACTTGTTTTAATGTATTTCACTGCTGTGATACACTTTAATTATTAGAAAGTGCAACACTATATTGGGGTTTTGGGTCTCTGGTCAAACACATATTTTGATCTGGAATATTTTCTGCTCATTTTTATTTCTGCACTCTTTGTTCACGCATTTGAATTGAGAAGCGCCTTGCACTTTGGGATTTACCGGATTTGTAAACTTGCCTATATAGTCTGTGTCTGTGTAACATATGTAAAAACAAAACACTTGAATTTGCGTTGTGTATGCAGTTCAGTGAAGCCATATGTCAGACCAAGCTTCCTTGAAGTATTATGAAATATTTACCATTAAAACTCTCTTTCCTCTATTTTTATTTGCCTTTAATTTTAGGTCACAACCAATTGTCCCAGCTTTCATCTTTCTATAGAAAACATTTGTCATGGTAAAGAAGGCCTGACATCTTTGATAGTAAGAGCTCAATTTGATTTTAGTTGTGATCATTTCCTTTAATAAAATAAATACATAAATAAATTTAAAAAGTTTTGTATTTTGTTGTTTTTCTGCACATTTGATTCAGATACAATTCTTCTCACACCCGAACTTTCCTAAACATTCAGCGTGGCAGACATTACAGGGTTTATAACAATGCTATTATTGATAAGCTTTTTTTTTGTACCATTGAAAATATGTATCATGATGTAAATGATGAGTCTTCTTTAAAGGGACACTGTAGCACTTTAACCATTTCATTTCAAAGGTGGGTTATTTATTTTGCCTAAAACCTCCTGACACTTTCCCTTCATTTAGTGTTAAACCATTGTCAAGCAGTTTAACATTAAAGGACCACTATAGTCACCCAGAGCACTTCAGCTCTTGGTGAAGATTTGGATGGAATGGGGGAGTGGAAGATATTGGGGGGAGATATGGATGGTATGGGGGCAGACATTGGTTCTCCTATTACTCCCACTACCGCCTCTATCCCACTACTTGCAGGTTTTATCCTGTACTACAGCCCCTAACATCCCTTTTACATACCATATTCCCCGACTACAGTCCTAATCCCCCTCTACAGTCCCTATCCCTCACACTACAGCCCCTTTCCCCAATTGGAGTCACCCACCTACTTCAGTTCCTAACCCCCGTACTACAGCCCTTATCCCACACTACATTTGCTAACCCCCCAATTACAGCCCATACCTTTCACTACTAGCTCTGTCCTTCACTACAACCCACTACCAGTGCCCCCCCGAGATTGGCAGGTGGGGGTGGCACAGTGGCTGGAAAAGCCACCATCCTGAAATGAGTTTCTGCATGTTGGGATGTCTGCCCATGTATCAAATCTCCCAGCTACACAACCATGGTTTATGGCTTCTAAATCAAGGGAAACTACAATCTAATCATAAATGCACGTGGTAAAGGTTTAGTAAGCAGGTTCACAGATTTTACTTTGTGTTCAGTTTGCTTTTCGTTTTCCCTTTTATAGACTTGGCGTGTCAAACTTGACGTAAAATAGTTCCACACTCATCAGGGTACGAAAAAAGTGTCTGAGACAGTTAATCCTAGTTATTCTTTAGATGAGTCACATACTGTGGGTCATTATGGACTGATGTTGATATCTATTAATTGACAAGTGATACAGAGTGAACACAGAGCTAAAATCAGGAACAAATATTTTTGGGTCGTTATGTATGAATTTTAGCTCTTCAGAATTCTTGGGACCATTTGTGTTCACCCTCTTATCCACACACAGGATTATGTTCAAGTGGATGTTAATGCTGTTTATGGGAATATAATTTAAAATTCCAAAGCAGTACAAACATAGATACAAATAATATATATATATATCGCAAGAAGAATCCCAGTGATTCAGTTCTGTTCTTATTAAAGGCTGAATCATAGTAAGAATGGAAGGGAAACTTATGTCACTTGAATTCGTTCGGGTTCAACGCCCACTGGATAGCTTTCAAAGTGTCTTTAATCAATCCCTTGTCATAGTGCCTACATTGCATTATACTTCCTGTCCCAGGGACAGTTAAGCCACTTCCCGTCTTGGTCATCGGAGATAAGGAAAAATTCTCATCTCATCAACATTCCTAGCAATCAAAAGCAATACAATGTAACAGTTGAAAGTATATAGGTGTCAACATTAGCAGTTCTTTTTAATATAACATGTATAGAGAAGTGGAAGTTGTTTGTGCCACTCCAAAAATTAGAGATGTCAGAGTGAGTAAATGGGGTCTCTTGATATAGTAAACATCTAATCTGATTTATTTATATTGTCTGCTCGCTAGTCTAAACTTCGGAGGGCTGCTAAGCAGGGCAGGGGGCAAGTGCCCCTAAGGCAACTATCATGCAGGGTCTGTGGGCTGCAATCTCACACAGTTCTTGTTCTTGATGTCACAGAACTGCGTACAACCAAAGTGGCCCTATTTTTAGATCCAAATCCCTCTGTCTCTCTTTTCTATCCTAATGTCCCTCTTATCTATAAGCTCAGCATTGTTAGTGTGTCTGAGTGTATAACAGAGCACAACAGTAATAACACTCCCAGTAATGTGTTTTAAACTATAGTAATGTGTTTAGTATTCAGTCGTAAATAAGATACATTGTACTTGTTCTAAATTACATTTTAGTTGCATAAATTGTTTTTGGTAAGTAACCTAAACCTTAGAACAGCACCGCCCCCACCCCCACCACTAAAGTATTATTATTATTGGTATTTATATAGCGTTAGCTTATTCCTCAACGCTTTACAATAAAAGGGGAATTTACCAAATGAGACAATAACGAAATGTAACAGGAACAATAGGAAGTTGAGGACCCTGCTCAAACCAGCTTACAGTCTAGAGGAGGTGGGGTATAAAAACACAATAGGAAGAGTATTAAGGGAGACAGCAAATAGACATGGTGGGAATGTAGCAGAACTGGAGGTGAGGGTGGAGTGGGCCCTTTAGGAGAGATTGAGAGGAAGATTTGAGAGATAGAAGTTACTCTTGGAGGCCATGAGCAATCCTGAAGTTTTCAGGGACTTCTTAAAGGAAGTCTGATGGAGGTAGGCAGTCTGTTCCAAAGGAAAGGAGCTGCTTGCGAGAAGGCCTGCAAGCATGCTTTAGCAGTAAGGGTGCGAGCAGCAGACAGGAGAAGGTCACCAGTAGAGCGGAGAGACCGATAGTGAATCAGTGAATAAATGTAAGAGGGCTAGAGTTGGTTAGAGCTCTATAGGTAAGGGTACGTGTCCCTCTTTGTCAACTTAAAAAGTTGGAAGGAGGGAATGACAAAAAATAAATCTCTAGTATTATGGAATAGCTATCAAACAAATTACTCGGGAACACATTTAGATGGATGTTTATGTTCTAAGCTGCTTCATGACCCGGATCTAAAATCCCACCTTTGGAGTAAATACCGTTATCTGAGACTGCATGTTTATGGGCTCAGAATATTTAACCCCCTTAAGGACACATGATGGAAATATTCTGTCATGGTTCCTTTCTATTTCAGAAGTTGTGTCCAGAAGTTGTGGGTTAAAACTGCGATGCAAAAGACTAATGGCAGAATGTGGACAGGTGAAGAAAAACTGTACGTTACACAAAATATCAGAAATGTTTCAGCAGATAATAGATTCACTTTGGGACTATATATCGGAGCACGGTTAAAATGATAGCACAAAGGTATGGCTCCACCTAGTGGTGAATTGTACATATTACACACTTAAATGGAAAACCATCAAATCTCATTATAGCATTGAAGAAAAAAAATAATAATAAAATCACCTATACCTTGTATTAATCTTATTTCGTTTGAATATATTTGGAATATTTAGCAATTGATGTTACAATTTAGTTCAGTTCTGACAGCTAACATGAATGTTAACAAGTGCAAGGACAGAGCTTATAACAATGGCAGGGTGTAGCTGGATATGCACAGTTCCAGGATAGTGATAGAATTTTGAAATGTTAAAAAATCTTTAATTTTATTTTCAGACATAATAAATTTATATTTGTTAAATAAAGGGAGATTTTAAAAAAATCATGGCAATTGACAGCCGTCCTTTACATATGTGTATTACACCATCTTCCCCTTATTAAAAAAAAAATGCGTTCAGATTGTACTACATGGTGGATGATGACATCCATGGCACGTCCCAGTTCTGCCAGAGCTTAGGGCCCGTGAAATGCACAGTTGACTGCGCGGTCAGAATGTAATGACGGAAGTCTGCTACAAAGACATGTAGGTTTATCCCACATTTCTGTTCCTCAGTGCTTTACAATTTCCAGTGAATTTGATACCCCAGTTTGTTTACAAGAGTCATATGACTCCTGCACGTGAAATAATTCTGCCAATTTTATAATTAAAGAAGTAAGAGGCCGAGGTTGATCTGGAAGACTTGTTAGTAACTAATGGTTTGACCATAGGGTCGTGGAAGACTGGAGAGTTGCAATACACATTAGGGGAGTTCAACCCTCAAAGGATTTACTTAACTTTGCATCTAAATGTATTTGTGATATAGCTCTCTACATGTGAGTGTTTCAAATAGCTCCGCTTCCATGCAAGCTTGAAGAACGTGTGTTAAAACTATAGTAAACACATATATAAAGTTTAAGAAAATGGTGTTGCCCTCTTCTAAATCCCCATCTTTCTACTTCCAACTAAAACGATTCTTTGAAATATATAGGAACGTTTAGATGACATGCACAAACAAATGCCTATATGCTTATTTAAAAAACATATTTTTGCTAGGATTGATAAATAGAAAGAAAATAATGGCTTCATAAACTATTACCCCTTAGTCAAGGCAGCATACCACCACCAAGCATATTATTTTTTGTAAAAATTCTTTACAAAGATAAAAGATTCCCCTTTTCCCTTTTGCAATAAACTCACCAAATGCTTTTTTCGGTTGGACTAGACGCAGAGTAAAGGTCTCTGACTTTGGTAACTCTCTCAGCATCTTTGCCACTTCGTAGTGCCGACATCCTACGATGGTTTGTTCATTTATGGCCTCAATGTTGTCTCCCACATTTACAGACTCAAGCCGGTCTGTAATGCTGCCTTCTTTAATCCTCTGAAGAAAGAAAAAGTAAAAGAATTAAGAAATCATATTATCCTTTTACTCTATCAAGGCCACCATCAGGGAAATAAAACTGCTAACTGTGCTAAGCTTTAGCGTTATTGATCTTTCTGTATACACTGATCAGCCACATTAAAACCACCTGCCTATTATTGTGTCCCTCTCGTTCTGTCAAAACAGCTCTGATGTGTCGAGCATGGACTCCAAAATACATCTGAATGTGTCCTGTGGTATCTGGAACCAAGACATTAGCAGCAGATCCTTTAAGTCCTGCAAGTTACGAGGTTAGGTCTCCATGGATCGGATTTATTGTTCCAGAACATCCCACAAGTGTTAAATCGGATGGAGATCCAAGGAATTTGGAGGCCATGGCAACACCTTGTACTTGTCATGTTCCTCAAACCATTCCTGAACAATTTTTGCAGTGTGGCAGGGTGCATTATCCAAGTGAAAGAGGTCATTGTCATCAGGGAACACCATTGCATGAAATGGTGTACATGGTCTACACAATCTCTAAGTAACACCCACATGTATGCCAGGACCCAAGGTTTCCCAGCAGAACATTGCCCAGAGCATAGCACTGTCTCTGCCAGCCTGCCTTCATCCCATGGTGCATCTTGCTGCCAACTCTTCCCCAGGTAAACGACACACATTCAACTGGCCATCCACCTGATCTAAAACAAAATGTAATTTATCAGACCAGGCAACCTTCTTTCACACACTCTTGTCACTATTTAAGGCACTTTGGGAAGTTGACAGGGGTCATCATTGGCACTCTGATGGCTGTGCGGCTATGAAGCCCCCTATGCAGCAAATTGCGATGCTCTGTGTGTTTTGACACCTTTCTATCATATCTAGCATCAAGTTTTTAAAGCAATTTGAGCTACAGTAGCTCTTCTGTGTAAACAGACAAGAATGGCTAGTCTTCGTTCCTCACGCTCATCAATGAGCCTTGAGTGCCCATTACCCTGATGCCAGTTTACCAGTTGTCCTTCCTTGCACCACTTTTGGAAGGTACTAACCAGTAACTACTGCATACCAGGAACTTGCTCATTTAAAGATGCTCTGACCCAGTCATTTAATCATCACTAATTTGACCTTGTCAAAGTCACTCAGGTCTTTTCACTTGCCTCTTTTTCCAGCTTCCAACACATGAAATTCAAACACTGACTGCCCCTTGACGGGTCTCATTGTAACTTTCAAACTACAAAGACGCCTGAAATTAAGTGGTTAGATTGCAAGATAACCTCACTAATTAGTTCATATTAAAGAGCAATCACGGCAGAGGTACCGTCCATGAAAGGAGCAGCTATAATCAGATTAAGATTTCAAGGAACACAGCACGCAGTAGTGGTAATAGTGTCAGAAGTGCCCCAGAGCCCTCCCAGGATATGTAGTCAAATCAAGGGGTTTCCAAGGGGCTGGTCAACTCTTTCAGGAGAGCTGAAAGATCTCTGCTCTGAGCTAATACGGTATTGAAGGTCCTGCACTGAATGACTTAGCTTAAGGAGCTAACAGAAGCTCCATGCTAGATCTTCCAGCTCTTCTGGAGGCTGTGACGAACGCCCAGCAACCTCTGGTAAACTGGTCAAACTGTTTGTATATAGTTTGACTACACTGGTAGGACACCAGGGTGCGCTGCAGTGGGTATGATACTTAGAGTGTTCTTTTAATCAAGATTGTAAATAATATATGTAGAAAAGTTCACCTTAATAAAGGCATACCCAGCACCATTGTCAGTGATGGTCAGACCAAGGGCATCCTCTGTTTTGGTAATCTCCACTTCTTTGGTTTCACCTCGCACATGAGCAAATATGAAATCCTCCAGTCCAATCTGACCTCCCAGAAGCTTCTGCATGTCTACTTTGTGCGTGTTTAACGTACAAAACAAGATCTAAGAAAGCCAAAAAAGCCATCAGATTCATAAAATGTTTACATACTTCTGAAAGGAAGTACAGGAAAAGTAGTGAAATAGTAGTGAAATAGCAGTTTTGAGTAATTTAGGTTTTTTTTGCAAACAAAACTAATTATTAAGAAACAGACTTCAAAATATATAAATGCACCCAATGGATATATTTATACAATATCTATAACCCTAGTTTATTCAAAGGTCAATACCTATATGAAACAATGATCAGCAAAATAACTTTAGCTTAATGAAGCAGTTATGGTGTATAGATCATGCCCTTGCAGTCTCACTGCTAAAATATCTGCCATTAAGGCGTTAAAGGACCACTATAGGCACCCAGACCACTTTATCTCAATTAAGCAGTCTAGGTGCGTGGTCCATCTAGGGTTAACCCTGCAGCTGTAAACATAGCAGTTTTTCACTGATGGTTAATCCAGCCTCTAGTAGCTGTCTCACTGACAGCCGCTAGAGGTGCTTCCACGCTTCTCACTGTGAAAATCACAGTGAGAAGACGCTGACATCCATAGGAAAGCATGGAGAAATGCTTTCCTATGGACTGATTGAATACGCGCGCGGCTCTTGCCGCGTATGCGCATTTTGCGCTGACGTCAGAAGAGGGAGGAGAGTTCCCCAGTGCCGAGGGAGCCCAGCACTGGAGAAAGGTAAGAGTTTAACCCCTTCAGCTCAGTGGGAGGGTGGACCTAAAGACCCTACAGTGCCAGGAAAACAAGTTTGTTTTCCTGGCACTATAGTAGTCCTTTAAATCACTTTTGTTTTTGTTTATGCAGCCCTAGCCACACCTCCCCGCATGCAACCTAAATTGTCTCCCTACACATTTACTGTAAAGAGAGATCTAATGTTTAAACTTCCTTTATTGCAAATGTTGTTTAATTTTAAATGTTTTATCTCCTACTCTGTTAATAGCCTTCTTAAGCCTGCAGGAGCCTTCCTTGTGTGAATAAAATTAAATTAACCGAGCAAGAAATAAAAAAAAATGTCTAAAATAAACATACTGTGCTATCACATTTGATTAAAAATACAAAACAAATTAATAGGCTGTGTGAGTCACAGCCAGGGGAGGTGTGGCTAAGGCTGCATAAACAGAGACAAAGGTGATTTAACTCTTAAATAGCAGAGAATTGAGCAGTGAGACTGCAGGGGTATGACCTAAACACCCAAACTGCTTCATTAGCCTAAAGTTGTTTTGATTTTGCTGCTTAGAGTATCCCTTTAATTTAAATTTGATACCCACTTGACTTTTATTCACCCACAGCAACCTCCATCACATATGTTCCACTATTGCTCCCCACCTCAAGCCTTTAGTCTACCTAACATTGAACCCCTCTCTATTAAAATCCTTCTCCTTTTACCTATTCAATTGTCCCCTGTCACTCCAGCTTTTTTTTTTTTTTAAAACAATCCCACCTCTGTGATACAACTTTCCTCCACCATCACCAGTTTCGTCCTCTATTTCTGTAACTAAGCCAATTACTCTATACCCTCCTTGCCTCTCCCATTTCATAAAGTAAACATTTTGGCCCAATACGTTTGAAACATCCCTGAAGAATTCCTGACAATTTCCAGTTTATCGAGAAAACCTGAATATGTGAAGCTAGACATTGCAGACAGCTGTGTATGAAGTGAATATACTGGCGGTTTTAGTTATTGTAGGCTATTTGATATTAAGTATTTATCAAGATATTATATAATATACTCAAACAATAGCATCTAATAAGAACATTAAAATAAACCGTGTTCTTGTGTGAATTAAAAAAGCTGATAATTCTGATGCTTACCACCCAACATTTCAAATGGACAAAGAGGGACATTTTAATTTTAAGGGTGTGAGTGGGGTGTGGCCAGGAGTGGGGCTCTTCGGAGAAATTCTAGGTGACTTAGTAATAACAATGTAAATTAAACTAAAATCTAATTTAGAACAAGCACAATGTATCTTATTTTCACAGACTGATTTCTAAACACATTTATTTTAGTGTAAAGACACATTACTGGGAGTATTATTGCTGTGGAGCTCTCCTATAAACTCAGACACACCAACTATATGAAGCTCCCAGGAAGAGAGGGACATTAGGTCATAAAAGAGGGTTTTGGGACCAAAATAGGGACTGTCCCTCCTAAATAGGGACACTTGGGAGGTATGCTGACGCTAAAGACATGTTTTGCTTGTTCTTTCATATTTTAGGTGGAGTTTGAAGTTCAAAGATATTATAAAACATGCCTGTGCAATGTATCGCCAACACAGAATCTACATGTCAATAGTAACTCAGTAAAGGTAGGCCCATAAATGCTGTTATTTATTAAGGATTGCTGAACATGCTGAATTGCTGGGTTAATGGAGAGAACATTCCAAGGGCAAGATTTTCCCAGATAAATTCTTCAACAGCAGGTGGAAAGTGCTTGTAATATTCAAATGATGCATCAGGGAAGCCAATGCAAGGGTCACTCCAAACACCATAACCAATGCACTACAAGTGTATAGGCTATGGTGCTAGGAAGCTATGCATACAACCCTATTTAAAAATTTTTTTGAATTTAGATCTGATTGACAAAAGCCAGGTGATTCTCCAGAACCCCAAACCCATATTCTCATCATTTATCCAAATTCTTGTAAGGTGTGAGCACACAGTAAGGGCTCCTGTCATTCAGACATACGCAGTACATGCTCACGTGATACAAGAACTTGCATCATCCTCATTGTTACATATCCAGTTCTAAGGAACTGCATCTACAGCTTCCTAGAAGAACTACCACAATAAGCATTTAGTTTGCATAAGTGCTTATGGTACGCGGAGTGTCCCTTTAAATGTAGATACTTTGGAACTCATTCTGAATTAAAGGGCTTTTTATCTGCAACCCACCACTAGATACAACCCTTTGATGACCTGCTGGCTTACTCTATATAAAATATTAGGTTGAGTCTTTTTTTTTATTAAATGATACATATTTACCCAAATATGAACTTTCGTCTTCATATTCTATGCATATAATTTACCGTTTGAACATTTTCTAGTGATCTTGTATTTTATTTTCATGATGTGAATTTTATGTTAGAAAGTTAAAAAAAAATGCAGCATTCAGCACAAACAAATACAATACGTTATTATTCTCAGCTTAGTTTACTTTCAAATTCACTGCGTCAGCTATATTTAAATAGTATGGGAATTTGTTACCTTGCGTTATGAAGACAAGCCCAGGAACACGTAAACCTAAATCTACAAAAATATAATAATTTATACCAGACACTGCTTTGGTAAACCTAGATCTATCTACATGACATGTAAACATGTTTTACCTCTGTTGGAGAGATGTTGAACACCTCCGCAATTTTAGCATAAAGTTCCTTAACATTGGTGAAACCTTCGATCCGTTGAGTCGAGCTGCCGTGGGCTAGCTGTGTGTGGAAGACCAGCCGCGGTCGAACCCTTGGCGGATGGGGTGGCGCGTGCTGCCCATGGGAATGTCCTGTAGACCCATTGTGTCTGGTTTTCGGTGTCTCTCTTGGCGCCTTGCATTCATTTACCTCAGGGTCCACGCCGTTCTCCATGAATCCAGTTTTTAACTGATGTGCGTTGTTTTTTGTCCTCCTTCCCGAGTTACACAGCATCCCCTCCTTGCCAGAAATGGGTGTGAGAGAAAGACAATGGCACAGAATTGCTGAGATAAATAATTTAGGCCGGGCTGCTGTTTTGAAGTATACACCTTGTAAGGGATCCCGAACAGGATATAGAGGACAGGTAATCTTATCCCACAGCTCAGGTTATCCAGCAAGACAGCAAGCTCCGAGCTTAGCATAAAAAAATTCTGAGACATGGCTAAACAAACCAGTCTACCTGGGGATTCTCATGGAAAGATTTGCTCACAAGGGACATCAGTGAGGTAATCAATTAAATAAACACTCGTTAACTCTTTTGACGAATACACCTGGTAAAAGTCAGGTGCGTCTTTAGTGTTTACAACAAGCTGTTTTGCCAGACGATGCTGTATACCAAGTGTTGTTACAGTGAGTCAAGTGAATGCACAAAATACTACACTATGCTTAAATTAAAATAAATAGTAAACAAAAAAAAATTAACAAAAAGTTTAGCAAGAGGGCTTAAAATGTTAAATTTAGAGGTGGAGTAATGTATGTGCTCGTTTTGAATTTGCATAATTTAGCTAATTTCTGTAAAGTCCTTTATAGTAAAACCTCAAAATAGATTTTGATACATTAGGAGAGCCTTTGCTATAAATAAATATGAGCTTCATCAAGACACTTAAAAGGAGCACTCATGGCACCATAACCACTACAGAGCACTGTACCGCAATATAAGTAGCCAAACCGTTTCAGAACGATTTTGACTTATTTGTGGTCTACTGGGCGCCAATACACAGAGAAGGGACTGCACTCAGGTTAAATTCATTTTTTGTCATAAGAGCTTTTTATCCTGAAGAAAAGGTACAGACTGTTGGGGTGACCAGACCACCATCACTTAGTAGAATGTCCAGGTACTCGAAATTCTTTCGATAACAGACTTTTTATGGAACATAATAGAGCAGGTGACGTTTCAGTCACGCTGAATGTGATCTTGGTCATTGCATGATCGAAACGTTGTCACGTGTGCTATTATGTTCTATTAAAAGTCTCATATCAAAAGAATTTTGAGTGCCTGGACTTTCTATTCATTTTGAATGATTAATATTTTATGACATTTATTTAATGAGTCCATTGATCCTGTTTTCAAAGAGCTGTACACATCTAGTATGATCATTTAAAATGCATACCTCAACTTTTTAGAATTCAAGTTTATGGATTTTGACATATGTTTTACCTGTATAAAATAATGCACAAACACATCAGGATCGCATTCACCATAAGTTTATTTTATTATTATTTTTTTATCATCATTTGTAATGCATAAAATCAAACAAACAAAAAAAAATTCTAAATTATACAAGAATTTTTTACAGAAGTGGTCTGACCTAATGTATCTAAACAATTACCCTTTTTCTCTCTGAATTCCGCAGGCAATTTTTTAAATGTAATGTATTGTTTAAAATGAGAGCACTTTTGGGGTTTCTATTTGCAGATTTAATGCTGGTACTCCACAAAACACTAAAACCTGCAGTTCCAGGTAGTTGCAGGAGTTAATAAAGATAATGAAGCCAGTAAACAGATTATTTCTGTTTAGCATTTTGAAAGCCATGCAAAATCTCTACCCTTTGGTTGTAGAATTTAACAGGGCTTTCATTCATTTATCCTATCAGGACAAGCAAGGCGCCAGTGCTTTGTTCAGAAGTGAAAATGTAACATTTTAACATGCTTTCATTAATACAATATATACACATGTTTTCGTTACAGATCAAATTACTTTCACCATTAAATACTAGGCATTTTCTTACTTACATGTAGTGTTCCATTTTTTAAATTGCACTTTACAACAGGAAGTAAAAATAGCACCTTTCATAACAAATCATATTTTACCCAATACAAATGCATCAGCTCACCTGTCTCACTGCTTATTTTAAAGCAATTCAATTGTAAAGTTTTTCTATAGACAAAATGTAAATACAAAAAAAAAAAAAAATATTGATTACAAAGTGCTAATGACTGTTTTAGTCTGCTGATCCAAACACATTGGCTGAAATGGATTGGCCGAGGGTCAGCTGACATGCTAAGCCAATCAGTTCATTCAAAGTTGGATGAAATTGACATTACTAATGCAGAAATATAAATTCTGCAGTAGCAATATGGCCAGCAAGGGGCGTGGTCACGGGTGCCTAGGGCATCCTTTTATTTGTAACAAACCTCTTGAAAATGTGACCCAGTAACCTGCTAGAACCATAATCACTACAGCAGATTTTTATCGTGTGTAGAATGCTTCTTTAATTAACAAGCATTTACTTGTGTTTTGTTTTTTTCTACATCATATCAGAGATTTGGAAAATATATTTAAAGCAAATAAAGCAATTTCTTTCTTTTTTTTTTTTTTAAAAGAAAAACAAGCATGTTTGCAAAAACTGAAGTTATGACAATTTGGCTATTTCGTGTGGGGTCTTTCTGGTTGCAGTTTATTTATTAAGAATAAAACAGATTGTGGGAAATAATCTGAAATACATTATGTTGATAAATTACAATTACCCTTCCTAAGGGTATGCAAATTCCTAACAATGCCACAAGAAACTATGGTATATATATTTTTAATATTTTTATTTTCTTCAATATAATGTATTACAGGCTGCAAATGAACTCTGTAGTGTAGAGGCAATTTTTGCATCATGGCTTTTCGCAGGCTCCTATAAAATATTCTTAAAGAGAACCTGTCACGAAGGATATAAATTTGCAGTTTTCTAACCATCTGGTTTGACTGGCTTATACAATTAAGCATTTCTTCCTTTAATATTAAATTATTATAAGAACTATTAAAAGCTGGTCTTATTGGCAACATATTTTGTATTGCTAGTGTGGTGTCAAAGGAAGACCCACATCAATGTTAGAACTTTTATTCATTTCCGTATTTTTCATCCTTTTTTGTCAAGTGCCTTTATTAACAGATTTAGGTTCTATTTTACATAGAACCTTTTAAACTTTTTTTTTTTTAATGAAATTAAAATCTTCCTACTCTGTAAAGGCTGCTAGGTTAAAATGAGGTCTCTTTTTGAAAATAGGAATAAATGGGGGAAAAATATACACTAAACTTTTTGGCCAATGGAATGTAGTTATAATGGATCAAGATTTAAATATTGAACAAAAAGTAGAATATTGCCAAAAGCCCTAAGATATACTAACGAAAAAAAAAAAGATTAAAATGAAATAGGAGGTGCCCACATTGGGTAAAAATGCATGGGAGAAAATCACCCCTATAGGGTGAGAAAATATACATGCAAATGTACATAAGTTGCAGAATATTAGTGTATTAATGATCATTTGTTTGAACTTGGTATATTATCAATATAAGGAACTAGTGATCTTATGTGATACCCCCTCTTTGTTTCTGAATGTGTCCATGGTATCAAACATGATTACAGAGACATTCAATAGATCATTGAAACCAGAAATGACGCAATGCTAAGATTGCAGACACATCACTACCGTTCCTGGATGTAGACAGCATAGACTTCTTGCCAGGACTCTGCCCAAAGCCAAGTCCGATTGGCGGACCCAACAATTGAAGCAAAATGCAGAAGAGGGAATCCCGGCACAGGCATCACACACTCTAAAAAGGCCTAGATTTGGCAAAACACGTCTTGGACCAAGAGGATCATACGTTGCTTTTACTGGTTTTATTTACATAGAACATAGAATAGATTCAATTATTTTATCTATCTTAGCCAGAAGCACCTAGTGGCAGTTTGAATGACAGCCAAAAGGGCCATGGGCACTACAACATGTAAATAATGCAATTTTCTCAGACACAGCAATGTTTACATTTGCGACAGAGCAGGATCTATGTTCCAAATCATTTCATTAATCCATCACTATACACATCTACCCTGGACTTAGCCAAATTATTTACATTATCAAAATGGCTTTTCACTATTCTAGTGTAAAGGGCAGAAGTGATAGCACTAGTGATTTTTTTGCCTGTGTAAAAATATATGTTCTAATGCACACCTGACCATAAATTTAATAAAACACGAATGAGAATCACCCAAGAGATTCCAGGACTTTTACACTCAGGAGTCCCATTCTGCAGTATATATTACATTGTACTATGCATGCGGCATGTTCACAAGTCCCATAGTGTTAGTGTACATGAGACCCAGACATGAGTGGTCCAGAATAAGCAGTTCCCAGTGATGCTCATTTACTTTAAAATTGAAAAAAAAAAAAAAACCCTACAAAGGAGGACAACCCGTAACCCGAATTCCTCTGAATAGTTAGACACATCGCATACTAAACTAAACAGATTCCCCAACAAAATATATACAGTTTTTATATATTTATCATATATAGTTTTTAATGTACTCGTAGGGTCATAATTTGGTTTACTCCCCCCCCCAATATTCAGGTTTTGTGGGTTTGTGTACGGCCACCATTTCTGTATTTACTTCTCTGTTTAATTGCACGAATCACCACGTTATTTGTCTAAATGTCTCTGCCGAAAACAACTGTCTTATTTCCTAGTATCCTAGCGCTGTTTTTTGTTGTATTTTTTTTTTTTTTAAACTGCATGTTCATTTACTTCACCTGCAGCTTAAACAAACTGTATACCCTGGAAAGTCAATGTACACAGCAGGAGAATACAATAGACACATGGATAAAACTCTAGCGTGCAAAGATGCATTTTAATTTGATCCTACATTATTCTTTGCCTTTAATAACAAGGCACAGGACATGTTAAATGTTATGTTTTGTATGATGGCAGATTGTGACAAATCTATTCACTCCAAAATGGTGGCCCATGATGTGCAGTAGTACGTTTCAATGGAATTGAGGGTGCTGTGCTCAAGAAATTCCAGTTATGTGGCACGGATATCAATCCAATTATTTTTCAAAAGGAATGCTTTAGCATTTTCTTGCAAATCTGGTATCGTCCATTTTGTCAGTATATCTTCCTATTGGATCCAATAGTTCAGATCACTAAATCAGACACACAAGTTTCACATCTTCACAACATGTGCCTG